CTGGGGAAAAATGAGCTAGCCTTAACTTTTGGCAGTACTGTACAGTACTGTATTTTGACTAAAATACATATTCTAATTTGTAATTTTAACTAAAATGCAAAATCTAACATTTTTCTGCAAGTATGGTATGCTTATTGATTGTATTTATAGTATTCCAGGGATTGGTACTGAATTACAGTACTGTACTTGAACCATAAAAATTAATATCAAACATCTATAATCTTTCATAAAACATATGGATAGCATACATCCTTTGATTAAACATGTTATAAAAAAAAAAAAAAAAACATCCTTACCATCCCCTCCAAACAATATGTACCGTATAAAAAATCCTTTGATTAAGATAATTGCTTTAATTATGATGTGCAAAATTGTCTTGTGAACTAAGTAATTATTAAAAGAATACACCAAGAAGGAAAGACTACATCTGTGTTATGGGTGCTGTCCTGGACACTTAACCTACGGCCTAATATTAAGCTACTTAGACCATTCACCCAACCACTTGGACTGGTCTGTACAGCGACAACCAACCAACCAACCAACCAATAGTCCTCGTGGCGCAGCCTATGGTGAGAACTGCTTCAAAACTAAGGTGCCCCAGTGAAAGATTTTAGGACAAATGATTCCATTCATAGTTCAAGGACCACTCTGTTCACAGCTCAAGGGCAACTCTGTTAATAGTTTAAGGATGACTATTCATAGTTCAAGGATAACCCCATTCATAGTTATTCATTGTTCAAGCACAACCGTGTTCATAGTTCAAGGACATGTTTGTCCATAGTTCAAGGACAACCTATGTGCATAGTTCAACAATAACTCTGTTCACAGTCCAAGGACAACTTTATTCATCATTCAAGGACAAATCCATTCATAGTTCAAGGACATCCCTGTCCATAGTTCAAGGACATCCCTGCTCATAATTCATGGACATCCGTCTATAGTTCAAGGGCATCTCCGTCCATAGTTCAAGGACAACTGTTCATAATTCAAGTACATCCTTGTCCATAATTCAAGGACATCCCTATATATAGTTCAAGGACATCTCCATCCATAATTCAAGGACATCCTTGTCCATAGTTCAAGGACATCCCTGTCCACAGTTCAAGGACAAGAGGCTCATACTGTCGTCCGTCAACAGACCAACGACCACCTCAACAATGCTTACCTGTTCGTCGTCGTTGTCGTCGTCAACGGTCGTTAACGGAAGTCGTCAAGAGGCAGACAGTCATCACACTACACAAACGACCATTACCACACTCCCCCCTTCCCCCCCACGACCAGTAACTATAGTAGTTTGAGAACGACGTAACGAGCGACGTAGCGACGACGCCGCTAGACGACACAACAGCTGATGTTTGTGTTGATATGGTGGGTCCTGACCCGCCTTAGGAGTCCGACCCATCTCGTACTTGGGTTAACTTAGAATTGTTGGAGTTTTAAACAGCCTGTTAACCTTCCGAGGGGTAGTTAAAACCCCCTTCAATAGCTTAAATTTTTTTTTCATAAATGCTTTATGTCCTGAATATAATCTACAACTGCCCGAAACGCTTTGCGTAATAGTGGCTTTAGGTATTGTATGTACTAGCTCTTATCTATAAGTCTATCAATTTTTGTATAACCTCTTGTATGTACTTTACCTAAATAAACATTTATTATTTATTATTAACTAAAGCGTAATTATTTATATACCTCGTGTAAGGTATTCTTAAAATGTGCAACGGTCTTTGGAGCGATAAGGCCGCCCAGTAAACATTTGGGAGCACATTTATATTCTCAAATAAAAGTACCCTAATTTATACTACCATAAAAAGGTAGAAATATATGCTATATTTTGTAACCTATATCATGAAAATATCTAATGTAAAACCGAAGATAAATGTATATAACTGCTACCTGTCCTCAGGCTAGGCTCACCCAGGCGAATTTATCAATGTTAACGTACTGTGTTTTTCAAATGTTATTCTCCCAAATATAAGGTAATATTATTTCACACTAGAATGTGTTGAATAGTTAAATCTAACTTTGGTCAGGTTCTGTTAGCAATTATTATTTGAATGAAGCATTTATTGAATGCAACATTATGGGATGAAGCATTTATTGAATGCTTCATTATTATGGAATGAAGCATTTATATTAGAGGGATTCACTCATAATAGGAGTTTGGTGGCTGGATTATCGTGCATTTATAGTTTGCTGATGGGGGCCGGTTTGGAACCCTAACCCTTGTCACTTTGGCACTTTTACTCATCTTTCTTCCCGTTTGATACAAATTTCGTGTCTCATACTTTATTTGAACCCATTTAGTTATTTTCCTTTTGGGGGTCCTTTGTTAGTTTACTGTGTCAATCTATCTAAATTCCACACCAAACCCCCATCTCCCATTGTGCATACAGATGTACATACAGTACTATGGATTCATTTACTTTATAATCTGCTTACTACATAGTTCATTAATGTCATTTACTTTAGTATACTTTACTTTAGTATGTCATTTACTCTTGGTTTGTTATTGTTCATTACACTTTTACTTATATTTAACAAGTTCATTTACTAGTGTACTTTGTGAATGTTTCCGGTGTCGGTAAATGGATGGCGATTCACCTGACATGGTACAAATTTTTTAATAATGCCCAAAAAGATAGCCAAGGCTTTCAACAATTTTTCCTATGATGGCAAACAATTACCAGATGTATCTAATGTAGAATGACAACCCACAAAATATTTAAGCATTTTGAACATTAATAAGAGGCACATTAAATCCTTCACAAATAAAAAGGAGCACCATGGGTCTATCATTTGAAAATGACAGCAGTAGTTTAAAAGCTTAATGCTGCCCTTCACTTCATTCCAAACTATGCCTCATACAGCACGAGGTCAATTCATTTATTATGCATCCTATAACCATCCTGTGGACAGTACTGGAAAGGATTACTGTACAGAGGCACATATGAGCCCCAAAATTCATTTTGCTAAGCAAGTTACATTATTGATAAGCTAGTTACAAAAGGCAGTGTATATTGTTATACCAACGACAAGTACAGCCCCCTAAGCAAAGCATGAACAAATGTTTTCCTTGGTGGAATTCCAAGTGCTTACACAGCCTGGATGAAGGACTGTTACAAACAGCAAAATCTTTCATTTTGTTTAATATAGCTAGTGCTGAAGCTCACAGGGTCATCTGTGCAGCCGAGAAAAGTGAAGACCAAGTTTTCATTATCAATGTTAATAGTCCCGAGATGATAAAACACAGATTTTTGTTCTAAAAACCCATCTCAAGTGGGTTGGGTTTTCATCTACTTAATTATTAATCAATAGATAAAAATCCAAAGTTTAAATTTAAACAAATACTGCAACTGAGTTGGTCCATATTAAAAGCAAAATTTTGTTAACTAAAAAGCCAGCCCAGATGGGTAAGTGCGTAGCTACCATGCCAATCCTGGTTACCGCTCCTCTTTGCCATATCTAGATGATGATTTACAAGATTATGGAAAAATTAAATCCTGATAGCCTGTCTTCCATCTTCATGGTTCAGTTACTGCTGAGCTGGTGCCAGTTGTGAATGAACTTGGTTCATACTCCTTGGCCATTAACACAGGTCCTCGCCTTCCTTACAAATTAATTTTGTGTCAAATCTTGCCCTTAGAAAGTTCATGTAGTTTCAGTGCTTCAACAAACATTTCCTCATTCCTTCTGAACTTCACTTTTTGGCCCTCTGCAGCGGCAGGATCAGACAGTAGGCATCTTGAAGTCTCTGTTGACTATGGAGTTGTACTCGGGTTGTTGAGGCCGAAGTGTCCTCTCCAGGGCGCAAAGCCAGGGTAGGTCATTAAGGAGGACAAGCTGTTACCAATGCAGCAGGTTCCCCCTCTCCATGATGCTAAAATTCTCCAATGGACAGGCAAACACCAATACGCTTGGTTCTAGCACAGTCACAGGAGCTGCCAGAACGAGGTTGAAGTCAACAACGAACTGCCTTAGGGGCTTCAACTCCGGATTTTTTCTCAAGGTTGACTCTTGAAACCCATCCCAAAAGTGGGTATGGCTGCGAGGCAGCAAAGGTTTGAAGTCAGGGTTTTCCTTCCCTAGAAAGCATTATCAACAGATATTTTGCCATTTCCCTTTGCATACAGTACCTTAAATGTTCTGTACATATTGAATAGTCTTTTCTGAAATATCTCTCTCTTGATATTCAGGGCTTACTGTACTTTATAAGCAAATACTTGTTCTTTTTAATAGGTGTTCAAAACTAATATAATTCTTTTAATGCAAAGTGAAAGAAAAAATAATATCCATTACTTATCAATGTACAGTATTGTTCACAAAAGCAGTAAAATTAAACATTTCAGGGTCGCGAGATGTTGCAAGTCTCCAGAATTTCCCCGAGGGGTTTATAACACTGTTGATCATCTTCATGTTGTTGCTGGGTTGATTTATGTGATGAGGCCTTGACAGTTTTCTGTACCTCCAATTGTTATTTATTTTGTTTTGCTGGTACAGTAATTGGATTGCAAGGGCTTCCCCACACTGTTCAGACTAGATACCACATCACTGGGCACGTACTCTAAAACGATGACACTTCGGTCTGTCCCTAGACCATTATCAAGTCGTGTTTAAGAAGAGAGAAAAGTACAGGCAAATATAGAAGGTGACAATAAGATGAGAGGAGAGGAGCAGGTAAGAGTGATGTAGGAGTAGGTAACTCCTTACCTCACTCTCTTACCTGCTTCTCATCTCTCATCTTACTCTCTCACCTTATATATTTGCCTGTACCTTCCTCTCTTCTTTCACGCGAATTGATAATGGTCCAGGACGAACCAAAACATCGTCGCTTCTGCATCTTCTGAGTTGTGGTTTGGTCGTCACGTACTCTTTAACTCACCAGGCAACTTTCCCAGCTGTAATATGAACACAGTGATCTATATATTTGGTATCAACACTGTACATAATATACATTTTAAAAATATTCCTACCAATTTGTCAAATTTAATTTAAACAAAAAATGCTGCTTTAATTATAATATTTATTTCTCATCATTGCATGGAATGGGCAAAAATTCTAGATATGATTAGTAGGAAAAAGAAAATATCTTAACATTAATATTGTCTAAAAAAGGCTCATTTCTGCACATATTAAGATATAAAAAAAATGCAAAATCTGTTTAATCTTATTGAATAAGATATAAAATTATAACAACTGAGAGAAATACAAAAAACTAAGACATTTTTCTAAAAAATTTAAATTCTAAGCAAATCCCCGACGTTGTTCACATCGTTTTGATAATTTCTTTGGCCCTGAGACAGGAATATCACAATCAAATGGACTTCCAGAGAAAGTGACATGCAGACGATACTGAAATTAATTTGCAACTGTACACTGTGCTAGTACCCTGCTCCATCTATTTATTAATTAGACATTAACAATTTTATAATTTCAAGTACCTTTGGCACACACTACTCTCTCCTGTAGTTTATTCCAGTTATCTCTTTATCGAAGATTAAAAACTTTCCTATAATTTGTAACCATCTTATTCACATTAGTTTCTAAAAGCTCAAGTCAGTTTTGCATGATGCTTCACTATCTTGGAAATTTTTATGTAGTCCCATTTGTAAATTGGGCATATTGGGTATCACAAGGAACATTTTGGGTATTTACTTATTACCTTATAACTCCGAGTTCTGAAATTCAATGTCTTTTTGTCATTTCTGCAATTGGTTTGTATGAATTTCACAGGTGCTTTTTGTCATTTCTGTAATTGGTTTGTATGAATTTCACAGGTGCTTTTTGTCATTTCTGCAATTGGTTTGTATGAATTTCACAGGTGCAGGCACCACACCACAGCTGCATACCAGTATTATGTTCTACTTTGGGTCTGACTTGTACACTGAATTATTTCCTTACACTTTCTCCATTCATATTCAGTATTTTGAAGGAAATTTTTAAATTTGTCAGCAATGAATAGGACTCATATCTAGGGAATTCAAATTCTTCTTAGGCAACCGAAATTAATCCCAGGCCTTATTCTTTAACACATTTTCTTAGTACTGTGTCTCACTACACAATCTACAGTTTTTATGAGTCTTGTTCTAACTTACTCAACTATACAGCATTTTTATAAATTATGTATATTACACTTTCCATTTGTTACTCACCTTGTTTATTTCATCAAGGCTGTTGCAATTACTCTGATCTTTATTTTGCTCAGGAATTTCTGCATTGTCTGCAAACAATCATTATGCAGAGTACTGTACATAGTAACAAATGAAGCTACTTGTAAAATCTCATCAGTAGCGTTCTACCAATTGCACATTTTTCATTTTAAAATTGCCCTCAATTTTGCTGTCAGACAAGAGACCTATTGTTAGTTTAATTATGGCATTATTCCTTTTATACCTTCTGTCCTAATTTCCTTGTAGCCTTTTGGTAGGAACTGTCAAAATTAAAAAAAAAAAAAAAAAAAAAAAAAAAATTATGTCGGGGTACAAGCAGCCAGTGCATACATACGCATGTTAGGCTTATATCTCGGCCCTCCCCTTCCCAGGCCAAATTACTGACCCAACCCAGGATGTAACCCTTAGAACAAGCTGACTAATTTACTGCTAGGTAAACAGGTGCATTAGATAAGGAACGCACCCAACCATTTCTATCCTGCCCGGGATTCTCAATTAAAAGTCGAGAAGAAACCCGACTAAACTGCCAGGACTCTTGTATACACAATCTACTCATTCATTTCTCTCCTGTCAATTTAGGTACACAACTAAAAACCTTCACAGCTATCCTGCTGAGAACATTCTTTTTTTTTTCATATACCTGTAAATGCAAATTGTTTCCAACTTATGAGATTATTACTTTCCAGGTGTTGCACCAATATATCTTAACACTTTCTATTTTTACCACAACACATTCGTGACACTGGCAGCAATTTGTTGTTTACTTTTCCTTTTTGTACAAAAGCATTATGGTTGTTCACTTCCTTTTTGTTGTTGTTAGCTCATCCTCTTCAAAAGTAAATCTTAGTGTCCTTACATATTCTCTCAAGACCCGAGGTGATTGATATATTGTTAGGTATAATGCTCAGTTTGTTTCTAGCAAAAGTATTACTTTATTTTCAAGCTCATCCCCATTGGTTCTCGTAAATTTGTCTTATCTATTCTTAATAATGTTTATGGCATTGCCTCAACTTCGAATTTCAAAAAATTACACTTGTTGCCCTCGTGTTCAGTGTATGAGTATTTCCTTGACTCAATACGGATTTCCAACTTCTGCCAATGTTGTCATCCTATTTCTCAACATTTAAAAAGACTATCCTTAGCTGCTGTCTATTCCCACTCAGTATTTTGCATGTACTGTACCGTACAACTGTTATATTTTCTCTTAAATCGGACACGAATCGTGTTCTAAACTTTTACAATATCTTGAAGTTTGTGTATCATAGGGTGCATTTCTATGCTGGTGATGCATAATCTGGTATGGGTTTGTTTGAATTTTTAGGCCATTTCTATGTTTCCGAGCTTCTTATGCATTGTCACATTACTGTAGATAGCTTGTGCACCTCTCCGGTGTTAATTTTGTAATTATAAGTACTTTTAAAAGGGTTTGAGACCCATACAATCCAGGTGAATGGAATATAAGTACTGTACTATATTTCAAAGTTCTTTCTCCCTATAATTCCTGTAGTTGCTTCCTCCTGGTCACTTATCTTCCTTTTGAATGTTTGTTACTTTACACTTGTATGCCCATTCCTAGAGTTTATAAAGATCCTTCATTACCATTCGTACACAGTTATCTCGGCATGTCTTTCCATCTAGCATATCAGACTTTGTAAAGAACAAAATTAAATGTTCTTTGACAATCAAGGAAAATGCAATGCACCCGTCTTTATGTCCGATACAGTTTTTGCAACTACTGTATTTTGTAAGTCATGTCAGGCATTACTTTCCCATTCTAAATCCTTGTTGTCTCTACATTACGAAGTTTATCCTCTTCAGGTTCATTATTCCTTGCTCAAGTTCTTGAAAGCTACCTTTAACTTTACTAATTTTGCATATGCTGTTGCTAGTAGGAGCATTTGGTGTAAAGGCTAGAAAGAGCGACTGAAAATGTGTGTGATTGGATCGAGATTAATAAATATAAAATATTAACATTATATGTTCACATTTTATATTTATACATACATTCATACACATACATATACTGTACATGAACAAATTTGAATCTTAGACATGGGAGACTTAATCGAGGTAATTTGTTCCAAAGATGTCCCAGTATGTTTTAATGTCAGGTGTTCAAGCAGCAAATGTATCAAAACTGTAAAAGTATACAGGTATTTACCAGAATGTATACATATATGGTGTTTATATGAATGCCTATAAGTATATGCAGCAAATTAGTGTAAAGATACACATGATAATATGGGACACGTGTATTAAAATGAGTATTTTCATTGTACAAGCACATTAGTGCACACACCATATTTACTGCTGCACATACAGATATAGGCACATTGTATATATAAACATACCTCATATAACATTGCATAACCTCCAAACAACGCATCATTGTATAACAGGCTTGCATTGTGTAACAGGTTTCATACAACTGGCTTGGTTAATTACTACAATACAGTATTATTAATCTTTTATGAATAATCATAATGACTATTTTTGTAATAATTTCTAATTGCAAAATACACCTCTGCTACTACAGTACAGCCATAAACATTAGGACATACCGTATATGCCAGCATACAAGTCGATCACACAACGGGCGACCCCTAAAATTTTTAGGTGCAATTCAGGTTTATGACTATATACTTTGGATGACATGACAACCCAAAATAGGCAGCACCACTTGTCCTGCCCTGGAAAAAAAAACCTACGATATCTCTTAAATATACAGTAGCTTAACGAATATTTACTGTACAAGATTAAGGTATTAAAATTAGTTCTTTCAGCTGCCATGTCAACCTTTTGCATCTGCTAAACTATTGCCCATGTTTTGTTTGTTTCTAACACAAATAAACATGAGTTATGTAGCAGAAACACAATGGTATTAAAAAGTTATTACTGATATACAGTAATATAGAGTGGTAGTATAAAATGCCAATACTGCTGAAATAACTTCCATAAACATATACCAGGAAATTGTACCATGCAGTAGTATAAACAAAAACAAAGAGGCACTTGCCACTCTTCATTTACACAAATAAAACATTGACATATACACAAAATTATTGTGAAATAAAAATACGAAAGTTTTCCCACGAACACACAGTTCAACAACTAGTCACTTGGTGGTGATGGCGCCACTGGTATATCAGTTGCTGTAAACGGAAAATTTGCACGGCTATGTTTTCTGTAACTATAATGTAGTACTGTATGTGTTAACTGAGATAGAATTTTTTGGTGAAATTAGTTTTTCCGATAGTTTAGAAAATTCTAAGACGCTTCTAAAACACTTTAGTTGCAAATGAGCTCTAACTCAGAGTAAATGATCCTAACCTAATACAGTACAGTATTAATGAACTTACGGCAACCAACCCTATGAATTACAGCAAATCATTGATATTACTGTATTATAATCTCTACTTTAAATAGACTTACCAAACATGAGTTCCAGTAGGAAATAAGTGTGATGGGCTGCGAGTCATGGCAAGAGGTGTACAACGTGTTAGACCAGGCGTCTCACTTTTTTATCTCTCGGCGGTAAAGGTTCACATTTTATACTTGGCGGACAAGTCGATCCCTGGTTTTGGAGGCACTTTTCCTAGGTTAGGTTTCAAATGTTGACTTATATGTCAGTATATACGGTAAACATTTTACACCTTTGTAAAAAGTGTTGGTACTCACATTATCATCAGCACTGGTAGCTCATTAATTTTCTTTTAGACAACGGCAAGCACAAACGGCATCTCTTGCACACTTAATGACCTCATTTTTCAAACGGCAATTAAATTTTGTGCTTCCATGAGCAGTTTTTCAACGTCAATTTTACCAGGAACTAATTTTTGGTCTTCATCCATTTCTGGGTATTCCAACACATGTTTCTCCCCTTCTGTACTACTATTATATAAAACACTTGCTTCTGCAATAATTCGAGAAAGTACTGAAGGTTCAGGTATAATGCTACATCTCTTAATGGATCTGTTCAAGACTCCATTACATTTAGGGAGCTGCCATTGACCGTCATCCTCCAGGTAAAATGGCTCTGCTTCTCGGAGAAGCTGGGCTTCAACTTCCAGTCTCTGCAAATCTTCTGGAATAATTGCTGCTTCTGCCATTTCCTTTTGTACCCTGTAAGAATATTTTCACATTATAGAAAGGGAACTGCCAGCAAAATTAAAGCCCTGGTAAATAAAAAAAATAAATTAGATGTCGCTACTGGGCAGCCTGAAGGGGTGGTAGTGCCAACTCTTATGAATACAGTAGCTGTAAAATGGTGTAATATGAATGCAAAAAATGTTACAACAGTAGAAATGGATAACTTGAGGAGCATATGAGATCAGGAAAGAAGACAGAGTAAGGCATGAAAATGTCAGATGTAGAGTGCACGAGTCAATAAAGAGCAAGATTGTGTAAATGAACGGATGAGGGTAGACCGATGTTTCTATTCAAGTGAATTTCACGGAAGGATGACGAGAGGTAGGCCAAGAAGATAGGGCAAATGTGACATGGCAAATGTGTGAAGAATTGGGAATTGTGTGAAACATTGTTATGTCTACGTGTATACAGCACATACTTTAGGCTTGTACAGTATCTAGATTCAACATGTCGAACTACTGACCTTCCCCAGGCTGCAGCTCCACAACAGTTCCCTATAACTCCCAGGTACCTACTTACTACTAAGTGAACAGAGGAATCAAATGAATGTAAACATGCCCAACCATTTCTGTTCTGCCCTGGGATCAAACTCAGGATCCCAATTAGTGAGTCAATAATGTACCCACTGTACTATACAAAAGCATGGGCAGCCATGATCTAATGGAACAAAGTACTTTAGCAAGGAATTCCAAATGTAGTGGGAAAACTCGCGAGGTAAATCACCACTGCTGAAAAGCGCAAATAGACAACTGCACAGACGATAACTCTGGTAACAGATCGGCGAAATCCTGGATACTCTACACACAAAAGGCTTGTCTATGCACATGAGAAACATTCACTAATAGAGCATAAACCCCATGAACAAACAAAAACATCCCTAATAATAGTAAATGTTGCTCAAGTTTTGTCTCCGCTTGCCCGTATAACCAACAGCCGAGGCAGATCAGGACAGATTCTAAAGAGTTTTGACTGTAGATCCTTTTTTTTTGGCTTTAGTGCTGCTAGCAGCAGAGTAGTGATCTAGTGGTTCATTCAGTATTTAGCTAGAGAACTACTTGATTATCTCTTTGGTGCCATTCCACCTGGAAAGGTACCAAATTTTATGTAAATGCATTTTGTCTATATTCAGGAACAAATTTAGTATTATCGAGTCTCTTTCCACAGTTTCTAGCACCAGTATGACCATGTGGCGGTGTTAGATAAGTTCCTTAGTTCATTGCTTCAGATTGTACAGATGCCTAAATGCCGCCAGATCCTTACCAGGTCTCAACAGGATCTTACTTTAGCGATCAGTCGAATAGGACAACTTGGAAAAAATTAAAAAGCACACAATTCGATAAATTAGTAATTCTCACGTCCTAATATACCTGAATCCAAGAATTCTAAAAATTCATTCTGCATTAATACTGTAGAATGAATAATAATTCCAATGGAATTGGAATTATTCCAATTTAATAATGGAATTAAAATACAGTAATTCCATTATTTTAATGCTCTACATTAAAATATTGTCCTATAGTTAAATATATAACAAGTTACTATAAATAATGGATTTATCAAAAAGAGAAACAACTAATTTGAGTAATTAATGTACGGTATAAAAAAATTATTCAATTGTATAATTTCATTAAAACTAATGAATGTTATGAATGTTAACTTTTAATGAATCCATTTGAAAAATTTGCCTTTAATATCAGAACTGAAATTTAACAAACTTTCACTTGAAACAATTCTTAAAAACAAAACTACCTGACTCCCCGCTCCGTAAACTATAAGCCTATATTAAAATAGGGACATACAGAGGGAAAGTGTGGTGATAGTGGTAATGGAGCTGGGAGCCGGTGGCTGAGCGGACAGAACACTGGATGCGCGATCCTGTGGTTTTGGGTTCGATCCCGGGCGCCGGCGAGAAACAATGGGCAGAGTTTCTTTCACCCTGATGCCCCTGTTATCTAGCAGTAAATAGGTACCTGGGAGTTAGTCAACTGTCACGGGCTGCTTCCTGGGAATGGAGGCCTGGTCGACGACCGGGCCGCTGGGACATTAAGCCCCAAAATCATCTCAAGATAACCTCAAGAATGGATTAAGTGTGGCAATGGGGTACTTGCCTAACCCTGACTACGAGGAAATGAGTGCCAAGAGTTTTATGACCAGCCTACTCAACCTGTTGTGATACATTTGAACTTTCTTGGCCTTCAAATTCTTTGTAGTATATGACCTTTATGCTGTGAGTGTATTAACGTCCACAACTTATTTTAGTGCAATTTCACTTGTTACCACCAATACATATTAGAGTACAGTATTTCCTTACATTTCTGAATTATTTGCATTCCTAGCTTTCACCTGCCCCTCTTGTCTATCGTTTAATTTAAGGATGTGTCTATGCCTATGTCCACCAGGTATATTCCTCTTGGTACCATATCTTTAATGTTGAGATCATATGCTCTCTGTTCCTTCTCTCCTCCAAGGTTGAGAGATTTATTATTACGTCTCCGTAGAGAAATTTAGTTCCCTTAACCTTTTCTCACAGCTAAATGATCTCAATTATGCAGTTCATTTTATTCAGTTACATTAATTCCACATAATATTCAACTCTGCCAAGGAAAACTCTTGAGCCAGATTATGCTATTAGCAATTGTTAATATACATTTGTTTTCCATGTTTTATCATTGGTTTTCATATTGTCTGCTTGGTACATTGACATACTAACTAGTCAAAATAAACTATGTATAATAACAAGTGATAACATAACAGGAACCAGCCAGGGAGCCGGTCGGCCGAGCGGACAGCACGCTGGACTTGTGATCCTGTGGTCCCGGGTTCGATCCCGGGCGCCGCCGAGAAACAATGAGCAAAAGTTTCTTTCACCCTATGCCCCTGTTACCTAGCAGTAAAATAGGTACCTGGGTGTTAGTCAGCTGTCACGGGCTGCTTCCTGGGGGTGGAGGCCTGGTCGAGGACCGGGCCACGGGGACACTAAAGCCCTGAAATCATCTCAAGATAACCTCAAGATCAAGCTTAAATATAATTCCATTATTCTAAAAAGTTACAACATTACCTAAATCCATTATATGTACTATGGGTTTCTTACCTGTACTTTCAAAGAAAATTTAAACCCATTCAATACATTTTCTATAGAATAAGCTTGCTTTTTCTTATTTACAATTTTCTTGTTCAATAATCTTGGGAAGATTAGCTAAATTAGTTGTTTAAAATATTTTTTTATAAGCTTAATGTTCTTTAAACTAAATCCTTTTGTTTAGGAATAACTAATAAAAAGAGAGAAATATTATGGTGATAGAAAAAATTAGCAAAAATGTTCTGATGAAATCAATATTCTACTGAAATGTACACACATGCAGGGATGTGCACATGCACACACATGTATATATATGTATTGGTGTATGTGAATGTAAACATTCACACACGCGCACACTCATATACATGCTCAAGACACGTACACTAATATACAAATATATATATAAAAACCATTTATATTACCTGTAACTCATTATTTCTTGCATTTCAAGAACAATTGAAGGTATTCGTGAAAAATCCACATCACTAAGTACAGTTATACCTGGATAAATACTCTGTATCTTGGCTACTGAGGGTTTATGGGACACAGATCGCGCCACCTACAACAAACAAAGCTTTTATAAGCTCTCCAGCATACAGCATCAATCACTTTTGGCACAGAGAACATACCATTCACTTCTTTCGTTGCCAGGGATTACTAAAGAGCTGGGAGGGAAAGGGGACAATTATAACATTTAATGTTAAGTATATTGCTCTTGTGTGACCAAGAAAATAATCTCTGCACCTCTTAAGCTAGTCATACACAGTACAATACTTAACTCGAGGCATTTGCAACCCTCATGAAATAGCCTTAAGTGAAAGATTAGTCCTATATTATGACTTGAAGTGGAACTCAAAATCTTGTGCAAGTATTACTAATATAGATGGAATCATTATGCTTCCAAAATATAAAATACAAACACATAAATGGCCACACACACACACACACACAAACCCCCCCCCCAAAAAAAAACATCTAAATGCTAAAATGGAACCTGGAACAAGCAAAACAGTTTAACAAAAGTTAGATTGAGATAAATATCTACTTAATCAAAATAAATCAACAGAGCCTAAATAGGAAGAAACATTAATTAAAACTTTGTACTGAATAACATCATCAATGGAGGTTTAAAAACCACTCGAGTCAAGTGATGTACAGAGGCTGTCCTGCTTTCCAAACTTTTATCACGCAAAAGGTACCAATATTCATTTCCATCCAAACCAACCCCCTAAACCCATGTCCAACTCCAAAGATAAGTCTTGCACCTAACTTGTCGAGTGGTCAATCGTCGTGCCACCAAGCCAAGACCCAGTTCATTGTTTTTGTGGCGAGTCACTAAAGATCCTCTCTCCCACATAGTTTCATTTAGCAGAAAATATAACATTTTTAAGTAGTCCCAGTAATTTAGATGTTTTATTGAGTTTTGTTAAACAGGTCATCATTCCAGGATCTCATTCACCAAAAAAGGAAAAAACTGACAGTATACCTGTTTCCATTAGATAAGACCAGTTATGTCCCATTTGAAATTAAATACACCAATTATGAGAGAAGATATCAGAAAAAGGGAGAGAGCAGAGACACTTAAAACTTAAAAAAAAAAAAGAGGGCTTTTATTTCCTTTTAACTAACTTGACTGGGAAATTTAATTGTAAAGAGGTAAGTGAGATGTTACGCTATAGAGGCTATTGAAGGCTATAGAGAAAGAAATGGAACCAACTTAGGAAGAGATCTTCTCTAAGATCTAAGAGATCTTAGATCTTAGAGAAATATATCAGAAATAAAAACAAGCTGCATGGCAACAAGAGAAAGAATCTTGGAGAAAGAGATAGATAAATGCAGAATGGAACCAAACCTATTCTATAAGAGCATCAAATGGAAACTAAGCGAGATGAAAGCCAGATATTAAGGTGGGCAAAAAAAGATAAATGGAAACAGAAGGAAATACTGTATACAAAACAAAGTGAAAAGTTTCAATGCATGTTCATACAAAGTGAGGATTTCACAGCATCAGGCATATTTTGAACTTCGGATCAATGCTTACAGCACTGCACCTAGATGCCTCTTTAAGTGCAGTCAAAAAATGTATTTAGGCAAAAACTAAGCAACTGGGTCATGTAGATTTTCAATTAGAAAAGGATTAAATGCATTGATGAGCTTAACAACCAACTATAGAATATTTTACAGCTATCTTTACTATCAGGAAACTGTACAGACATGGAAAATGGCATAAGATACTCTAAACAAACAAATGCTTTTGAACTGAATAACCAATTAAAATTAACAAGTGTGGTAACCAAATTACTAGAAAAATTAAATAAAACTAAAGGGCATAGAAACTTTGCAGAAAAGACACGCATTTGATAAAAGTCTCGTACAAGAGAATGTTCTGCAAGTCAATCTCCAGGAAGGAAAATTACCAATAGGAACATAACATCCTCCTCTTTCATATAACACAGCTTTAATTGCATTTAAATGAATTCAGTTGTTTTTATAGCCAAAACAATGCATAAATACAACAGGAGGTATACCTAGTTTCTCGGTGTATATACAATGGGAGTTTACTATAGTCCGAACTGAACTTTGTTATGAACTCTGTTCATGACTAAGAGTATATATGCCGGATGAGCAACAAGCTAGTGTCATAACCTTAACAACCTTTGTGCAGTTGACATGCATTAGGCCCAACACCAAACCAAACCAGTGCATAATTCTTCAAATACTCTGCTAGATCACAATAACAACTAGTGGGTGCCACCATCTTGTTTGCCACACCTATTATTTGTTAAAATTAAAAATACTGATATTTGATTTTACCTTGGGAGGGCGAATATCATGCTGGTGACATCCAGCCGGAGTGATTGTAACCTGAGTATTGGTTGTAGAAGTGACCAGGCAAATATCTATTGGACCACCTTCACCCCCCTGCTGAAGGAGAATTATTTGAAACATTCGAACAAAAAAATATTATTACTTTATGTTTTGTTTATGTATTTAATAAATAAAGGTGAACAAATTAAAAAATTACCCATTTCTATTTTTTTTTGTCAAAAGTTGAAAAATTAATTGAATCCTTAGGGGTTTGACCAGTAAAACGAAATGCTTCCGAGTTCTCAGCGATGATCCCATGGTTGAATTCCAAGCCAGAGCTTTGGTCCACTTAATACGTCCCACACTGGGCTCTATCGTGGCAAGTAACTTTGCAAAAAATCTTGTCATTTTGTCAGTGTAGTTAGTGTATCTTAAGCCATTACTGGGTGACTCCTTGTTTAAAAGTATGAGGACAAACATTTTACTACAACACTCCTACAATCACTGGAATCAAGAGGAAAACCAATTATCACTGCTAACTACAGTATTGTACTAAACAGTAACTAGCCATTGCATTAACTGCCACCAGGAGGCCACAGGGTACTATCTACCTTGTGGAGGTTTCGGGGATCAACGGTCCTGCAGCCCAGTCTCCGACCAGGCCTCCCCCAAGGGGTAGCCTCTTTGTACACTATATAAACCAATCCCCTTGTGTCAATTGTACATCACACAATTGGTTGTTTCTTCCCAATCTTTAATCCTGAAACTTGAATAGCCACGAATATGTCGGAGAGTGTACATCGAGATACTAAATTCCATAAAAATACCAGCTGCAAGCTAACTCCAGACGCAAAGAAAGAAAGGCCATTATTGAAATAATAATGGCCGTTCTCAGCAGCACATCGATTTGCATCTAGTGGTCTAAATGCAACATAACAGCCGGATTTAGTACGTCACATACTTCTCAACTGTAAAATCACCAGCCAATCTGATCACCCTATAATATAAACAACACAGAACAAACGAAAGTGTTATATATTATCAAACTATATTTGGCTTCTGTGCAGCTACCACAAACCGTTCACAACTACAGTAGCATTTTTGCATCATTGCTGTGGCATAATATAGCCAAATATAATGGGAATACTTTTAAGTGTAAATATCAACCTCTTCATCTGCACTCCTCTTGTCACTGCCCTTCCGCAAATGTTGCATCAAGCAACTTAAATCCACTTGAGAACTGTTTGATGTCACATTTCTTGACAATTGTTTCCTGCTGATGCATGGGGAGAATGAGAGCGGATCTTCAGTGCCTGGATCCTCTCTTTCACTAATTTGCATCTCCAGATCTGCCCGGGTTGATGATGGTGGATCATCAAAAGTTAGGATTTCCATCTCATTTCCACCATTATCCTAAAGAAGGGTATACAAAAAAAATAGAGTAATGTTAAGGGTGGTAAAAGAAGACTGAACTGAAAGGCATCAATTGTATAAAAAAAAGGTGATTATATAAACAGTGAATATCCCTCAAATCCATGTATTTATCAAGATTACAAAGCAGCTGTCTAACATTTTGGCCTAAAATAGAGTAATATGTTGGCCAGTGTGTTTACAAGCAGTAAACTCAAGAGAGATTGAGAATAACAAAGACTCATACCTTCGATCTAATATTTAATAACAATTCCAACTCCTTGTCTTTGTTACGGTTCAGTGCCTCAAACTGGTTCAAATATGCCAACAATTGCACATCTGTAAATTCAGTTGAATCACGACGGTTACCTGAAGACGGAACTAAAGGGTCGCTGCTGGCTTGTAATCTCTCCAGGTACTGCTTAACCTGTGGAGAAAGAAGCTTGTAAATCTAAAATGCCTTTATCTCCAACACAGACAATTAACATTTATTCAAATAGTCTCAACATGAGGGACAAAACATATGATGTGAAATATATATCATACTGTAGTAAACACGATGCAGAGATGGTGTGGTAGGCAATGGTGTTGTGGTTGATGGTGTAATTGCTGCTGTTGATGTAGTTGTAGGGGGTGATCGAGTAATGTGTGCCGTGTGATGCAGCTGTTGTGGTTTGTGACAGTGTGGTTGGTGTGATAATAAAATACATCCAATAAATAGTGTTTAACATGTTTAACGAGTCTACATGTCCGCAACCCGCACAAGTAGAAAACGTAATGATATGAGCATGATGAACAATGGCGATACACAAGAAAAACAAAACTATAAATACTTGCATAAACAAGGCATTTCCATGCTTCAACTCCCAACTTGAGGTATGTTTGCATTGCATTACTTCGTAGAGTTTCACTGAAGCCCATGTTTTGTTTCTGGAAAAAAAAAAAAAAAAAAATTAATAAGGCAAATAAAAATAGAGAAAATATAATTTAAACTACTGTAATTGGATTATGCACAATTGCATAATGCAATTGTGTACACAACTTGGAGGACAATTTAAAAATATATATTTTTAATAATGCTTTTGGCCTGAATGGAAGAGGGATGTATTGTGCCAAACAGCATACTAAAGCAACTACCAACAGCAACTAAAACCAATCAAACGTCTTGGACAATACCTGAAACCCCTGCTTGTGGACACAAAGGTGCTCAGGCACATTGCTCCACCACATCTGACTTCTAATGCAGGTGTACAAGCTTAATATCCAGTAGGTACCAACTAATGTATTATTAGTACAGGTATCTGTAGTTAAAGAAAATACTTAATACTACATTACAGAGTTAACCCACTTAGTCATCCAGCAGCTGTATTATTTCAATGTCTCACTCATCACCTATCCTCCACATCACATCCTCCATCCCTACACCTACTCTTCCCCTCCATATGACTCAACTTCTTCCCTTAACACCAACTTCTACTCTAATTTCAACTTGCTATTTAACCTCACCTATTCCTCTCGGACTCCTTCCACTCCCTATTTTGGTTGTGTGTTTGCTATTAAAGTCGGTTCTAAAGCGAGCAGGACATTTATCAACCAATAGTCTTTAACCAATTTAGTGTTCGAACTAATATTGTTGGGAATACAGTATCTAAAAATATTAGAAAATGTAGAAGGATACTTAGTGCCATACCTTTGCCAAATTGCACACAACAGCAGCAAATGATGTTTGTAAATTATTCCTCTGAGAGCAGCGCAAGATACAATGGCGTATCAACAGCTCATCATTCAGGAATCCAGACAAACCACAAAGTTCACACGATCTGCAAAATTAGTCATTTCAGATATTTACACACAAAAGGAAAGAAACAAAATATTTTATAATAGAATCACAAGTGTATATACAAGTGGGTACAGGCAGAAAAGATGAAATGTTTATTTATCACTTACTGTCAGCGACTCACTACTAGGTGCACTTAATGCCCTACATCCTTTTGATTTAGCTTTTGTTACTCTTTAAAAAGTTTACAACACAGACTAACATACTACATCAGCCAACTCTTTATATTAAAAAACATCCTCTATATTCAACATAAAATATGACAAAAAAGGTATCTATGTATTCCTCCCCCCGTCATACACTGAATATTTAAATGATGTTTGATATGCACATGCATGTATGCACATATATGCATTAACATTTACGAAAACCATGCGAGTATTATCAGTATTCCTTAAAAGAGGTACTTGTGGCCATTTTTAAATATGCAGTATGTTTTAATCCCCTGTATTTGTATGAAATTGGAAGTTAAATATTTATGGGAAAAAATAAGATAATGTAAGTTTTTAAATTTGTATCAATATTAGCTAAGTATCTAAAACTTGTTATAGCAAAATTTATTAATCTTATTATGCCTTAACCTAGTAAACAAGCAATGGGGAGGAGTGGAGAGGAGGCAAAAGGAGAGGAGGCAGTGGGAGAGGAAAGAGGAGGCAGTGGGAGAGAAACGGAGAGGAGGCAGTGGGAGAGGAAAGGAGAGGAGGCAGTGGGAGAGAAAAGGAGAGGAGGCAGTGGGAGAGAAAAGGAGAGGAGGCAGTGGGAGAGAAAAGGAGAGGAGGCAGTGGGAGAGAAAAGGAGAGGAGGCAGTGGGAGAGAAAAGGAGAAGAGGCAGTGGGAGAGAAAAGGAGAGGAGGCAGTGGGAGAGAAAAGGAGAGGAGGCAGTGGGAGAGAAAAGGAGAGGAGGCAGTGGGAGAGAAAAGGAGAGGAGGCAGTGGGAGAGAAAAGGAGAGGAGGCAGTGGGAGAGGAAAGAGGAGGCAGTGGGAGAGGAAAGAGGAGGAGGCATACACCTACCATATGAAAAACATTATTAGGGAAATATATATGGCTGAAAAGAAATTTGTTCTTGTGCAAATAAGTATCAAACTGCTTTATTTTTTCATAATGGCCTTCACCATTGGCCATGATTTAGGCCTTCAGCCAGGTACTGTACTGAAATTAGGTTATTTATGGTAAGTCTCCCCTCAACACTATACATCAATCACTTCACATCAAGGTTTCCAATCACTGCTGGGTGTAGTGAGTGTAGAATGCCCAGGATGGGCACAATCTATTACACAGTTTTTACACACGTGGGTACCGAAGTAGACAGCTTTTGACTCCTGTTAACAGACAGCTTTCCCTTCCCATAGCTCAAGGGAGCCTGGGCGTGGACAAGGCCACGGGGACGCTAAGCCCCGAAACCATCTCAAGGTAACCTCAAAGTATGCTAACTCATTTCCCTACTTGTGTTTTGCTGGAACATGGCTGGCCACTTGGTTTGCAATAATTCTAGCATGTTTAATAATAAATAAATTAACGTAAAGCACCAGAAACTGAATTACAAGGGTAGTCAACCCTAGACCTTTTCTGGCCTTATAGACAGATATAAAACAGCGAGCATTTTGGTTGCTGAAGAACTGGAAGAGGGAGCTAATTACACTAACCATAGTTACTGCTATAATCACCAATACCAGTAATATTTATAAAATATTTAACAAGTTGATTTTAGTACTAAATTTATGTACAGTAAATGTAGATGAATGTATGTGTACGAGTACTCACTTGGTTGTGCTTGCAGGGGTTGAGCTTTGGCTCTTTGGTCCTGCCACTGAACTGTCAATCAACTGGTAATTACCTAAGTGTAGTTACAGGATGAAAGCTACGCTCGTGGAGTCCCGTCTTCCCAGCACTCTTTGTCATATAATGCTTTGAAACTACTGACGGTTTTGGCCTCCACCACCTTCTCACTTAACTTGTTCCAACTGTCTACCACTCTGTATGCGAAAGTAAATTTTCTCATATTTCTTGGGCATCTTTAACTAGTTTAAATCTATGACCATAGTTTATGTAAAAGTAAACTATAGACATAGTTTAAATCTATGTGTGTGTGTGTGTGTGTGTGTGTGTGTGTGTGCATACATTGTGTGTGTATGTACAGTATGTGTGTGTATGTACAGTATGCGCGTGTTTATGTACAGTATGTGTGTGTGTATGTACAGTTTGTGTGTGTGTGTATGTACAGTGTGTATGTATGTATGTACGTACACACACACACACACACGCCCCCCATTTCCCCCCCCCCCCCGAACCAAATACTAAATTTTTATTTATTTGATTTATAGACAACAAAATATCAAAGATAAACATCTGTAACTCATCAATGCAGTTTCATAAACAAAGACTTCATCACTGAAAGTATGATATAGTTCAGTAGTGGGAGGATTGATCCCATTTTATTTTTAACAGAAAATCATGATACTAATGTAGTGGTTGCTTAGGAACGCTTAACACTAGGAACAGAACTTGGCGAGTTCTTGATCATGCAATACACCCTTCATCATTTACAAATACTACCTTTGAGTTGTGTCCTCCCTTGGGGTGATCTCCTCAGCATTGGGTGAAGAGTTGTGATAAGAATATAGGTGAACAATGAGGGTATTCTTCTGGCAGTAACTCCGACCACAGTGAGTGCAGATATATGAGCGAGACTTAAAGTGGGAATATAAGTGACGTTTAAATTCACTGTATACAACGAAACGCCGATCACATATTTCACACAAGAAGGGACGGTACCCGGACTGTTGTGGCCGAGGTGGGTCAGGTTTAGGAACATATACTGCACGCCTGTAAGGTTTAAAAGTATTCTACTAAAATAATAAGACAGATTTGTACAAAATAATGAGCAATTCTTAGATTAAGGTTAAACATTATAATTTTCCTATAAATACAGCTAGCATCAATTAGATCTTAATTACAAAAATAAACAAAGAGTATAGAAACAATAAACTAAGCTAGAGAAGACATGTTTCAATTACAACCATTGTTCCAGGGGATCCATAGTTCATATGCCAGGCAAAATTTGTTTGCTAGATAAATAATACTATACATTATTATAAATATTTTTTAAGAAACAAAAGTTCCACCCCTCCCCTTCTGTATACACAGTACAATATATTTAAACAAAAAAACTGGCATACATAGGAGGAAAGAGAATAAGTACAGATGGTTGTGGCATTGGATGGAAGGGTGCTACAGAGTGGGTGCGGGTATGTGCGCGCGTGTGTGTGTGTGTGTGCATGTGCATGCGTATGTGTCTGTGTGTGTTTGTGTGTGTGTGTGTGTGTGTGTGGGGGGGGGGGATGGGGCTGAGTTTAGTGTATGGTTGATTGGATTAGTATGGCTAGGGTGAGGGATTTGGGCATTGTTGTGTGGTCCTGGGTGCTAGTTAGGTGTGGGTATTGTCGTGGTGGTATGGCGTTTACCTAACAGTGACTAGAAAGGAAGCAAAATTTAGCTCGTCTAGCTACCAGCTTACTACTATTAGTGCCCTGCCTAATAGCTTTCTTGTATCTATTGCATAATAATTTCATTTGCCCGATATTAAACTATAGTCATAATGGCTTGGTGTTTTCTCCTGATAATTCCCTTCCTGATTTTAAACGATTTCGAATCTAGGTCTAAAGTTATGCATGGAGGCGACTTTCAAAACTTCTTCAGTGCATTCCACTCAATGACCACTAATACGAGGTACAAGTATTTACAGTACTGTACTTATATTCGTGACTTGTTTGCATTTCCAGCTTCAACCTTAATCGTTGCCACTAGTGACAACTAGTTTATTGTATACTCCATACTTATTAAAAAAAAAAAAAAAAAAAGGAAAATTAAAGAGAGGAAAATAGGTCTTAATCAGACCTCGTGGAAATTTTAAATTAGCCATCTGCATATCCATAATTAATTGCAATGATGGCTAGTAATCAACTTATTGCACTGCAACTTTTATGAATTACAATATATTATTATGCAGTGGAGGTAAGCCACTATATTAGTATCTAAAAATAATGCTAAATACACTATATTACAGGGCTGATGTTTATAATTTCTGTCTACACAGATTATACTTTCATCACATATTTCCTTTATCTACTTGAAAGTGAAATATGCCCAGAGTCTAAGATTTGCAGATACTTTATCATTTATACAAGTATATATTTTGTCCCCAATAGCTCAATTTTCACAAAGTGTAAGATGTAATGATGTAGTACGTGTCCCTGTCTTTGTCCCCACACTACTGTATACACTTTGTCATCTAAATCCCCCATATAAGCTGAACTGTCACAGAGATGCTGTTAGCCACGACATATTCAATCTGTAAGTATCTGGGCACTCCATTGATTATTTCACATACTATTTAAGTCTTATTTTACATTAGTTGTTATAATTAACACAGATCTGGTAGTTTCTGTTTGCACTCTCCTGCTTTTCTCTTTTGTTCTACTTTGTCTCAATTTAAAAAGGCTGTTCATGTCCACCTTGTTTATTGTCAATATTTACTGTTCCCCTTTTCTCTAGGGGCGCGAGATTTAGTAAATTTGACCCATTCTTGTCGCTTAACTTTCCTAGTTCTGACAGTAATGTGGTAAATCTCAGCATCTCTCCAATTTCGGGTTTGTGCTTCAAAAAGTGGAGATTCCAGCCAGGTGGTACAATGCCAGGATTGGTCCCAAAACAACAGATATCTCTGTGAGGAAACTCTGGATAATTTAATAAAAGATCACAAAATGTAATGAAATTGTTTGTTTTTTATTTTTTTTTATTTTGAGCAAAGAAGGGTATTATTTTCAGAGCAATGTACCAATTTATAATTATTTTATTTATTTATTTCTATGTAGGAAACTAATGAAATTTGTTAAGTTATATTTTATATAAATGTGTGTCCCCTGCTGCCAAATCACACTAAATTTTCAGTTAATGGGGTTACTCCCCATTAACAGAAAATTTAATCCCCATTAACCAAACATAATCTGGTTAAAATGAGGGCGAGGAACTGGAAATTTCTGTCCAGGTAATCGGAGAAAACTGGGTATTCAGATACGTAATGGGGGATTCCACTGTACAGTACAGTACTGTGTTTAATTTAATTTATCCAATCTACATGCATCAAATCCTATCTTAATCCCTCATAGTCACCTTTACGAAACACCCGAGACCCACATACTTCCGAGTCTCAATTCACAATTTCTCAATGTCATGTCGATCCTCAAGAAATATAACTGCAGAAAAAACCACTAGGAAATTTCCTTACAGAAAGACAGATGGCTGGAACAGTCTCCTGTACATTGTGTCAAAAATATACCCTGTTAATATTTAAAAGAAATAACTACTGTATATCTAAAAAGGCAGCAGCACCAAGAGCATACAGCAGCTCTATTTCTGCAACTAAAATCAGGTAATAACCCTAGCACCATGAAAGCCACACCAAACGTAGGCACAGGGTTAAAAGAGTGCACTAAGGGACAGGTTTTGCTGACATTGGCACAAATACCAATGAAGAAAAATACCAAATACCATACAAGAAAAAACTAGATTTTTTGCAGAGCACAGAGCTTGATTTTTTATTCTAAGCACAGCAACATGAAGCAGCACTTAGATCGTCTTTAAATTCAGCATTCTGAATTTACAGACTCACCAGGAGGGCAGCGAGAAAATTATACGATTTATTGTTTACGATAATAGCAGTAGCATGATGCAATCTTTGCAAAACATATAAAGTGGTGGCAAACAACAAATAAAATGAGGAAGCACTTAAAAATCCCACATTATGACAGAGAGAGAGAGAAGACGTTTACTGGGTATTTTATAATTACCCGAACAAAGCCATCAGAAAAAAACATCAAACACATCATCAGACGAGCTAGCTAAAGTGCATTGCACGTTACATACAGTTGTAATAAAGGCCAAGAAACATAGATCATACCTTTTGTTATTATGAGCGAGGTGAAGCGGAAGACTAAGAAGGGTGCTGTGTTGCATCAGATGCATGTGTAATTTATTAATGGAAGTTGTTACTCCACAAACCTGAAAAAAAAGCAACATTACAACAGATCAAAATAACTCTACAATGACCATTTAAGCATTATACATATACTCCAGGTCATTAATAGTTACTGAATATGATTGCAAGTGTCATTAGTGATTAGTAGCCGACACATTAGAGTTAACTAATGTGATATGTTACACAAACATGGTGACTATTACATTATATGTATAAAAAAAATTAGATACAAAATAAATATGGTTTGATTGAATGAGAGCAATGATTAATGGTAAATATAAACATTATCTTTTTCCAAATTATTAACAAAAGTGATAAGATATCAAATAACTCAAATTTTTTTTAGAGGTATTTTGCGACAAAAATATAACAAAGTATATATTGTATTTATGATAATCCAAACACTTGAAACACATGCCCAATTTTGTATTATTTTAGCCATGTTGTATTTTATATTATATAACAATCAAAATTGTTGAAAAATTTACTATCTGGAAAATGTTTAATGTTTCTCCACAAGGATTAGCAAGAGTGTTCAGAGGCCTGGTCGAGGACCGGGCCGCAGGGACGCTACGCCCCGAAAACACCTCAAGGTAACCATCCCACATACAAATCAAGAAACAAATGAACATGCATGCAACTCCTGTCCTCAATAGGTTATATACTCATCCAAGATAAAAGAAATTATACCAAGAATATATACAAATGGAACTGCGCTCGACACAGAAAAGCTGTACTAGTCAATTTTTCCTCCCTTGAAATTTATAGATGCAAGACCTTTATAACAACGAACAAATTTTGTATACTAACAAAACACTCGAGAGAGGTGATACCCGGCTGACGACGTTTTGCACAATATACAATGTGTTGATAAAACTTATGCTCTTGATTAACTGACACACCACACATCTGAAAAGTAAAGAGTAGATTACAAACATCTGTAAAACTGGACTAAGGATCTTAAATTACCAAAACCTTGCACTATGGAAATACAGTACGGTGATGAGGAACGAAACCACTTACCAGTAGAGTTAATTCTACCCAACATGTTGCTCACTCACTTTCTGGTATTAAAGGAAGAGAGGCAGAGGCATAGTGAGAGAGGGAAACTGGGATGGAGAGAGAAGTAACCTTTGCCGTTTCCTAACACGCCACTATTTGGACCCACAGTTCTTGATATACTGCAAATGCAGGACAAACCTGAAGGTAATGAATCAATAATATCCCCTTTGCAAATGATGTAAAAAAAATTATTAATACCAGAAATATTGGAAGATTCTAAACATGCTGTAGGACATAGGGTAGGGCAGGGCAACCAGCCCATATCTGCCTGGTTGCCAGCAACTGTTGGATAGAACAGAACCATAAAAAAGCAAGGAACTTGTTGAATACAGTAAAACAAAATTGAAACATGAAAGGTATTTTATATCGAAACCGTCTTAAAATAAATACAGTAAACTTAATATTGACACATTTCAGTGCACTGTTAGTTCACTGAATACAAGCAATAATATGTAGCACAGTGCTTCTCATCTGATTCGTTCCAATCAATTTTAAAATCGAATTATAATGTACATTTATTTGATATCTGAAATTCACTGCCCTATTAATAATATTAATATTTCTGGCAAATCCCAACTAAAATTATTGAAGCGAACCACTGCTTCACCATACTTACAATACAAGAGCCACATACTTCTTCTCCCAATCTATAACATGCTCCTGCATTAGACGAACTTCTCCGTCATTCGAGACAACTACTGTAAGACTGTTCCACTTCAAGGTGTATAAGCAGGAGTCATGGTCTGAGCTGTTCGATAAGCTGTGGAGAATGGTGTTAAATGTGTGAGCTCATCTGCCATTACTTTAATTTTCAGACAAATAGATTTATCATCATGATATGCATTAATTATACTCAGTGCTGGGTTGAAATACATTATTATTCGAACTCTCCTGTTCACATTCTTCCAACCATTTATGATAGTTTTATTTGCCTATACAGTAAAATCTATTTTATAAAGTAATCTTTGTTTTCCTTTTTGAGAGTGATGTGAGTTCGGAAAGGCAGGGCAGTAGACTTTAATCTAAAATATTTTATATATACTGTATATACACACACATATATACATACATCATACATACATAAATGCACACACATACACATACACAATTATTTAGGCAAGGTGCTTTTTGAATACCTAATATGATGAGGTTTGCCAGAAATATTGACACTGTTGATGTTGCACAGTAAATTTCAGATAATAAATACCGTTATTATTTAAATATTGTTTACCCTTCATAAACATGATTTTACAACTAAATTTTCTTACACTTTATTTGTATTGCACTGCTTTTTCTGGAAGCATACATGTCTATTTTTCAGTACAGGCATATACATTGCATACAAATATATATTAAAAAAAAATTATGAATACAATAATTTAAACTCACCTGACACTTGAAGCTAATAACATTCATGTCAAGGTGCTCTTGAAATTCTTCCATATCTTTGAACTTCGACGTACAAAAGGGGCAAGTTTTAGCTTCTTCAAGGTCTACGTAATGCTCAGTGTAAGCATGATATGCCAACACCTCTTTGTTCTGACAACATCGGTGGCAAACTTGGCAAATTTTCCTACAAGAGAAATCATAATCAGCATTTTCATGCGTAAGTATTAATTCATTCTAAAATGGCATCTGAGAAATAACTAATTAAATAATATTGTCCGAAATGCTAAATCCAACATTGAACGTAATGAAATGCCGCTTTCTGGGTGAATCCTAGTGGTTTCCTGAAGTAATATTTACCAAGATAGCTTTCCATACATAGCAATATTTACCGAGATAGCTTTTCATACACAGTCACATCAGTCTTTGAAGTTCTGTTGACCATTCAGAGAACCAGAGCCTCCACAATCCCAAGAGAGGTGCAGAAGGCAGGGGATTGCTATGATCACCCTCACATGGGAAAAGCACCTTTAGAGGCAGGCAAGACAATACAAAGAACTGCATGGTTCACGAAAATGAAGCACTGAAACGGCCAACAGATACCGTCCAAGAACTTCTCAAAACAAAATGGCTCACATGAACCAGATTATAGAAACGGCCCATAAAGAACATGCACAGAGCTGCCAGCCAGTGTTATCCTAGCAACCAACCGGAACAGTCTGGGGCTGATGAACCACAAAGCAATATACCTGGTAGGGTGGGGGGATGGGGTTGATGGAGTTAGGGAGCCCCCCCGGAATCACCCAGAAAAGGGCATCTTATTACATCCAACACTGGTTTTCTGAGGGGAGGCCCCCTAGTGGCTCCTTGAAGCTAACTACAGAGAAGAATGAAAATATGGGACTTACCAGGGAGGAGGAGGAGACAGCAGCCACAAAGGCTTAAAAGAAACACCAGGCCAGGAACATTTAGCACAAGCCTAACTAGAACCAAGAATATTCATTTGATACAATATTCCCACGACCCAGTTAGATTTTCAAAACCCGAGCCTTAATAACATCATGGCGAAGATGGTGGCCAAAGCCATGAACTGACGAACAATGAAAGCCTGAGGGAAGACTACGGGCTGGCTAGTGTTAAAGACATTGCAGAAAGACCCCCGGGACAAACACGTCGTGGAATGGAGGACAAACACGTCCTTTATCTAACAACCGGAGGCCAAAGTCAACAAAAACAATGCCTAAAAAAATAAAATATCTCTGATCGACGGGACAACACATAAACCAAAGGAAAAAACACCCACACTTGATTGAGAGAGTAAGATGGCTCAGGGCAAGCAGAAAGCGGCCAAAAGAAAAAGATGACTCGAGGCAAAGTACGAAACGGCACCGAGGAAGTAGAGTACAGTATCAACACTGAACACCAGATAGAAGAAAGGTGAAAGGATTGCAGGATAGTTTATATTGCTGCCACTATGAAGACACAGGTGAGACAACAACAAAACAGCACCAGCACACCACAAAAATATTGGACAATTCATGCCAGGATGAGACACAGAAAGCCAGAAAAAAAGGAACCACCACAGTACGCCACCAGGCTGATTTACAGAAAGAGGCAGAGCTAGTTCCATGACAATGTGAAGAGGCCCTCCTCAGGGCAACCAAACATCTTGCAACCAAACTGAAGGATGGGTTGGTCTATCCCAAGTCACATTGCAGACCTGCAGGAGAATTGTCAGAACCTGAAGGCGACTAAACAGGACACTCCGGCACTAGGGATGTTCTCCGGAAGAACCAACACTGAAAGTAGCCTATAAAAAAAGCAAAGCTGAGAAGGGTGACAGCACAGTGCAGTATAAACAACATGCATACCCTATCACATCTCATATGGAAACAAATAGGACGCCCCAACCATATGGTCTAGTAAAGGAATTACAACTCGAACATTACCCAGGACGAGGCTCTCCATCTCTGTGGCCTGGCCTCTCACGGTCAGTGGTGAGCATACCAGAGAAATAACTATCACTGCAGAGGCAATGCTAAGTGAGCATTTACAGATACCCTAAACACAGCTGAAAGCCCAGATTATAATATGTCCACATAACAAGTCAGGCCAGTAAACACATGCCTGTGAGCACAAACGAAAAATTAGGAACGATAGCCAAGCAAATGGTCTCCAAAAGAAAAAAGCCCAATGGATTTATCTACTTATCTTAAAAAAAGAAGAGGGACATGCTAAAACCAGAAAGAGAATAGTGGCCAAGGCCACTGCAACAGAACAAAATCAGCTGGCTGCTAAGATGCCAGTGGCAGGCAGCTCTGCACACACGCAATAGGGGGCGATTTGTACCCCAGGTTCGAATGAAGCATTTCGCTGTGAGCAATTTTTTGGCAGTTTCCATTTGCTGTTCTGGCACTTTATTTTCACGATCCATGTATGTAGTTCTTTGTATTATCTTGTCTGCCTTTCTGGGTGCTTTCCCATGTGAAGGTAATTGTAACTACTGTATCTCCTGCTCTCTGCACTTCTGTGAAGTAGGGAAAGGGGGGGAGGGGGTAGCCAGGTTCTGGCTCTAGGTCCCCAGTAGGCCAACAGAATTTCCAAGATTGATGCAACTGTGCATGGAAAGCTGTCTTGGCAAATATAGCTTTATGAGCTTCAGGAAGCCACCAACAGGGCTAAACCAGAAATGAACAATAGAGAAAAATATCTGAAGTCTTCTTTAGTTAAATCCATGTATTCCACAGCCGATTCAAGTAGCTAAGAAAGCACATTGTACAGTATTTAAATGTTCATCGGTGATATGTTACACTATCCAGGTGTTTGCTACTTTTCTTACACTATCCTCATAAGATAGCAATTTCACTTATTTTATATCCATTTCCTTTTACAGTAATTTGCTCATATCTCAAGTGTGTCTTTGTTTTATTGTTCTTTATACATGCTGATGTACTAGTAATCTGTCTTGAGCACATATGTCTTGGTTAGTACAAACAAAAGGATAACCTGCTAAACTTTTATAATATTAAAATTAGAACATACAGTACAACTTTTCAACACTAAATTTTTTAACAACTACATGTATGGAAATATGCTATACCCATGTTGATTTTAAAAATATTTAAATGCAAATATTTAAATATTATGATTTTAATAATTAGAATATTCTGTAAACAATACAATATTCCTAAAAATTCAACTATGTAATTTCAATGAAGAAATTAACAGGCATGAGCAATAGGGAAAAAAAGGATTGAGCCAAATAGATTAGAAAAAGAATTAACAAGAAGTTGTTTTATAAAGTTACCTTAATTGTTAGTATATATTTCTCTATGTATCAAGGAATAATAAAAAATAACCAATACCTTCCATAATTACAGTCTGGTACGTGAGAGAGACGATGAAATCTAAGATGGCTGTGGGTCGAAGTCCAATCACGTAACTGAATCCCACACACAGTGCAGTCTCCAATCACCTGTCCACCAGTTGCATTGGTAGTAGACTGTGGTCTCTCTTCTCGAACATCTTCAACTTTATTCCCAAGAATATGATTAGAGGTAGTCAGTTTAATTTGCTGCCAGAAAGCAATGCTAGCATGTCCTGCTTACACACAAAATCCTAATGAAAACTAGCAATGTATCACCCACATGAGGACAATGCTAAAAATCTATCTCCAGATGAGAACAGGGTGCAGCACCGAGTATCAGATACACATTGTTTACAAGGGGTTCCAAGGAGCTCAGGGATTATAATGACTACAGGTTAGTGCTAAGCATGGGTTAATGGAGACATACAGCAAAGAACTGGTGAGAAATTCCAGGTATACCTCTAGGGTCAAATAGTGCACATGCTGAGGAAGTAGCCACTGGCAAAATTACTTACTAGACAACCTAGACAACACCCATTGATCACCACTAAGTTAACCTAGGCAACACCCACTGATTACCACTAAGTTACAGCACCACACCCACCCCAGGATCAAATGACTCGAGCCACCCCATGTACTATCTGGCACTAAGTGAGTGACCCAGTTCACATGATATGGGGAAACAAAAATTAAGGTATGGGAGTAGCTGAATGATATAGCTCAGAAAAAGCTTGTAAAATTAACTAAGAGCCCTGTTTCCATTCCTTACAGTCAAATGTTTTCAAGTAGCAAGAATAAATGGACTCAAAGTAGTAGACAAATTGGCAGAAATAATCACCTTTGCTACCGACTGGTGCCCAAAGCAGGCCACCATGATGAGTACGACCTAGTACTGCCACCAACATTGCCAAAGCTCAGCAAGAAGTCAGTCTGCAAATGGCCACACATGGCCAGCCTAAAAGGCAAAGCTTGAGAAGGTAGCATAATACCTTTAAGTGAAGAGGCAGATGATATGCCATAAACCCCTAGTTTTAATCTTAAACAGAACTTGGCAGAGAAGATAGCATAATTTAAAAATCATGTGAATGAGGATATACTTTTTTTTTTTTTTGAGATATATACAAGAGTTGTTACATTCTTGTACAGCCACTAGTACGCGTAGCGTTTCGGGCAGATACTAGTGGTTTTATGGACTCAAGCTTAGATACAGAGCAGCATCACCCTCAGGATCGATGAAATGCCACGGCCAGCAGTTAGCACTGAGGTAAAGCAGCCGGGCAAAGAGTGATGCACCTCTGGTTAGAGTCAAACCATACTAACAAAAGGCCCTCTGAAAAAATGTCAAATTTTTCACATAGACATCTGGGTTGTAACCGAGTACTTCTTTAAGAGGTTTCCTTACCAAACATAATGAATCCGATACCAAAGTTAAATAACTGTACTGGTTGAAGGCACCAGAAAATGATAAAGCAATATAAAATGCAAATAAAATGTTAAAGAGAAGAAGGCTGAATTACTTTTAAGGAAAATGGGAAATGGCCAGCCCACAGCACTGACCCACCTGGAGAAAGCCACAACTGCTTCTGCAGCACCAATTCCAGAATTTCTGCATTCTATACCACTACTAGTGATTATTCTATATACAAACCTATAGTAACTGGCCACTACTGCAGTTTTTTCTACTCTAACTTACACAAACTGCCTTTTCCAATCATTTCTAAAAATTATCTGCCTCCCATCCCCATGAAGCCATTTTTCACTATCTTGAAGCGTCAGGACTGCACTACAATAGAAGAGCGCACATCACTCAGCCCACCTCTTTTTCCAACATCTGAATATGATCACAGTGGAGAAAAAAGATGGCTGTCTGAGGCCGACATTTTCTCAGATGATGAGACCACCATATTCGTGCAAGACGCTAACTATTTACCTGACTGCATTTATACTAATCCTTCACTGGTCATTGGGGACCTTAATGCTCGGCACACAAGCCTTGGGACAAAAAAAGATAAAAATGCTCATCGTCTTACTGGAGCCATTTTTCACTATCTTGAAGCGTCAGGACTGCACTACAATAGAAGAGCGCACATCACTCAGCCCACCTCTTTTTCCAACATCTGAATATGATCACAGTGGAGAAAAAAGATGGCTGTCTGAGGCCGACATTTTCTCAGATGATGAGACCACCATATTCGTGCAAGACCCCCTAGAATACTGCACCGATTCCAGGAATCACTCAAGTGTAACACAAAACCTATAGCCACTCAGCCACACCACCTGTAGGGTGACAGGATTGATTCATTTCTCCTGCGACTCCCTCAGCACATACTTGACCTTGCATGGATGATTGAAAACTCAGTGAATCACCATGCACCACATGTTCTCGGCCAGACTACCTACAATATTAATGTCCAAGGTCGCAGAGGAATCTTGGTCTACTTCAGGGAGCATTTGAATATAAGAACTATGAAACTGCCTATGAAAAATGCTAAGACTTAGTTTAACAGACTTAACACCAGACTCACCTTTTTCATCCTCTGAAATTTCTTTCTTATTTAACTCATCAGCTTCCAATTCTTTTTCTTCCTCTTTAAAAATACTAATTTCCAAATCCTCCTCTTCATCAGTGGAGTTATCTTCATTACCTTCAATATCAATTTCATCCTCGTTCTGATCATTGTCAGGTGATTTCTCGGAAGAATCCCCATCATTACTTGCACTTTTCATGCGAGCCTTTTCTTCCTTCACAAGTTCCTTCTCAATAGATGCCAGCTGTTCTTCATCTGCAACGTAATCCTCCCATTTTTGGGGTTTACGAGATTTTCTTCTCCCTCCTGACATGTCTCCACTAGTTTATTCTGTTGTAAAATTAATTTAATTACAAAATAAATACACAAGATGTGTAATATCAATAACACCAATAAAAAATCTAAAATAAATTTATACGTATCGTGATAAAAATACAATATTGTGTCATTACACAAACAATAAGGCAATATGAAATATGCTAACATAACCTTAACCTAACCCAAACCTAATTACCCTAATTCTAGGGTAAGGGTAAAGTATAGTAACATAAGACAGGTGTGCAAGGTTTGGCAGAGAACAGGCAGTTGATGATTTGTCACTGCCATTGTCCCTACCTTGCAACAGAAAACCAGACTTCAAGGAAAAAGAGGGTACAGTATACAAATCTGTATAATACAGTATTCAACTGCATAAATCTCTGGTGCATCCCCACCTGGATTATTGAAAGCAAGCATGGAGACTTCATATTCGAGAAGACATTTGCCTTACAGAAAGTTCATAAGGTGACAAATATCATTCCAGAACTAAGTCAACTCTCATATGGTTGACACCAACTTCAAGCTCAACAAGCCACATTATAGACCAGAAAACAAAAGAGGCTTTTTCACCCATAAGGTTGTAAATCCATGGAACTGCCTACCCACCAAAGCCATTCATGCCAAAACACTGCCGAATTTCAAATTCCACTTCGGTAAAAACCTTAGGACAAATAAGGGGACCTTTGAAAAGCCACTGGCTTCCTGTCCTAATTGAGGTTCCTGGAGAGAAAGTGGCCATCAGGTAAATCTAAGTAACAGAGGTGGATGAAGCACTCGAGAATTATATTTGTTAGCTATAATTAACCACATGAAATATTTTGAAAACCAAATTACTATAATTATTTCCCCTAAACTGTTAATTATACTATATACTCTTGCCCATTAAGTCACAAACAATATATTCACAATACAAAAAATTATTATATATATAAAATTTATTAGGAGGCTTAATTAGCCTAATTATAATACAGAGCCTCGTACAAATTAATAAAAGTTATTATATAGGAGTCATTATAGTCATTATATATTACCAAACATATGAGAAGGGTCGGCCCAAGTGGCGGCAGCGACCCTGGGTCACCCACAAGACTCTATCTAACCCACGCTACACACCAATACTCTATGACAATACAGTCAGCTACAGACCATCACGCTACTGACACACACATATACAGTATAAATGAACACTGTAGAGTAAATAAGGAGCTTGTAGGAGGCTGTAATACTGACACCAACAAGGGTGTCCCTGCAGGCCTGGCTGGGTTGTTTATACTGAACCTGCAGCCTACCTACCTACCTTCTTTTCAGCCTTCAACAACCTCCCTGTCTAATTTCTTTCTAACTTTAAATCTATATTAATTTGGGTTATTTTCAACTCTAGGGGTCATATAAATAATAGAATAAATATTACTGGTATTTTGGTATAAGGGGGACCTTTGACAAAGAAGCTTGTAGGGCGCCAAAATCAAATTTGAATTTAATTTATACAATAGGCCTACAATCTTCTGATTTATAATTTCATTAATTTTGTCGTGGATAGGTAGCAAACATATATATATATATATATATATATATATATATATATATATATATATATATATATATGTATATATATATATTTAATGTGTATTATTATTTGTACCTGCAGAATTTAGACCCCCCTTTCTAACCAATCTATTTTTCCTCTATTATGTCTAATACATATATTTCTAACACACACACACATCTCCAGGAAGCAGCCCGTAGCAGCTGTCTAACTCCCAGGTACCTATTTACTGCTTAGGTGAACAGACGCATCAAGGTGAAAGAAACTGCTTATTTGTTTCTGCCACGGCCGGGAATCGAACCCGGGCCTTTATGAAAACGATTCCCTAGCGCTGTTCACTCAGTCATGATCGAGAATGAGAGAGTTTTGGAGGTAATGTGATCTTTGGTTTTGAAAGAATACATGTTGACTGATTGGTGAAAATTAAGCCTCTAGCGCGCATAGCGTTTCGGGCAAATCTTTAATCCTAATTTTCCCTGGAATTTGACCCGCCAAATCGTTTTACAACCAGGTATCCATTCACTGCTGGGTGAACAGAGGCTACAGTTAAGGATTGGCGCCCACTAAATCCTCCTCGGCCTCGATACGAACCCAGGCCAAGTAAAGTATTAGAGGTGTAGAAGCCAAGTATTAAGTTTTAGTCTTTAGTGTTTTTCCTGCCCGAAACGCTTTGCGTCATAGTGGCTTTAGGCATTTTATGTACTAGCTCTATCTATAAATGCATCAATGTTTGTATCACACCTTGTATGTATGTACTTTACCTTAATAAACATTTGAATTTTGAAAAAGTTTATTGAGAAAAGGGAGTACATCTCAAAATGACAGAGAGCTGCTACGGGCTGCTTCCCGGGGGGTAACAAAAAGGAGGCCTGGTCGAGGACCGGGCCGCGGAGACGCTAAGCCCCGAAATCGTCTCAAGATGATTTGAGATGATTTTCTATCTTGACTCAAGATAGGCTATTTCTACCCTCGTCTACCCAGGCCAAAACGCTGGCAAAGTGTCGGGAGAGTGTTTTACCACTGCGCCACGGAGACTGCACGGGGATTCCATCTATGACTAACCATCCTGTGAGATGGGGATATTAGATGATTTTATAGCTAGTTTTTTATCTACACTGTGTAATCTTTAATATAGAATGGGGTAGCAACACATCACTGCATTCACCTAGTTGTGCTTGCGGGGGTTGAACTCTGCTCTTTCGGCCCGCCTCTCAACTGTCAATCAACTGTTTCTACTACTAATGTGTATACCTAAGATCGTTAATTACTTGTGTAAAGGAGGAAATGTATATGTTTATCTCTCAGAATGTTTGGTAATACGTTTATTGCTTGTGATGTGTGTCTATGTATGTATTAACACGATGTACTGAACGGGGTGAGAATAGCTTGAGCTACCTCATCCCTTTGTGTGTATTTTACCTCAAATAAACTTATTTCAATTTCAATTTCAAGATCGTTAATGAAAAAAATGGTAATGATACAATGCTGTTTAGTATATTTATATTGGATCCTTTTTCTTTGATGCGGATTGCTTCTAAAAAGTTAAAAATTCTAGAAATACTTAACAAAATGTTAAACAAAACAATATAGACTTTCTTGTAAACAACTGTCATTGTCAAAAAGCAATAGAAGAAAACGTTTTCAAAAAGTTGTTGTACTTTGTTATAGTTTCCCGTAACTCATCCCCACATAGAAAACTATATTGAAACCTGTGTCACGTTTTCTCTCCACACGTCCCCAAGATGGCAATGTATATTTAGTACACAGCTCCCGTCTCCTGGCCTTGCGTTAATTTATGATAAAACTCTACATTTCCACTAAAACGTTCTTCAAAGAGCAAAGAATTCGGTGGATTGTATTTACGATCATGTTAATATTCGGCATTAGAACGTGTCCCTCACAGCCCCCAAATGGGAGTCCACAATGAAGAAGAGTTTGAAGGGTCGACAATGAGTGCTGAGAAATGCTCGCACAAGGTAACATTTCAGTGGCCCAGCTGCCAACTTCAGTCAGCAGGAGGAGCATGCCATGTGCCTCAGTGTGTGTTGTTCCTTGGTGCAGTGAGGTATAGGGTCGACAGCTGTCCTCACCGGAGACCCCGATCGTCGCCAGTGAAAGAGCATACGGTTTTGTGACTGAGAGTCGTGCCTGCTATGTGTAGGGTCGCTGGAAGCAAGCATATGATATTTTGTAGTATTAGGTGCATGTTATATACCTGGCGCAGTGACACCTGGTGACCCTCACACACACCTGATGGCCCTCACGCTCACCTCTCACATACCTGGTGGCCCTCACTCACCTCACACATACCTGGTGGCCCTCACATACCTGGTGGCTCTCACGCTCACCTCTCACACACCTGGTGGCCCTCATGCTCATCTCACATACCTGGTGGCCCTCACCTCTCGCACACCTGATGGTCTCATGTGTAGCATTCTCTCAGCTGGGGTAGGGGGGGGGGGACCCGCACGGTCACCTCATACGCCTGGAGGCTTCAAGCTATTTCTTACACATCTGCCAAGCTATTTCTCAAACATCTGCCTAGTTATTTCTCAAACATCTGCCAAGCTATTTCTCAAACATCTAGTAGCATTACGAAGCACTTTTCTCAGCATTACAAGAAAATATTAATAGCGTATTGGAGAATTCTGAACAATTCAGTCCATCATCAAAACAAACTTGTTAGGTTTACAACGTATACGTCAAATACTGATGTACTCAAATCTACGTAAGTGAATATTTGACTAACAGTTCACCGAGCAATGCTCGAAACTATGACTCGAATTGTGCTTAGTTCACTTTCAGCCCGTAGCGTAAACAACTCCTTAAATCAATGTAACCAAAACGCCTAACTATGCATAAATCCACAATATATAATAATGTTAATTTACATTTCAGAACAAACGTTTGTTATTATACTGTATATAAGATTCATCCTGTCAATTGGGTGTATGCAGTGTAAGCCACATACTGCAGCATGTCTATTGGTGCTTGCCGATCGAAAAAGCTCTGTACTTAGCAAACATGATGGTGGTATTAATATTAATGAAGGCCTGTAGACATTATGTGAACCAAGAAGCACAGTTATCAACAGTATCAATATGACAGCCCCAGATTTTTTTTTAGAAGGTTTGCTTTGCAGAATGCGTACGTGAATGAATTTGCCGTGAAGCCTACTACCGGATATCGACTCAAGTAAGTTTCAATTTGTATAATAATAGTTGTTAATAGTTGTAACAAAATATATTCAGTCTTATACGTCATTTAATTCGGATTCCAACATTTTTACAAGGCTACATACCACTCGCAATTCATAATGCTACAAAGTGTACATTGTTTTGATTATAGCTTTAGTAATAAATAGTGGTTTAATAAGAGCGAATTGATACAGTAATGTATACTTAAAGTATTTTAAGCACCTACCACCTGAGCCGTAATAAATTGTTGATGCTTCATAGTGATGTCACACACTTTGTGCAGACCATATACATATGTAAAACATAATATTGTATATCTTATTTTGATTAGGCTGGGATAGGGTAAATTAGGTTAGGTTGATTTAGGTTGTGTTGTGTTGGATTAGATTTACCTAAAGCTTAGAGATGACGTAGGGTGGCTGAAATTAGCTCGTCTTAGATCCTACTCATTTTAAGAGCAAACATGACTAGCATATTTAGACTGAAAAAACCTATGGAAGAACTATGCTCTGTGGAGGGGTAGATAAGTAATTTACCTTAACTACTTAATATCAGGTATGTGTCTCTTTCATTCTCTTCTAAATTGGTTAAAAAGCAGTACAGTATTTTAATTAATGTATTAATGGAGCCATTCCATAATATAGTATATTCGCATGACAAGCTATGGCCGAACCGCACTATTGAAGAGCAGCCCGTATACTTGTTTCTCGTGTGATATTTATTAATTCTATTACAACCCTCTAAAAAGGCTCTTAGGTGGGGATTGGTATTTACCTAAGAGTTTTAAAAATATTAATTAAAAATATGACTGTGTCCCCCTTTAAATAGTATGTCAAACTACTAACCAAACTTAACCTATTCTACTCTCGAGTAACTGCGCAAGATACTGTGAAATCTGTCCGCTGCAGTATACCAAAATGTCAATAGTTTTTCTGGTACTTTATTCAGTGCAGTCATGAGTCGACTTATTTCGGTTCATGCACTTCAGAATATTTAACACACACTGTTTAAATAAATATATAGAACATTTTAAAATTGTCGTAATTAACTTTTTCAGCTTTTGCGAATGCCTGGAAAATTCCTTACTCTGATTTTGAGAGTATAAATACATTCGACAACTCACGACGAAGATATTACAATAGATACAACTATCGCCATCGGTCTTTAATCTGACATGCTAAAAAGACAGTACCAGCCATGGGCCAGTTTCACGAAAACACTTACGAACCTGTACATCTTTTCTCAATCTTTGGCGGCTTTGTTTCCAATTATTAAACAGTTAATGAGCTCCGAAACACCAGGAGGCTGTTTATAACAATAACAACAGTTGAATGGGAAGTTTTCATGCTTGTAAACTGTTTAATAAATGTAACCAAAGCCGTCAAAGATTAAGGAAAGATGTACACGTTCGTAAGTACTTGCGTAAGTGCTTTCGTGAATTTGGCCCCATATCTCGAACGTTTTCCACCAAAGGGACAATTTCCCATACCACACTGGAACAATGTTTTGAGTGCTACACTGGGACAATATTTCGAGTACTTTAACTGAATTTATTTTCTGCAATCAGCAGATCTTTAATGGACAGGACAGCAGGAACCTAGCTCCAATTTTAAAGTTTAATCACGAAGTAGCCAGTTTATTTTTCACATCTAAATATTTATTAACTGAAATATAATTACTTTTTGTTATCAAACAATACATCGTAGGTTTAATTGAGCCATATAAACACAACTTTCAGATCTCCCTTTAGTGAAGTTACCGCGACTCAGTCCATAGAGAACCGAACGTAACCTACCTCTTAAATTCCTGAGTTAGCAAATAAATTATCATTTGCAGTGACACGAGCATCGCTTGTCCTGAAGCAACAAAGAACATAACCAAATTAGCCTGACGCCAGAACCTCGCTGCACTACCAGGAGGAGTTTAAATAGCTAAATATCCATTTATTCTTTATCTGGCTCCCCGGATACACTTTGAGCGCAAGAAAGTAAATCCTGATATTGTCGAACTGTGAGAAATTTCCAGATAAAAATAGTCAGACTTCATTTATCACTATACATGTATAGTGATAAATGCCTACTAGTAGGCGATGAGTCACAATAACGTGGCTGAAGTATGTTGACCAGACCACACACTAGAAGGTGAAGGGACGACGACGTTACGGTCCATCCTGGACCATTCTCAAGTCGATTGTGAGATCGACAATCGACTTGAGAATGGTCCAGGACGGACCGAAACGTCGTCGTCCCTTCACCTTCTAGTGTGTGGTGTGGTCAACCTACTTGCATATTCACACGTACATAATACAGGGTTACAGCAATACTATTAAGGCAGCAGACCAAGGATACCACACATTGCTTCAGAATGACGTAGTAATCACTCTACGGCCTTCAATGAGCTGTGGGCTCCACTTGTCCCGTCTTGGTGTGAAGATGTTCTCCAGAGTTTCGTATCCTTGTTTCTACATGTCCTCCTTCTTCAAGTATATTACAGCAAGAGTTGTTGTCCTCGACACCAACCGGATTCGATGTTGATGTCTCACAGAAATCACTTCTCAAACTTGCATCACAATGCATAGCTATTTACTTCAGCTACTGGATAGGCTGATACATTGTTCCTTATGTCTTGACAATTCATTCTGTAGCCAGAAACCAAGTAATCTTCTGCTGAAGTTGTTCCCCCACTATTCATTCGACATCTACTTCAGGAAGAGACGCAATGCCCGAGACAATTTTTAAAACCATAGTATACTATAATATTACGTAAAGATTGTGTTTTACTGAAGATACATCACATGACGATTGCAAAGCTTCAACAAAATACTTCGTCTGACAACACATGCGTCATATAAAAACGTATTTTCGGCAAGCATGACAACTCCTGCGATGGCATGGTAAATACTTTGCCTCCTGGATTCATGAGACATGTCCGTAACTCACCTTCAATGATGACGCACGTTCACGAATAGCCTCGTTTGATTTTTCTTTTAGAAACATCTTTTCTTGACACACTACTTTAAATAGACTGGCGGTTGGGCGTGGGGACGCTTGGTGACCGTGAACAGGTTAAGCGCCTCCCTGTGTCAGCACCATTCTGTTTCTTGGTCGTTTAACGTTACAAAAGTTTCAGCAAAACAAAAATATTAATAGATAAGTTTCGGCAGTGATGAGCCACTAAAGGAAGCAAGAGGTAATTGTGAGGGAAGAAGTTACCAAACTTACAAATTTTTCTGAGCCTTGGATATCTTTGCGATTTGCTCTTCTTCAACTTCCATCATGACTGATGTTTATAGCCTCTCCTAGGGGGCCCAATTTTGTATAATTATGCACGGCTTTTGAGTAAAATTGTCTGTATTCTTCTTCTATTTCAAACTTACATTCAGGATTTTGTGAGTTTCAGTTCACATATGAATCAGAAGAAAAATATCAAAAGTAATTGGGTACAAAATAAGTAACTGCTGAATAAATTGATACACATACAGCTTGATACAGTATCAGCTGTATGTGATTCAATCGTATGAGAGTGATCTGTAAAAATACCTATAGTCTCATATTCTGACATATTACAAAAAAGACAATAAGAATTATTTAGTTTAAATACAAGATACAGATGAAACCACCTTCCTGATAAATGTTATTTACTGGAAATAACGACACTGAAAATGGCAGCATCAATAGGCTACACAATTTATATTGTAATGCTTTATAAAGTAGCCTAATTTCATGTATGCGCGATAACAATCATTTTAATACAATGTCACTTCGTTTGTCAAGTGTAAACATAATGTGTTCTAAATGTAGGATATTTTACGAGAATGTGACTAATTCTACAAGATGGTTGAATCACTTGTGGACCACGAGAGGGTGAGTCGCTCGAGCCAAATGTATTGCTAATATATCTTGTAAATCATCACACACATCTTACGAATGTGTTTATGAACGTGTGTGTGTGTACTCACCTAGTTGTGCTTGCGGGGGTTGAGCTTCGGCTCTTTGGTCCCGCCTCTCAACCGTCAATCTACTTGTGTACAGATTCCCTAGCTTCTCGAGCTCTATCATATTTGAAACTGTGTATGGAGTCAGCCTCCACCACATCACTTCCTAGTGCATTCCATTTACTAACTACGCAGACACTGAAGTGAGTGAGTGAATGAGTGAGTGAGTGAGTGAGTGAATGAGCGAGCGAGCGAGCCAGCTGGGATGATTTGTATCACAGGTGGGGATGGTACTGTGGAGGACTAAGAGGGGCTCTGGCTTAAAAATACATTCTGACGAATGTACATTCCCGACTGTCTAGTTCAGCATGTATATGGAGGTTACCTTTCTTCGCCACTTTGAAATATGATTACCCACGTGTTTTTCATACATTAGACTTCTCAAAAGACCTGTCGAGCAACACATCTCTTAAATTGTCCACTAGATGGAAGACATCTGAAGCCTAACACCGACAGAAGTCATTTTTTTGGTTAATTAGCTGTTAAAAAATAATCAGAACATTGTCAACTGTTACCCAAATTTAATAAGCAAATACAAAAATATGTTTGTTCAAATTTAGAAATATGGATCGTAATTATTATTATTATTCTAGTGCATTATTATTATTATTATTATTCAGTTCAGGTGCAACAAAAGTGGTACTATTGATTCAAGAAAGCTCGCTCCCCAGCACATGTGTTTAGGAAGCTTGTTATACATATATAAAGCAGAAAATATGGATCAGAACTATACAATCTATAAAAAGCAAACTATATTGCTGTACAGTATGTTCTTGAATATAACAATCGTCATCTACCGTGCTCTGGGACGATGCTATCGTCATCTGGTGTCTTCTTTAATGACGATATCGTAATCTGATGTCCATTTGGAATGATGCTATGTATAGTGTATCAGTGCTACCAATATTATGATTTAGTATATTGTTAGCTTTCAAAGGAACGACATAATTAGATGTAAATCTGTCACAAACGTTTGTAATCCAGTATGGCGAACGAAGCTAATCGCTCAACCCCTAGGACAGGTAAGGCATGATAATCACCACGAGAAACTGCTAAGCCGGTAATAACTATATAACAATTGACTGATATATGACGATGGTGATAATAAAATAAGGTAATTCTCAGGAGGAGAAGACCAAAGTCTATTCCAGAGACCGGCTACGTTATAGCCACAGAAATATATGTTTTTTTTCTCGACAATAGATCAATGATAAGGATCACAATAACGTTTCCATCGTTTGGACCCAGAACAACACCTCTTCCAATCACTCACCACCTCCCATTGTTGTTGTTAAAGATTTAGCTACTCGAAACAAAAGTTCCAAGTAGCACGGGCTATGGTGAGCCCGCAGTCCCACAGAATAGTACGTAAACAGCAGTAAACAGGCCCCTCAAGATGTTAAAGGTTTTGGAATGTACTAAATCCCTGTAAACTGCAAACACACACGCCGTATTTGTCGGCGAATAGCACAAATTTCTGGTTCACCACCTACAGAGTATATATTTTATTTACATGCACAGTCAGTTTTTCCCTTCAAAACCACTTGACGAAACATACTAAAGCTTTTTTTCTAACAAAATATCATTTTAAAATATAGATTTTACGCCAGCAAATATAGCATGTAATTCAGTTGACGAGCTAGTGGCTACGGCTGTCATATAGTCATAGTTCAACTCTCCACTGGGCGTTTTCTGTTAAGTCGTGTTCATCTTTGTAGAATATCCCGATTTTCAGGATCATAGTACATCTTGCTTTCCTAATATTCCTCTGGGTCGCTTGTCCCTCGACACAATTCTTGGCTAATCCGATACCTTTGATATCGCTCGCCTTGTGTCCTTTTGTATTGGCATATACTTAGCGATTAGATACGATTCTTAGCGCCAATACTATTGTATTCCGCTACAGACGGCGCTACGGTCTTCTCGGCTTGGTTTCTTCTTTTGCTAATTACTTTCTATTGATTATATTTACAATATAGTTTTTATTAGGGGGGAATGGCATTAGTGTTGCTGTTTACATTGTTATACTCATACCGGAATATCCGTAGGTGATCGCAAGGAACCATGGCGTTCGTATTGCTGCCGTGTGACTTACCAACATGGCCCACTATCCAGCGTCACCTCCACTCTCTGCGAGGCACCTCCAGCCCGGAGCATCTCTCGCAAGTCCTCTACACTCTACACTCTCTCTGCAAGTATGTTTTGCACTCCGCCCCACCCCAGAGGGAGGAGGGCTTCCTCCTTCTTCATTAACTATTGTCTTATGGATGATATTATCCTGTTTGGCGGTGAATATGAACAGTAGCCTCTCTGCCCTGTGTAGCAGTGAATATAAGCAGTATCCTCACTGTGTGTAGGTGAATATGCGCAACATTCTCACTGCAATAAGATCTTTCTGAATTAAATTAAGTAAAACTGTAATAAAGACGTTACTAATAAACTTCATTAACAGTCCACGTAGTAAATAAAATACCAAATTTACGACCCATTAAATTCAAAACCTAAAAAAGGTTAAAAGTGGCCAGTCAAGTTAATTTGATTTGTAACTAATTTGACCAGTAACTATGAGTGACCACAGATAGCAAGATATCAAATGCCCAAATCAGGGTTTTCTAAATATCCATTCCAATTCATAACAATTCTAAATCACTTCCTCGCGGGATTTAATCCTTTTGGCTGCCGAACGCCTTTCATGGCGGGATGATCTTTCAGTGTGAGTATTGACCCCGACATGAGCGAAGCGCTGCCCGAGGAGATGTTCGCGGGCGTGGAGCAGTTCCTTAGGCTGGAGGCTGACCCTGGGTTCTTCTCCACCACTCTCCCGACCATGCTTGACGCGGCGCTCAGCCTCAAGGAGCTCAAACCCCCTCAGGGGCTCACATACTCCCTCCAGCAGCAAGGTGAGTTGGAGAGGGCTTAAGAGTTGTGTGGGGTTGTTAGTGTGTGTGCATTCACAGCACATGAATGAGAAAGTGTGGTTGTGACGTGAGTAAGAGAAATCATCTTTGAGAAAGTTTTTGTTAGTATATTTAATAGTGAGGCTTTTCGGAGACTTGTAATCTATAAGATAAGGAAATCTAGATTATTTCTTTATGCTATAGCGGATAATTTAGGAACAAGCTGAAGATTTTATACCCATTTGCACCATCCTCGCTCCCCAATTAGTTATACCTTATGATATACAGAGGTAAAATGAAGCATCTGTTCTGAAAAATCCAACCTCCTAAACTTTATTATCCTATAAACGAAATTATTTTTTTTAAATGGGAGGACTTTGTGTAATAAGAATGTGAAAAAAGACGTCTGCATCATCTTGCAAAATCCTGGGCCCAACCACTTGGGCTGGACGGTAGAGCGACGGTCTCGCTTCATGCAGGTCGACGTTCAATCCCCCGACCGCCCAAGTGGTTGGGCACCATTCCTTCCCCCCGTCCCATACCAAATCCTTATCCTGACCCCCCCTTTCCAAGTGCTATATAGTCGTGGTGGCTTAGCGCTTTCTCCCAATACTTCCCTTCCCTTGCAAAATCCTGAAAACCCTTTAAATGTAAGGAAGGTGTGAGGAGCATCCTGGCAACATTTGGACACCATTGTTCCAGGGGAGGACCTGGTGCTGGAGCGAGAGTTGGCCTCGTCCCTGCTGGCCCACATATTCTTCTGCACCCTACCTCGCCGGAGCCCCATCTTCCACCCCACGCTCTCCGACCCCTGCCTCGCTCCCACCCTCTCCTCCCTGCACAGGTACGTCCTCCCACACATCCTCTAACCCCTACACAGGTTACCTAATACCAATTTAGGTATTAGGTATATCCTGTACTCAGGTAACAGGTTACCTGAGTACAGGATATACTGATGAGGTACTCAGGTAACAGGTTACCTGAGTACAGGATATACTGATGAGGTACTCAGGTAACAGGTTACCTGAGTACCTCATCATTCAGTTGTCTTCTGATATGACAATTTCAGTAGTTTTGCGTCCCACTTTCTGAATTTATTGTAGTCATTTCAAGCCCTTCTGGAGTTAGGTATTGAGGTTTTTCTCCGTTCTGCATTCTGTATTTTATCCACACACACTTTTACTGCTTCCCTCTTGGAATACAACCATTATGATGTGTCCCAAAGTGACTCAAAGGGCAGCCAAGTGTGTCTCAGCAACCAGAGTGTAGCCTATAAAGTCACTTTTCTGACCTAAGTGATAAGCCGAATTTTTTCCTTCATTTAAAATTAAATTAATAAAATCGGAAAAATTATATTAATAAAAAAATTGAAAAATTAAAAAATAAACTCAAAATTACAAAAATTAATATAAAATTAAATATAATATTAAAAAATTCATTTTTATTAACAAGCGGAACTTTTCATTTTGACCTAAGGATAGGCCGGACATATGCCCCAAAGATGAATCCAATAGTTCTGCTAGAACACAAGATTCAATCTCCACCAATTTGACTTCCATGCTGGGAGATTAGGCAAAGATTACTGTCAGTAAATCAAATGTTAGGTGAATGTTGTTAATACGACAGTGCAATGTTAATTAATTTATTAGACCAATCAATGTCCTGTTTCTTCATCTCGCAGTGTGTAAATGTGCGGGTGTTGTTGTTACGATAAATACATCATGTGCTTCCTAGACTATGTGAAAGAGAACGGGCATGATGGGTAGCCTATCCTCGCTTCACACGGAGGTGTCTGAAATTTGATTCTCCACCACAGGGAGAGTCAGCAGGTGAAGGTGCGGGCGCTGTTTCACTACTTCAAGATGATCAGCCAGCACGCACACCCTGGACACCTCACCTTCTCCAGGAAGGTAAATTTCCTTCGCTGCATCACTTACACACGGGAGACATCTCTCGTCACGCAAGGTGCATTCGCACCTCCACAGATCTCCAGTATCAGCTCTCGATACTGGTAAAGGCTCAAAAGGGCCACCACTTACGGGCTATTCATGCCCGTGCCACCTTTTGGATGGCTTAATCTTCATCAATCAATCAATCACTTACACCTATGCTAATACGCTTAGTGGGAGTACTCGAATGGTAGTAGCGATAGTATTAGAATGCTAGTGGTAGTATTAGGAGTGGTGGTGGTAGGAGGTGACAGGAGTGGTATAGAGTGGTAGTTATAGTAGTGGGATTTGGGGTGATGGTGTACAAGAGATTGTGGTAGGAGTGATGGTGGTAGTGGCAACTTTTCCCCACATCATACAACTCTCGTCGAGCGAGTAATGATGAGTTTGGCGTTGTCCGGCAGGTGATGGGAAGTAAGGACTTCATAACCCTGAGAGAATGGGCGAGGAGCGAGGAACCGCTGTGTTCTGTGGTCATCCAACACGAAGGACGTCTGGAGGATGCTTCCCCGCCCGCTCTCCTGACCTGCTTCACCTCTCCTGACCTCGCTAGACCCGCCCTCACCAGAAGCAACTCCCAGGTAACAGGCTCAATGGTCTGCCCTCACCATTACGGACTCACCATAGCCCGTGCTACATGGACATTTCGTTCTGACTAGCTAAATCTAAAACAAAAATAACATGCCCTCACCAAGACCAATATCTTGGTGACGGGGTCAGTGACCTATCCTCAAACAAGAACCTATTACCTATATATACCTTGTTAACCCAGGTATAGGTGGTATCCTCCCCCACGATAACAGCCTGATGGTTAAATGCAACCTCAGAATACTGAGAAAAAAAAAATTGTACCACTTACGGGCTATTCATGCCCGTGCCACCTCTTGGGTGGCTTAATCTTTATCTATCTAGATATAGGTAATGATATAGCCTATTGTAGGTAGCCTATTGGACGTAATGCATATAGCCTACTGTAGGTAGTGCACACAGCCTACTGTAGTAGTGCCTGTTGCCTAGTGTATGTAAGCTCACACTGCTGAAAAATAAATAAATCATATTTGCTCAATTCATCACGATAACATTAACCAGAGTACGCTAAGAAGACTTCTATAATTTTCGTTACAAATTTATTTAACTAAACGAGCAAAGGTCGTCGAGTGCCTGCATCCCACTTATGTGGATGTAAATGGAAGGAAGAAGAAATCTTCAAAGAAATTTGGGGTGCAGTTCCTGAATTATGTAAGTAGATTAGTGTAGTAATTTGAACGAACTATAATTAGCTAAAACGAATATTGAGGATTCACTTCCAGAGCACATTGTGCCTGGGTAGCCTATCCTCGCTTGATAAGTACGAGGTTCATAAGGAACCAACTAACTAAACACCTTTGCAGGAAGTGTGTGCCATGCTGAGCCAACCAGAGTTGCTGGTAACTGCAGTGTTAGTAGAACGACTTGAGGACAACGAGGCTATGCAGGTGTCCGGCGCCCTCAGGACCTCCACTGTCTCCAACCTCAAGACTAGACCCTCATTCACGCCCAGGAAAGTAAGCGCCAAATTCCATCCTTCGTAGAGCTGAAAACTTGTGTTTCAGCGTTACAACTGTTTGACTTTGGGATCGATTCCCGGACAAGGCAAGGCATTTGGGCAAGTTTCCCTTACACACCGATGTGTCTGTTCGCCTAGCAGTAAATATTGAATGTTACTATCTTCGTCTCTTTCAGAACGTGTCAACTAATCCAGTTTGGGGAATTATATAAGGACTTCTTTAAAATGATCTCATACTGTATAAAAAGCCAAAAATCAACTTTAACACATTCCAGTGTTTTTACAGTTACGAAGTCTTAAACACATTAGTTATGTCAGTAAGTCCGAATTATATATTTTATCTAATAACTCATTTTACCTGTGTGGTGTCAGGATTATCATGAAATAACAGTTTGTGATCAAGATTATTGCATATTTCTTCAATCCTCTAGACTATCACGTTAAAAACATACAAATTATGAGTTGCAAGCGCTTCGTTCTTTTCATTAACTGTAAAATTAGATTTTAACTTACAATTTTTGTTTATATTAACTAATTCATGTTCATATTTGATGTTAGCAAGCCTAAGCGCAATTTTTATATATATAAATTAGGAATTTCCTTCCAAGATATGATAATATTCTGGTGTTTTTATATGATGAAACGTGAAAATAAATCTCTAGTGCGGTTTGCACGTTCTTGTGTTGATACGGGCAAACCGTCAACATTGTATTCACATGGGTTGGGGGTAATATTACATGTATGTAACGACAGAGCGTGAGCCCGCCAGAAATGGTGCACGTGATGATGGACGCGGACGACTACCGTCAGTCAGAGGTAATGCAGTACGAGGAGATCAACGTACTGCGGGAGCTCAACAAGGCGCGATTAGCGTTCACCCAGGACCTTCCAGACCCCCCGGCGAACCACTCTCTCTCTGATATTGTCTCCGTATCCAGGCAACATTCTCATGGCAGCGCCTCACCTCCAGCAAGGTAAGCTTGGCTTTCCCACCCATACCATCACAATAAACAGGTCTGGACTTGCCCGTCAGGCGATTCTGATCCCTTTAGGTAAAATTGCCTCTTCCGATGACCTAGTAGTCCCACACAGTTCCTACAAGTTCAAGTATGTTTATTGAGACCAGAAAGAAATACATCTCAAAGGGATAGAGTAGCTTAGGCTATTTCTACCCAAATTGACAAGGTTTATCCTAAAAATGTGTTTTCCTTTCATCAATAGTCATACTGGCTTAGCGATTTCTCACGGCAAGCCGTGAGAAATTAAGATAATTGCCTTGCTTTTAATGAGGCTCAACATAGCCTAATTCGAGATTCAGATGAGATTCTTAAACCGTTCAACCGTTTTTCTTAACGAGATGCAAGTTACAGCGAAATCTAGCATTTAGCACCCAAACCTGAAGTATTAAAGACTTCGAATTCTGAATTATATAATTATTATGTCATTTTATTTGCAGATACCGAACACAAGTTTCCTCAGATTCGTCTACAGGAGGAAACCAGGACGAGGCAGGCTCATCCAGCCCAACAGAGCCGAGCAAGAAACACCTTCCCAGTAAAGGATCTACAGCAGAATGGGTAAATGAGAGTGACACACACGTGTTGAAGAAAAAAGCAAAAAATAAGAAGGTAGAGATAAGAGAAAAGAGTAAAATATCTGGCGACGAACAATTGGGCGATGCAAAGTCGAAAGGATTAACGACGAGTAAATCCAAACGTGGAAAGAACATCTCAAAATCAGGTGACAAACAGAAGGAAAAATCAACAGAGAAAGTCCATATCACAATAGACGACAGATTGACTAAAAAACATGCGGAAGGAGTTATGACAGCGACGCAGCAAGAGTCGGCAGGTAGCGCCTCTGCCGGCGAACACGTTTCAAGCTTCGTCACGGCGCCGTCTACACTTAGGCACCGGCCTAAGAAACCAAAAGGTGGGCGATCTAAGGGTCCAGATGGTGTGTCGTCGCCACCACCTGTGACTAAGCCCACGGGAGATAAAGTGGAAGCCAAGAGTGCCGAAAGAGTAAAATTCAACGTACAGGAGACGAAAGGAGTTGTGGGTAACATCATAGAGAAACCGGAAGATCAACACGCCAAGTTTGATGAAGATGAGGAGACTACGAGACTGCTCAACAGGGTGATGCGTGCTATAGAGAGGTTAGAACAAGAGAGACCGGAGTTGGTGCAAAAGGCAACGATGGAGGAACAAGTTCAGAACTCAAATACCATATCTAAAGTCAAGGTCAGTGTCCAGTCAACTTCGAATGAAGCCTAGTACGTACACATTATTTTAAAAAAAAGTAACATTATAAACATAGCAATCTAACTCTGACATACATGTCCCCATCATGAACATTCGTTAATTCTGACTGCCCCTTTATGGCTATTCCTAATTCTATCAATAGAAAGCCTCGCGTCAAAACAAAATCATTATCATACATTACTTACGCACTTGGTTTTATCATGTGATAAGTGGACTTACTGCACATGTCCAATTCTTTAATATGCTGACATTTTGTTTTCACTCACGTTGTACAGTGACCTTTCTCAATCTTATTATCCAAACTTAGTTACTTGAAATGCTGTGGTTGAATTTCTAAGTCATTCTTTTGACTTCACCAGTTGTGACAGTTATATAGTCATTTACACGTCCGTCTCCACACACGGGAGACATCTCCCGTCACGCAGGGTGGAGTCGCACCTCCACAGATCTCCAGTATCAGCTCTTGATACTGGTAATGGCTCAAAAGGGCCACCACTTACGGGCTATTCATGCCCGTGCCACCTTTTGGGTGGCTTAATCTTCATCAATCATCAATAGTCTCCACACACAATAGGAGCCCTACCACTATCTCTCTACACTCGGTCTTTTTCAAAATATTAACACACTTCTTTAACTTCTCCAGGTTCTACAGGCTTACGGCCTTTAAACAGAACTTAAAATGTCAATTTACGTGACCCATACTAAGGGTTAGACCGCTTTGTGTTATGCAGGCTTTATTAAGTAGAAATTTGTCAATATAAACTTTAAATTTATGAAGATGAGAAAAAACTTTAAATTTGTATAATCAAATTTTCAGCTGGAAGTATGTTAAGAAAATGTGTATTATGAGACAATTTAGGTATATAATATATTAGTTTAGTGAAAGCCACAGCGTTTACTGTAGCCAGTATTTTCCCGACTAAAGGGCAAACCACCTTTGCCCGAGTCACGACCTCGAACCAGCACGGGTGTAGATCCTCCTGAAGTAGGCGACCCCGAGGGCCTAAGAGGTGAAGGTTCACGCAGACGACGCAGTTCTAAGGACCAGTGTGCCTCCGGGTCCCGTCAGGGCACTCAGGAAGGAGGCCAACAGCCTTCTAGCGAGACCAATAATCGAGTTGGGTCAGCCGAGGACGGTAGAAGGCTTTCTCTCTATTACTCTTGTGACTCCGCGCCCACAGCCCCCCAACCTGAGGATGATTCCTACTACAGCGCCTGTGAGAGCCTCGACGGTCAGGACGGTGGGTCATATAATGTGAAAACTTTTAAATAAATCTACAGTCTGTTTAGATATCACTAAAAAGTAATATTGTTGCGCTTGCGTAGTTTCGCCAGTGACATACACAAATTAGTTTTCCCTGTTTAATGATCATTTGTCCCAACACAGTTGCCAGACCCAGAAGACCCTCCAAGAAGAGGGGTAAAAAGACGCGACGGAAATCCTCTTTTGCAGACAGGCTCAAAGAGGCTTTGGCTCGGAAGTCGAGTCTAGACTCAGAGCAGCTTGATGTTACCCGCGCCCAGAGGGACCACGACACAGACGACCTCCACCCGAGGTCAGCTTCATGACTTTCTCTAGCACTGCAGGTGGCCTTCTCTATGTCCTACCTTCACTCTAGAGGGGACATCCCTACCTTACCATGACACTGAAGGTGACAACCCTATCCTACCCTACCCTGACATTGGAAGTGACATCCCTACCCTACCCTGATATTGGAGGTGACAGTCCTACCCTCCCCTTACCCTGGGTACTAAACTACCAGCCGAGCTGAAACTCTTACCTGTAGAAACAGATAATTAACACTTGAATATCTAGTACACGAGATAAATTCAATATATCATGCGATTACATGTGTGTATATTTCCAGAGTGTCAAGACAAGAGTCGGGAGGCTTCGTCCTGGATGATGATCTTCCTCGAGAGTGTAGCATGGAGCAGGAGGGTGAACGAGGGGACTCAGATCTGTCTGAGGATGACGGCGAGGCTGGAAGAGAGTTAGGGGAGGAGAATGGGTCAGGATCCTCTCGGTACTCCTTCAGTTCAGACTACATCTCAGGTATACCCATCTACATCCACTCAAGTCCCCATAGTAATTATAACGCAGTACCTTCAATGCCATTACGGGCTATTCATGACCGTGCCACCTCTTCGGTGGCTTAATCTTTATCAATCAATCAATTCAACGCCAGGATCTGCGGTGCGCTAAAAAACGACAAAATATAAACCACTTATTTTGTTGAACAAATCCACAAGGGCCGTGACGAGGATTCGAACCTGCGTCCGGGAGCATCCCAGACACTGCCTTTATTTTGTTGCAAGGAAACAATGTAAGAACAGAGATATGCTAGCACTGTTTCAAGCTTTGATACTCATATACATGGACAATAGTTTTACAGGTTCCAGAAGAAGAAAAAGAATGTTAGCATTGTGAAGAAATGATCCCGATACGAAATACATTTGGTACAGTACAGAATTACAAATCATCTCAGAATATCACTGAGATTTAACAACGCAGAAGTTGATAAACACATGGACGCAACCACTGAAATCAACATACGAGTCATAAACCCTCATCACGCGCCTAAGTAAAACTTAAATTAGTAACACTTAGATGGCCAGCCAGAGGTTTAGGAGCCCGTGTAAGAAAACCTCTGAAAAAAATGATAATCAAATACAATTAAAACAATATTCTTAATAAATTTGGCGTGACTCTTTACAACCTTACCGTTAATAATTGCAATTCTTACTGCAAAAGTTCAGCAAATTGGCAATAAATCAATCCCGAAGTCTCGAAGCGCAGATCTGATTAATTCACTAAAGTTGCTTTCTAATTATGCGATACATGGACCACTTTTGTAGCTAATGATAATCTTTAAAATGTATTTGTCTATTCAGTTAGAACGCGCATCAATCAAGATAGTTCATATATCAAATTAGAATATGTAGCTATCAAGGTACAATGTATCTATCAAGTTAGGGCATTAACCAATCAAATTAGAGCATGTATCTATCAGGTTATATCAATAAAGTTGGGGGTTTATATATGTGTATATATATATTATTAAATATGACCGAAAAAGTAAGATTAATAATTCTAACACGAATTTTCTCAATATTTCTTATGTTTCTTTTTACTGTTGATGGTAATTGAAAAATCAATTCTCCAAAATTCATTTTTATTTCTAGTATGACGCGACACTTGAACGCGTTTTGTAATAACTTATTACAGTTTCAAAGACTTTAGTTTACACACACACAACTATAACCTGCAAACACTAAACAGAGTTTTACTATGCTATGATTTAAATGATATGTGTATTCATCAAGTTAGGAGTGTGTATCTATCAACTTATGGTGTTTACCAAGTTAACGTGTCTATATCTATCAAGTGAGAGTTTGTATGTCAAGTTATGGCGATAAACACGGGGGGAGGGGGGCATGATATTCATATCATGTGACCAACATGTTGAATACATCAAACCGGTTCATTTAGGATAATACTGAAGGTAGTTATTGCATACGCAGACCTGGAGGACGTGTACGAGCAGCTGGGGGCGGTGCTGGAGGAGCAGCAGGAGGGGCAGCTGGGGCCCCGGACCGCTGCCATCGCCAGATTCGCCCATGGCCTCCTGAAGGTAAGAACATCACCGCCAGCTGTATATCTACAGTATAAAAAAATACATAAATAAATATTACGGGCTATTCATGCCCGTGCCACCTCTTGGGTGTTTTAATCAATCATAAATAAATATATAGCAGTTAAAATTCATAATTTATTCACAATAAATGTTAGATCTACATATGGGTTAAACACTTGAAAGTTATTTAAGTGTATATTTTACGATAAAAATTGCATAATCTTTAAAAAAAAATCCCAATTCAATCTTCTCGGTCTCCAGCTTCCTTCTCTCCATCTTCCTCTTAGCACTGTAGAACGCATCTGCGTCTACTTAAAAGGTTAAGCAAAATCTAAACTATTAGATACAAAAAAATCCCACACCCTGTATGATTAAGGTGCTTTAATGAAACAAATCCTAGAATTCAGAGGCGAATCCATAATAAATGCTCAGATGTCCTCCAAATATTATATTATAGCGTACAGTACCCGAAATTTTAGACAATTATTCGAACTGAGCCTATTGTAGATAAAAGAAAACTGCCAAACTGCCACAGCTGTATATATGTGTGTGTGTATGTATGTATGTGTGTGTGTATGTATGTATGTGTGTGTATTTATGTGTGTGTATGTATGTGTGTGTGTGTGTATGTGTATAAAGTATAAAGCTGATCAGAATTGCATTTCACCATTATAAATTCACATTAATGCATTCATAAATCTATGTATCTATGTATTTACGTATGTAGCTGAGCCTAACATTTTAAAAGCACTACAATCACCTAATGTGGTTGTTCAATAAATCTCTGAACTGTATGTTTGACAAATCTCTCACCCTGTCCATGGAGGACAGAAGAAAATGTATATATGCTAGTTAGCATTGTAAATGTGTGGCCACGTATGCTAGTTAGCATTGTAAATGTGTGGCCACGTCTGTGGTAGAAAATAACAATAATAATAAAAAAAAAAACAGCTTGCTCTAACTAGGTTGCCCGCATCTTGCTTATTGCAAATCATGATGACCTACCATTGCAAACAGAATAGCTATGACAAAATTGGTGTCAAAATTCCAAGTTTGTTATTTGTTGATGCAGGTTGCACGAATGTTGGAAATATCCAAACTTGGATCATAATTCCAATTTTCGTTTCGATGATTCAACAACATTAAGGGGATATAAATTTGTATTATATAAATTCTAATTATTTTATATAAGATTTATATAAGTTGAATTAATAATTTGTAATTCAACACTGGGTTAATTTAATCTTGTGTATATTTAATCTTCGGTAAGTATAACATGGATAAATTTAAGCTTGGGTAATTTTACATCAATAATTTACATTGGATAAATCTAACAATGGGGAATTTACATTAGATAAATTTTTTCTTGTGTAAATTAATACTAGTTAATATCAACGATGGAAGAGTTTATCAGACTAACTTAGCTCAAGGAATAAAATAAATGCAGGGAGCAGTGCAGAGGACGACCCTTACTAATAGGAGTAGCACCTCACTAATCTGTGTAAGAAGTAGGCACTACGCGGAGGAACAATGACTAAGGAAACTGCACCCTAAGCCAATAGTGAACATTGCTTGACTCTTAACACCCAAGGAAATAACACGAGAACAGAGCTGATCACAGGACCCCAACTGGCATATAAGGCTTGCAGAGGCGGCATATTGGGTAATAACCACCTCCCAATCATTAGTAATAGGCTATCTAAACCCCGGTTAATCCCCACATTACTAGTGTCTAGATGTGACCAGAAGCTCTAATGGTTAAATGTTAATAACAGCGTGCCCTGAGCGAATCGTATAAGGACGTGACATTGGGCCTGGACGGTTTGGCAGTAAGGGATCCTGATAGTGTGGGGGCCTTGCTCCCACGATCCCTCAGCCTCTCAGAGCACCGACAGCCTGGCGCCCGCACGCTACGTCCACCGCCGCTACATAAGCTCAAGGTAAAATAAAAAATTTTTTAGGGGTGCGGGGGTAGAAATAGCCTAAGGTACTCTATCCCTTTGAGATGTATTTTTTCTTGTCTCAATAAACAAACTTGAATACAGTTTTATTTAGTTTAGGAACAGTACAGAAATCTTTAAATACATTGAGGCAGATTTATTAGCTGTGACTGCTAAATGCCATTTTCATCAGACAATTGGCTAGAATTGCTAAAGCAATAATACATAGGCTAGATATAGACATACGAAAAGTATGCTTATGTATATCTAAGGCAAATAAAGTGATGATCATTTATTTTTAAGTTCTCCTGCAGAGATAATTGCCAGGTATATACTCCCCAAAGTGTATCCCATTTCTGGGAGTATGTACACTTGACTTGTCTTGATTTATGTTTAAGATTATAAGTATAGGGTACACTTTAGCAAGTTTACCAACCCGCTTGTTGGTAAACATGATATGTTCTTGTTTAAAACGTAATCGTCACCGTTTGTCTATTTTATCTCAGTTCTGTTTTAAGAAGCTAAATTTCTTTGTGCCAGTCATAAAGACTTAGTCCCAGTCATCAAGTGATTTTAGAGGTTGGGAAGATTTAGAGATTTTTTAGAGGTTTTGCACCACAAATGCGTGTCCGAAAGACTTGCAGTATATCAGTGTTTGGTGCCAGTGCCTGGCACTGACGACCTTGCCAGTTTGTAATTATCGAAAACGGCTATGAATGTGTTTAGCTAAAATTAAAAGAATAGTTAATAACAACGACAGAAATATTTCCGGTAGCATATAATGTTTAAAAATCGTCCTGCAAGTTATAGTTCATTTAATTAACAGAGACGCTAAATGAATGACATAACTAAATCATCACCTAATGAAGGAATGAGTATTCATATCATGCCACATAGTACACATAGTAATGATGCTGAACCTTCTACTATCCCTGCCCGAACCATGAAAACTTGATTAGAATAATGTATATTATAAACCCCGTTGAAAAGCAGAGGTGCAACAGGTACTCTGAGAGAGAACTCTATCAACATCAGAGGCCCGAGACTGTTCAACACGCTTCCACTACACATAAGGGGCATAACTGGCAAACCCCTCACAGTGTTCAAGAGAGAACTGGATAAGCACCTCCAAAGGATACCTGATCAACCAGGCTGTGACTCATACGTCAGGCTGCGAGCAGCCGCGTCTAACAGCCTGGTTGATCAGTCCAGCAACCAGGAGGCCTGGTCGACGACCGGGCCGCGGGGACACTAAGCCCCGGAAGCACCTCAAGGTAGCCTCAAGGTATATATACGCGAATATATATATTATACTGTATGTATGTATATATATATATATATATATATAATATATATATATATATATATACATAAATATATTCTCATTTTCTTTTATATATACAGTATATGAGAATGAGGTGCAATGCCTCAGTACTCAATTAAAATAATAACCCACTATTTTGAAAGCATGAGGAAATGTAGACTATATTTTCTCATGTTTGGCCCATGTGGGCCAAATTCTGGTTACAAATACATACAAACAACAGTACGTACTTGCCGGTGACTTTGTCGGTTCCAGCGACGTTAATGTAATGTAATGGTTTCAGCACTGTTACTCTGATGCTCTTAGTTACGTTACTGTTGGTTCCGGCCACGTTACTGTGTGACATTGTTAGTTCCAACCCCATTACTCTATTATTTTTGTACATATGTGGATTTCCCATCATTTCGCGGTGCGTGGGTGACGGTTGGTGGTGGTGTGGGCGCAGGGGGAACGGGGCAAGCCCGTGGTGACGGGTAACTGGGGCTGCGGCTCTCTGCGGGGCGACCACCAACTCAAAGGTACGACTAAACCCTCTCTTGACCAGCCTTCGAGTTTACCAAGAGTGCCATCAATTAACCTTTTTAGTTCGACATATTAACCATTTAGTTGCATCTTGACTTCTTCGGTATTGCTGAATAGTCGATCCTCAATTAAACATTGGCCAACTTAACAATACGACACTTTTTGAAGCTAGTAACTTAACAACTTTTCTCGAATAGCAGTTCTCTCACTCCTTATGTTTGAAGCACATGTCTGTAAACACATCACGCACATATAGTAAATGCAAATAATTTCCAAGAGAACCAACATACCAAACCTAATCCTGGCCTAACTGTAGAGAAAACTAATATATAAATAATTTATATTCGAGAAAAAATGTAGTTTTTGATTATAATGCGACACAGATAACGCGCCGTTTGGCGTAGGCTGTAACTTAAACGAGCCCCGTGTGATGAATGAGAAAGGCTAGTGCTAAAGCTTCTTAGAATTATAGTTTACCACCTCCACCCTTCCGTTTTTCGACACTAATTGTTTGTTTACTATAGTTTAACTCACCGAGTGAAACGAATCGCCCGGCTACGAACACCACATTCCATTTAGTCCATTAACTTAACCCTTTAGTGTAGTGGCTCCCAACCGAAGGTCAATGGCGCTCATGGGATTATTCCAAGGGTCCATGTGACTCATACATATTGTACTCTAACACAATAAGAACCATTCATGAGTGTGTTGAACTGAGTGTCTCCTGTCATCATTTACATGCAGTTTTGAATGCGATTAACATTGCAGGGCTTGTGACATGAATGTCATTTGTCGCAGTAATGGCTACTCTGTTTTGCTAGCATGATTTATTTTGTTGTAGGGGTCACAATCACAGGTGAGACCGTCTTTGTAGGGGTCCACGGGTGAGACCGTGACTGCAGGGGTCCACGGGTGAGACCGTGACTGCAGGGGTCCACGGGTGAGACCGTGACTGCAGGGGTCCACGGGTGAGACCGTGACTGCAGGGGTCCACGGGTGAGACCGTGACTGTAGGGGTCCACGGGTGAGACCGTGACTGCAGGGGTCCACGGGTGAGACCGTGACTGCAGGGGTCCACGGGTGAGAACATGGTTTGAAAAGGAGGGATGAAATATTTTTAGAACCGCAGCTTTCAGGTAAATCTAACCCCCTTGGTTCCTGCAAATTAACAACTATGTGTTATTTACTAATCAGTGTTACCTTAGATACAGTGATAACAAGCCTCGTGTACGAAAATTGAATATAGTGTATGTAGAACTGCTTAAACTCACGAGTGTCTTAACTTTATTCATAAAATGAAACTTTAACTCCTCACGCACGATATATTAACCCTGAGTGTAAAACGTATCATTTAAGGGTAAGATTAAGTTGAGGAACAGATTTACCCTTAGCTTAATATTTCAAGCTGATAAGGTAAATGATATCTATAATTAGTTTATTTTAGTTATCCTTCAAATAATATCCTCGTCATTCAAATGTGATGCAGTACTGTATGTCATGCTAATACAGTACAAGTCTCGCCGCTCTAATTGCAAGCTATAATAGCTTTTTATGGATGGCTAGTTACTCCAGCCATTACTTTGCTTACAAACAAGTCAGTAACAATCTGTATAAATCACTCGCTTACAAATCAGGCTTCTAAATCTAAGTTATACATTATATAATTTATTATGATCACGCTTTTAGCTATTATTACGACCTTGAATAAAAAATGTACTGAAAGTGAGTAAACTAGCTCAATTATAAATGTACAACCATTCATGAGTACTTTCCACCGGTTGAGTAATATTAGCAATATCTCATATGCTCTGCATCACGGTATTAAATGTTGACCAAACCACACACTAGAAAGTGAAGGGACGACGACGTTTCGGTCCGTCCTGGACCATTCTCAAGTCGATTGTGAGAATGGTCCAGGACGGACCGAAACGTCTTGTAACAGCACTTTCTCTGTAACTAGCTAACATTGTAACTATAAGTTGTGAAGGATAGATGAATTTGTTTATGTAATAATCTAAGATGAGGTCTGATAAAGAACTTTTGTGCCCTCTGTAATGCTTTTGCGCTACCGCTCACAGGATGAGTATGGGGTGCACAATAAACTAGCCGCCTTCGGCGGCAACAATCAAAAATCAAATCAAATCGTCGTCCCTTCACTTTTTAGTGTGTGGTTTGATCAACATATGTCAGCCACGTTACTGTGACTCCTCCTCTGCATACGGTATTAAATGCTTCATTTTATTATTAAAACCAATGTTTTTAACTGTGTATTCAAGGCATTTTTAACCGCCATTTTCTTTGATCCTGGTGCTGGTGTTGGGGGCGTGCAGCTATGATACAGTGGGCGGCGGCCAGCAAGGCGGGGGCTCCTAAGCTCATCTATTACACTTACGGCCACCAGAACACTGTCAAGGTCTGTCTCTAGATTGGTCGTCACTATCACTACAACCCGTCCTCTTAAAAATAACGTCACTTTTGGCTGGTATGCGCGCTATGGCCAAATTTGGACGTAATTTGAAATGAAATAGACTCACAAAAGTGACGTACTGTTCCGTTTTCTGTTTGAGTCGTCCGGCTTACTCGGCAAGCTTAAAAGAGGCAACTTTCCATTAACGTTTTTCATACCGTTTTGAAACTTTATGAGAATTTCCTGCCCACCTAACCTATCAGAGGACTCTTAACTTACTGTTGTTGAAAAAAATATCCAAAATTTAATTTCATTTTTTTTTTCATTTTCAAATTACATCCATATTCGGCCATACGGGCAAACGGCCAAAAGCGACGTTCTTTTTAAGAGGACAGGTTGATCACTAACAAGGTTGAGTAATGTCCTGTTGAGTATATAAAACACTATATTGTTTAATATCCCTGTCAAATTATTTTTTATCAGGTATTTGACGAACCCGTGAAACTTCATAACTTATTATTAGTTTAGAAACTAGAACATGTACATTTAAAATACTGAAGATTATTTATATTAAAGTTTAACAAATTCTTCAGACTATGACAAATCAATAATGTAATTGAACTTATTAAATTATAATTGTAAGCATCAAAATAGCAGCCCTATAAGTGGCGAGGCTATCATATAGAGTAATCCAGTGCGGATTAATCCTGTCCTGTAGTAATCCTGTCATTTATGGACTAATAGAGAAAGTCTTCCTTAGTCATTCATGAAAGGCAAAGTGGAAGACTGCGATTATGGACATTCGTGGATTAGAAAAATATGCTGTTTGGTTAATATTTTATCTTAAGACAGATAGCTAAAATAGGGTTACTCAGTCCTTCAATAGTTACGCAATAAATCTGTGTAGTACTTGGTTACCAATAATGATGTACATTGTACCGTGAATGATGTAATGAATGAACGAGTAATATTCTTCCTTTCTTTGTAGAAATAAATTTTGTTAACGTGTTGCTCAATTTTGCACTCTCCTGACACGTGCCTTCACATCTCGTGAAAGTTAGAAAGAGTAAATGACACTGTACAACATAATGTTTCAGCTGGACATAGTGTGTCGCTTACTGGGTGACCGCGGGTGGCGTGTGGGTGACTTAGTGTCCACACTCATGAGGTACAGCGAGTCACGCCTCGACTCCTGGCGGCGTAGGGAGACGGAACTCACAGAATCAGCAGACTCCTCTCTCCCGGAGTCTCACAGGTCAGGGGTTCACACTTCTTTTATCTATACGAAATACATTTTTGAATTCGGGAATATCATTTTTGTTTAGAAGTACAGTATATCCTTGTGAAACTACAGTCCCTACCTAAATCTTCCTCTTCCCTTTGACACCGTCTTAATGTCTTCTTCCTGCAGGTACCGAAGTCCATCGCTTGAGTCCCTCACGCTCTTCGACGAACTTATTGGCGCCGACCGACCCTTCATCATCATGGAGACGGAACTTTGACAGCCACCCCGCCCAGTTCTTCTGTCTAAATTGTGCACGCTTTGTGCTTCCCATCTGTCAGTGTCCGTGACCGCCGTATTCACCCAAACACACCTGTCACATCTGTCAATTGGTGACCAGCATGACCCTCCTCACACGCCTCTCACTGTTCTAGTGAGGCGCCCCTCCCCCCCCCCCCCCACACACACACACTTGTCAGCAATAGTACCCAACCTGATTCAACCAACGCACTTAAGTCGTTGTAAGTGGCCACCGTCATCCTCCTCACACACCTGTCAGCGTGACAGCAGTTCGTGAGTCTGTTAGTACATCTGTTACACGATTTAAACAATGGTAATTTATCTCGCATCTGGTAATGTGTCAATGGAGAGTGTTATACACACACACGGTATATCATATATATATATATATATATATATATATATATATATATATATATATATATATATATATATAAATAAATAAAATGAAAATAATTTTCAGGCGTTACAAAAATGTGTATCATTTCCAAACATTTACATGAACATATAATTCTCAGTATAAACTTGCAGATAATAAAAACACGAGTAAATTCCATTAAATAAATTACACCTCCATTTGTTAATGACATATATGTAAACAATAATTTTTTACGGCTGTGCCTTCTCATATTTTTAATAAAACTACATGTATAAAGTTATATAGAATAAAAGCTTCAAAATATTAATTGTTTACATGGTTTTAACTACCTTATTATTCTGAAGGCCCCCATAAAAACCAGATAATGGTCATTACTACTGCTTCAGCTGAGGATTTCACTTGAATGGCCACAACTGTGGTAAAAATAAAAATGGCCATATAAGACCGACGGAAAATTAATTCCTACAACATTGACAATACTATAAAACAATTTTATATTGCTTTCCATTTCGGGAGACATCTCCCGTCACGCAGGGTGCAGTCGCACCTCCACAGATCTCCAGTATCAGCTACTGATACTGGTAATGGCTCAAAAGGGCCACCACTTACGGGCTATTCATGCCCGTGCCACCTTTTGGGTGGCTTAATCTTCATCAATCAATCAATTGCTTTCCATTCTATCTAGTTAAAAAACAAAGCAATCTCTAGACGAAAACCAATATATATATATATATATATATATATATATATATATATATATATATATATATATATATGCGAATGAAAACTCACACCCCAGAAGTGACTCGAACCCATACTCCCAGAAGCAACGCAACTGGTAACTACAGGGCGCCTTAATCCACTTGACCATCACGGCCGTCAAAAGGAAGTGATAGCCGAGGCTATTTGAGCCACTTCCCCGACGGCAACTCGGATGGTAATCTTGGGCATAGCATTTCACCAAATCACCTCATTCTTTGGGGCACACGTGAGGAACACAAATGCGAACAAGCCTGAATGGTCCCCAGGACTATATGCGAATGAAAACTCACACCCCAGAAGTGACTCGAACCCATACTCCCAGAAGCAACGCAACTGGTAACTACAGGGCGCCTTAATCCACTTGACCATCACGGCCGTCAAAAGGAAGTGATAGCCGAGGCTATTTGAGCCACTTCCCCGACGGCAACTCGGATGGTAATCTTGGGCATAGCATTTCACCAAATCACCTCATTCTTTGGGGCACACGTGAGGAACACAAATGCGAACAAGCCTGAATGGTCCCCAGGACTATATGCGAATGAAAACTCACACCCCAGAAGTGACTCGAACCCATACTCCCAGAAGCAACGCAACTGGTAACTACAGGGCGCCTTAATCCACTTGACCATCACGGCCGTCAAAAGGAAGTGATAGCCGAGGCTATTTGAGCCACTTCCCCGACGGCAACTCGGATGGTAATCTTGGGCATAGCATTTCACCAAATCACCTCATTCTTTGGGGCACACGTGAGGAACACAAATGCGAACAAGCCTGAATGGTCCCCAGGACTATATGCGAATGAAAACTCACACCCCAGAAGTGACTCGAACCCATACTCCCAGAAGCAACGCAACTGGTAACTACAGGGCGCCTTAATCCACTTGACCATCACGGCCGTCAAAAGGAAGTGATAGCCGAGGCTATTTGAGCCACTTCCCCGACGGCAACTCGGATGGTAATCTTGGGCATAGCATTTCACCAAATCACCTCATTCTTTGGGGCACACGTGAGGAACACAAATGCGAACAAGCCTGAATGGTCCCCAGGACTATATGCGAATGAAAACTCACACCCCAGAAGTGACTCGAACCCATACTCCCAGAAGCAACGCAACTGGTAACTACAGGGCGCCTTAATCCACTTGACCATCACGGCCGTCAAAAGGAAGTGATAGCCGAGGCTATTTGAGCCACTTCCCCGACGGCAACTCGGATGGTAATCTTGGGCATAGCATTTCACCAAATCACCTCATTCTTTGGGGCACACGTGAGGAACACAAATGCGAACAAGCCTGAATGGTCCCCAGGACTATATGCGAATGAAAACTCACACCCCAGAAGTGACTCGAACCCATACTCCCAGAAGCAACGCAACTGGTAACTACAGGGCGCCTTAATCCACTTGACCATCACGGCCGTCAAAAGGAAGTGATAGCCGAGGCTATTTGAGCCACTTCCCCGACGGCAACTCGGATGGTAATCTTGGGCATAGCATTTCACCAAATCACCTCATTCTTTGGGGCACACGTGAGGAACACAAATGCGAACAAGCCTGAATGGTCCCCAGGACTATATGCGAATGAAAACTCACACCCCAGAAGTGACTCGAACCCATACTCCCAGAAGCAACGCAACTGGTAACTACAGGGCGCCTTAATCCACTTGACCATCACGGCCGTCAAAAGGAAGTGATAGCCGAGGCTATTTGAGCCACTTCCCCGACGGCAACTCGGATGGTAATCTTGGGCATAGCATTTCACCAAATCACCTCATTCTTTGGGGCACACGTGAGGAACACAAATGCGAACAAGCCTGAATGGTCCCCAGGACTATATGCGAATGAAAACTCACACCCCAGAAGTGACTCGAACCCATACTCCCAGAAGCAACGCAACTGGTAACTACAGGGCGCCTTAATCCACTTGACCATCACGGCCGTCAAAAGGAAGTGATAGCCGAGGCTATTTGAGCCACTTCCCCGACGGCAACTCGGATGGTAATCTTGGGCATAGCATTTCACCAAATCACCTCATTCTTTGGGGCACACGTGAGAATGAGGTGATTTGGTGAAATGCTATGCCCAAGATTACCATCCGAGTTGCCGTCGGGGAAGTGGCTCAAATAGCCTCGGCTATCACTTCCTTTTGACGGCCGTGATGGTCAAGTGGATTAAGGCGCCCTGTAGTTACCAGTTGCGTTGCTTCTGGGAGTATGGGTTCGAGTCACTTCTGGGGTGTGAGTTTTCATTCGCATATAGTCCTGGGGACCATTCAGGCTTGTTCGCATTTGTGTTCCTCACGTGTGCCCCAAAGAATGAGGTGATTTGGTGAAATGCTATGCCCAAGATTACCATCCGAGTTGCCGTCGGGGAAGTGGCTCAAATAGCCTCGGCTATCACTTCCTTTTGACGGCCGTGATGGTCAAGTGGATTAAGGCGCCCTGTAGTTACCAGTTGCGTTGCTTCTGGGAGTATGGGTTCGAGTCACTTCTGGGGTGTGAGTTTTCATTCGCATATAGTCCTGGGGACCATTCAGGCTTGTTCGCATTTGTGTTCCTCACGTGTGCCCCAAAGAATGAGGTGATTTGGTGAAATGCTATGCCCAAGATTACCATCCGAGTTGCCGTCGGGGAAGTGGCTCAAATAGCCTCGGCTATCACTTCCTTTTGACGGCCGTGATGGTCAAGTGGATTAAGGCGCCCTGTAGTTACCAGTTGCGTTGCTTCTGGGAGTATGGGTTCGAGTCACTTCTGGGGTGTGAGTTTTCATTCGCATATAGTCCTGGGGACCATTCAGGCTTGTTCGCATTTGTGTTCCTCACGTGTGCCCCAAAGAATGAGGTGATTTGGTGAAATGCTATGCCCAAGATTACCATCCGAGTTGCCGTCGGGGAAGTGGCTCAAATAGCCTCGGCTATCACTTCCTTTTGACGGCCGTGATGGTCAAGTGGATTAAGGCGCCCTGTAGTTACCAGTTGCGTTGCTTCTGGGAGTATGGGTTCGAGTCACTTCTGGGGTGTGAGTTTTCATTCGCATATAGTCCTGGGGACCATTCAGGCTTGTTCGCATTTGTGTTCCTCACGTGTGCCCCAAAGAATGAGGTGATTTGGTGAAATGCTATGCCCAAGATTACCATCCGAGTTGCCGTCGGGGAAGTGGCTCAAATAGCCTCGGCTATCACTTCCTTTTGACGGCCGTGATGGTCAAGTGGATTAAGGCGCCCTGTAGTTACCAGCTGCGTTGCTTCTGGGAGTATGGGTTCGAGTCACTTCTGGGGTGTGAGTTTTCATTCGCATATAGTCCTGGGGACCATTCAGGCTTGTTCGCATTTGTGTTCCTCACATGTGCCCCAAAGAATGAGGTGATTTGGTGAAATGCTATGCCCAAGATTACCATCCGAGTTGCCGTCGGGGAAGTGGCTCAAATAGCCTCGGCTATCACTTCCTTTTGACGGCCGTGATGGTCAAGTGGATTAAGGCGCCCTGTAGTTACCAGCTGCGTTGCTTCTGGGAGTATGGGTTCGAGTCACTTCTGGGGTGTGAGTTTTCATTCGCATATAGTCCTGGGGACCATTCAGGCTTGTTCGCATTTGTGTTCCTCACGTGTGCCCCAAAGAATGAGGTGATTTGGTGAAATGCTATGCCCAAGATTACCATCCGAGTTGCCGTCGGGGAAGTGGCTCAAATAGCCTCGGCTATCACTTCCTTTTGACGGCCGTGATGGTCAAGTGGATTAAGGCGCCCTGTAGTTACCAGCTGCGTTGCTTCTGGGAGTATGGGTTCGAGTCACTTCTGGGGTGTGAGTTTTCATTCGCATATAGTCCTGGGGACCATTCAGGCTTGTTCGCATATATATATATATATATATATATATATATATATAAATGTCGTACCTAGTAGCCAGAACGCACTTCTCAGCCTACTATGCAAGGCCCGATTTGCCTAATAAGCCAAGTTTTCATGAATTAATTGTTTTTCATCAACCTAACCTACCTAACCTAACCTAACCTAACTTTTTTGGCTACCTAACCTAACCTATAAAGATAGGTTAGGTTAGGTAGGGTTGGTTAGGTTCGGTCATATATCTACGTTAATTTTAACTCCAATAAAAAAAAATTGATCTCATACATAATGAAATGGGTAGCTTTATCATTTCATAAGAAAAAAATTAGAGAAAATATATTAATTCATGAAAATTTGGCTTATTAGGCAAATCGGGCCTTGCATAGTAGGCCAAAAAGTGCGTTCTGGCTACTAGATCAAGAAACGGAAATTTAGGAATATAAAATCTGATCTCAGCTTTCATATGTTCCCATGTTATCATTAACAGGTTAATGTAACATATTTATTAACACGCACCCCGCGCTGGAGGTTAATGCCTGGTAGGCAAGGGGACTTTTGAAGAGAGGCTTCGTCTTGGGATGTGAGAGCCAGTGAGAGCGCCCCTTGTCCACACCAGGCAGGACACAGTGCCTCCTTGTCAGAGTGCCAGGCTTGGAGAGGCACCCAGGCAGCCCCAGCATGAGGCCAGTATCAGGTATACCCTCATCTTTCTCGCACTACCTTTCGTCCCTCCTCCTTCATCACACAACTCACGTCTTACTCTGCTGTAAGTATTCACAGTTTTGGTTCAATTATAATTTTACATCGAAGGGTGAGTTTACTGGGTAGTCACTTATCCTATGAGTGAACATGCCGCCAGAGAGAGAGTAATGGGCATCGTCACTCATCCCGAGTGAACATACAGCTATAGTATCAGTACTGATAGCAGCGCTATTCATCCTGTGAGTGAACATACGGCCAGAGGGACAGTACTAGGCAGCGTCACTCACCCCTAGGTTTGCTCTCTTGCTTACTCCATTATTCAGCCCGTCCTTATCAACAAAAGTCAAAAAGGGATACCATGCAGCCACCAACCCCACTTTTTAAAGGTATAGATAATATAATTGGGGTTCATTCTCGATTCCCAATCTGGAATCCAGGGCGGGACAGAAATGGTTGGGCAAGTTTTCTATCACCTAATGCCGCTGTTCACCTAACAGTAAATAGGTACCCAGGTACTGAATGTGTATATATATTCAATACACAGAATATGTATAAATCTGCCACTGAATGTATATATTCAGTGGCGGACCTATAATTTGGTGGGGCCCCCCTGTTAAGGGGGGCCCATTTAAGGAGGCCCCTTCCCAACCAGCAACAAGGTCCTCTTGATAACCACTGTTATCTTCTTCAATGGGGTTGTTCAACAACAGATCACTACCATTGTTTTTCTTTAACCATTACACATCAGATTTTCATTAAATCTGAAATGTAGATCCAAATTTTTTAAGCAATGTGGACTACAGTCGCTTCTGGGACCCAAGCTCAAGGCGCACTAGTTTCATAGTATATCCGCCCGTGTATACACAGGCTCCCTGACCTCTGACAAAGTGAATTGAAAATTAATTCCTCTATGTATACTCTCCCCCCAAAAATATCTCCATCCTATATTACGGTGCTCAAAAACTGCACTACATAATTCAAGTGGGGGATTAAAAATAGCGATATAATGTTGAAAGATAACATGACGATTTTTTTTTGCATTACAAACTCTTCAAGAAAAACCCTAAAACGCTATTAGTTTTATTTCAAACATTTAGACATTTTTCTCTTGGTATTACATCTTTACTAAGATTTATAAATTTAAATTTTATTCATTTATATCGTGTAACTTTGTTCTCTTCAGGTGTCAGCACTTTTTAAGACAAGAACTTTCTGCAGCTTCTCTGTCTTCGTCAGAATTTATTGCCTACTGCTTCAACAGTCCTCATTCTACCTCTTTCTCCTAAGAGCCAGTGTGAGCCACGATGCTGAGAGTGGCGAGGATGGCCGTGTTGATGGTGGCCACTGCAATTATGGTGCAGGAGAGCCTAGCGTCCGAAACCAAACCCATCACCCGTACGGCCAGCATTCCGCTCACCTCAGCCGACACTCGTCAGAATGCGGTGAGCATTTCCCATTCTGAAGTTTGAAAGTATCTCGTTTAATTCGTTTATTATGACTCCCATGTTCATCCTACGGACGGTGGCAGAACGCTACAGTCGCAATGGATTTAAGAATAGACCCCAATGTTCGCATTTAAGAATAGACCCCAATGTTCGTATTTAAGAATAAACACCAATGCTCGGATTTAAGAATAGACCCCAATGTTCGTATTTAAGAATAAACACCAATGTTCGTATTTAAGAATAGACCCCAATGTTCGTATTTAAGAATAGTCACCAATGTTCTAAAAACCAAACAATTTGCATTTATTGTGAACTTCTTGTACACAGCAAGAGACGTGGGATGCATGATAACAAAAATAGAAGAATGTGAGAATTTTAATTCAGAGGAAAGAGGAGATAGTAATATGAAGAGGGAATATGACATATTCCCTCTGACGTATCGACTAATAAACAAACGGAGGAGAGTTTAACAGGAGCTGGGAAACGGTAAAAAGTGACAAATTACTCAATATATTGGGTGGAGATTTAGAAGGACCGTTAGAAATAACTAGAAACTATATCGCAAATGTAGGATAACAAGATTTTGGTGAAAGGCACGACACTGAAAATGACACACAGGTCTAATATAATATTGCAGGATAATACTTCACACAATTTACGCGTTATATTATATATGTATATTATATATATATAATTATATATATATTGCACAATTTTCTCTTTACTGTAGGTCTTAAAATACTTTATAACCCTCATCCTTCACCTGTCATCTTACAAAGAACGTCGCATTTCGCTCGTATGCGTTACATAAGACCAAAAACTGTCGTACTAGAAAATGGAAGCGGCTGGCGAAATTGACGAACTGTCCCGTTTTCTGTTTTGGGTCCTCTGGCAGGTTCGGAGAGGACACTTTAAATTGATCGTTTTCTTGACGTTGGCAAATCTTAGGAGGACAGGCTGCATCCTTTCAGGCAAATTCACACGGCTGCTTTACCTTTTCATTTTATTTCTTGTATTTAATACTTGTTATTCAATATTGAAGTTTGATTATTTAAACTTGCCTAAACATTACAGAACTGCGTGTTTTAAATGCAAACTTTCTTCTCCGTGATTTAAGATATTTAGCTTTCGAAATAAATTGTTTGCACGTTAGACCATTCAAATGCTGAGTGAGATCAGGGAGTATATTTCTCAATTAGACTAGTTATCAACCAGGTGAGAGTTTGCAACAGGATGACGATGATATAGCGGTGTTATACCGGAGAAAATCAGTTTAAACCTAATATGAAATCTAAGAGCTCACACAATATAGATTCGAACTTGAGACAACTAGATGAAGCCAGATACAATAGTTACGCTACCTCACAGCCCCTCAAGATTATGGAATGATGATAAAATGAGAATGTCAGTGATGAAAACTACATTTCCTGAATGATGAAATGTAGTTTTCATTTCACATTCTAAGAAGAATGTGGCAGGATATGGAGGACAATCATATCCTGCGGGAAGAGTAGCTATCATGGCTTTTCTTTCTTGGCTGCATGACTGGTACGGGAAAGATTGTGTTTTAACCCATCATTCACATCCGTATGTTAAACATAAACAAAATTCTGCAGTATAGTGGAAGGACATCCTGGGTCTAGTTTCGTTTATATAATCTTCAGCCAGTAGCTATACATCCACGGTAGGGAATGACTCTTGGAATACGGTATCTTTGCTTGTGAGAGATACTGACTCAACGCAGATATCTTGCCTGTGCAGGCGATGAGTCACAATAACGTGGCTAAAGTTGACCAGATCGACTGAGAATGGTCCAGGACGGACCGAAACGTCGTCGTCCCTTCACCTTCTAGTGTGTGGTCTGGTCAAAATATCTTGCCTGTTTGGCCCACAGATTGAAAGCACTCTGCAGACCATCTTGAGCACCATACAGGAGAACCACAACCAGTTGCAGTCGTCAGTACGCGAAGTGATGCGGGTAGCAAGACGAACTCAGCGTGAGTTAACCGAACTCCGCGAGGACACCGACCTCATACTCGGCCAGATGTACAAACCGTCGTGCCAAGAAGTGGCCGAGGACCTGCACGATGGTACCCGAGGTAGGACCAACGAAGCTATTGTGGGAGTATACACCATCAAGCCACCCAAATACAAGCCTACGCAGGTAGGTTAAAATATAGTACTTTTGGGCTCTGAAAATGCGAAGATGTGTATGAAGATGTGACGATATTTGGTGGGTCTGTTTTAAGAATAATGGAAAACATGACTAATTTTGTATTGGTTATTTATATAGTTAATTTAAAAAGTTATTCTTCAAATTCATGTGCGCCATACTGCACAGGTGCGCTGTGAGCTGGGCCGGGGTGCTGTAGGCTGGACCGTCATTCTCTCCAGATCAAATGGACGCGAGAGGTTCAATCGCACATACCGCGAATACCAAGATGGCTTTGGTGACCCATCTGATGAGTACTATATTGGTGAGTACCATAAGGGTATTGATGACCTGAGTACTTTATAGACGAGTATGCTATGGAGGGAAAGAGGCCGAAGTGTTTTCATTTTTGTATTCCCTGAGGGAAGGAAGAATGTTGTCTCTGAGTTGGATTTGCAGGGTTCATTATTCTAGTTGATAATAATCCCATGACAGGAGAAAGCAAGGTGACCTTTGCCACAATTTCTGAAGCGAGTTGGGGGAGGGGTGTATGTTGATTTAGAATAGCCAATTTCGCTAGAGCGAAGACAAACCTAACTCCCTCAAATTCTTAGCTGCATGACTGGTACGGGAAAGATTGTGTTTTACCCTATCATTCACATCCGTATGTTAAACATAAAAAAAAAATTGCAGTATAGTGGAAGGACATTCTGGGTCTAGTTTCGTTTATATAATGGTATGTAGCTATACATCCATGGTAGGGAATGACTCTTGGAATACGATATCTTTGCTTGTGAGAGATACGGACTCAACGCAGATATCTTACCTGTACCATGACCAACGTACCAATTTAACGTACCAATTTAACGTACCATGACCAAATATCCAGCACGCATTTCACAGATGTGGGGAAGAAACATATTCCTTTCCGTAACACTTGACACTCGAGACTCATTAATAGAAGGGGAGTGCTATTATCTATAGTCAGTTTTGCATTATAATTATTGATAATTCCAAAACGTTTCTCACTAGGATCAAGAGCCATTTGCATTCTTAATTAAAGAACGTACAATATTTTCATGCCAATCCTTAAGGCCTCTCCGACGTAGATGTTGGGCAGACTGACGCTTGTTTTATTACCAGAGTTTAAATTTATACTTTTGGTAATTGTGTGCGGAGTCTTACCCTAGATAACGATGGCCAATAACATAATAATATATCAAATGGCAAAAAGAGCAAGCAGTATGATGGACACTTGTAATTAATATGTCCAAACATATATATTGCTTCCACTAAACCCGTTCATCTTCACAGGCAATGAGCTGCTGCACCGTTTGACAACCTGGCGCTCTCACCAGCTCAGAGTCGTAATGGAGGACTTTGACGGTCAAAAGACCTGGGTGCAGTACAAGATCTTCAGGTACTATTTGAGAAACTTGTTCTAATATATTTAAATCCTGATATGTTTCCCAGTGTTTGGAACAGGAAGCCAATAGGCTGATCGAGGTTACCCTACGCCCAACGACTGACTTTTCCCAATATGTTATATAATACTTAAAGGCTCGTTAATTGGGAAAAAACGATGTATGAACATGCGAAGTACAGAGGGATCATATACTATATATATTTACTGCCAAGTCTGCCTCAAGTGAAAGGTTAATATTACAGCTTCCATGTATTACTCAGGTCTATCCGAGATTGCAATTCTGTAATGCATTGGTGTGTGTGTAACAGGGTGGCCGGAGCAGAGGATAACTATCAGCTCACTGTCGGGGAGTTCGAAGCTGACAGTGCTGCAGGAGACGGACTCCAAATCCATAATGGTATGAAGTTTTCTACCTACGACAAGGATGACGACAGTAACAAGGGTACGTTTCAAAAATCCTCCTCCAATGTTAATAGTTGATTAAGCTTGAGTTATCCAGCAGTTCTTTACTGCTGGATAAGGTGAGTATAGGATATGGAAGCTTCTCGGTTTCTAAGCCTATTATGTGTTCCTAATCTTTCCCAGTATCATTCACAGGATGGATACAAGATTCATAATTAAACTAAGTTTTCCACATCGAGCTGCTTCGTTTAAAATTAAAAAAACGAGTTATAATTTTAAGAAAAATTAATTTGCATATATCTTGAATGTGATAGTACTTACTAGTATGATTGTTAGAACTCGAACTCGGCGCATCAAGCAAACGTCTGAACCGTATATATATATATATATATATATATATATATATATATATATATATATATATATATATATATATATATATATGTCTAGTTTTGGTAGACTGGCACGGACCTCAAAGTTATACATCTCAAGATCAAAGTTTATTACGGATTGTATCCACTTGTATTATAATTGATTACAATATTAACGATTACAGCTGAGAGCTTGCGCGTGGTCAAAATTACTTGAGGGTTTTATATTAGATATTTTTATATTTGTATACAGGTAGGTACAGGAACGCATGATTTCTGTCTCTTGTTAACAGGCTTAAATCTCCCCTTCCCACATTAAGTGTTAGGTCTCACTTTTTCTTGGAACATGACCCGCCCAGCACTTAAGGATACTGACTTGCCCCTCCCTATCCAGGGCTGCAATTTTGATACAATCTTTCACTGCTTACTTTCACGATAATGCATGGCCGATGATTGACATTGCTTTTCACTGCTTAGTTTCGTGAAGGTGGATGGTCGAGAGAGATTGTCCTTAATAACGTGTTCTTCTCTCCAGATGGTAACTGTTCCCAGCTGTTCGGTGGAGGAGGCGGGTGGTGGTTCAGCAACTGCTACCATGTTCTTCCCACTGGTCGTTACCGCTCTGTGGGAGGTAACGAGTATGGCGGCGTGGCCTGGTACCCATGGAGAAACGTCAAACATTCCCTCAAGGCTATGACCCTTCTTATCAGAGCCCACTAGAGCTCTCCCAAAAGAAGAAAAACGCCAGATTTTCCCTAAACTACATTGTCTTCCTGTAGCTGTAGTTTAGTTCATTTATTATGCACCCCATACCCATCCTGTGGGCGGAAGTGGAAAGGGTTATAGAGGCCCATAATGGGCTTAGGAACTGAACCCCAAAATTCATTTAGCTAAGCCAGTTATCTTGAATTTGTAATTCCTAATGATATTTCATTTCTATTTCTAAAACGTTTATAATGTTTAAAATTGATTATCTCAAGATTTCTGCTTTCGATAGGCGTAACGTGAAATATTTCCTATGAAAATCATTTGGGTTATGAAAATCTCTCTGGGTTTTACTGCTATGTATGTTGCTTTTAGTATGCAGGCGACGAGTCACAATAACGTGGCTAAAGTAAGTTGACCAGACCACACACTAGAAGGTGAGGGGACGACGACGTTTCGGTCCGTCCTAGACCATTCTCACAATCGACTTGAGAATGGTCCAGGACGGACCGAAACGTCGTCGTCCCTTCACCTTCTAGTGTGTGGTCTGGTCAACTTGTTTTTAGTAGTTAGCTTGTCAACTGTATGTGTTTAAACCAGCAGTAATTTCAGCCAATCTCGCCTTGTCTACAAAAGTGTTCTTATGATTCCTGTTACATGAAAGATCTCCATCGTGGTCGACCTCAGTAAACCATTTGAATTATTTAATATTTTTGTGTACTGTAAACTCTGTTTAATGACAAACGTTTGATCATACATACCTTTCAGATTGAGTAAACTATTTAAATATTCTCTTAAATTTTTTTAAACACAAAATATAATACCAATCAAGCAAATATAGGCTTATCTGATTCTGGAAGACAATTTAAGAAACTTTGCCACTGATAGAATTTGGTGCCACCTCATAAAATATACATTTCCAAATAACTGTCCTTTATTTTCCTTGATCTAACCATTCTCAATTGGCTATTATACAGTTTTTACACTGAAGCTAATTGGTAACATCTGGGTATTCTAGTTATTATGCCTGTTGTTTGAAATGCTTATTGTTATAAGTCCATCTGTTTAAGCCTCTTAACATGCTAAACATACACTTACTCCACACATTTCACATTGTACAAAACCTTACTCCTAAATGCTAATCTTGATCTGAAACTTGTCCTTGATAGGTGTAATAGAAACCATGAGAACCACACCAGAAATAAATATCTTTAATATTCCCAGAGTCAGGCTAAATCTGTGCAAACACTCCATGCAAATAAAAGGACCCAGTGTTTGGAACTCGCTCTCTGACGAATAAAACAATTGTCCAACCTATGGCTTATTCAAAAGGAAAACAAAAAAGTACTAAATATCATCCTCATAGTTTCCGACCTTGTACTTCAAACGCTCACTGTATCTTGTACTACCCACTTCCCCAATATTAGTACTTAAGACCATTGTAATTACCTCTAAATCTATACCATTACCTCTTGTCAATAGATATTGTAGTTATTTGTTGATATAAAACCTTGCTACAATGTACCTTTTCATCTTACCTGATATGTTAGATTAAGAACATCACTGGACGTCAGCTGATCAGGTAAACAAGGTCCATTTCCAACACAAAATTCAGTTTAGTTGAATAACTTGTACTCTTAAGGCCCTGCCCGAAACACTATGCGTGTTAGTGGCTTTACAAGAATGTACAAATACCACTCTTATGTAATCTCACCACCCCATTGTTCCATCTTGTGAATAAATTATTATTATTATTGCTATTATAAGATGAATAATGAGGCCAAACCAAAAATAATTAAACTAATACTTTTTTAAGAAGTATTTTAATGTCAGATTCTGATATGCTGGTTATATAACTCCCTCGTCACGACGCACTTCGATTTTAGTTCATTTTTGGTGGGTCAGGAACATTACCTGGAAAGACTAGGTCCTAGGCTACACTGTGGTCCAACTAGGGAAGCAGTGACTGGCGAGATGTATAATACAGATGCATTTTTATATTAATGATACAATTTAATAGCTATCAGTGAATTCAAATCTCTTATGCAAGAGAAAATGAAAGCCTTAGGAATGAATAATATAATACCAAACTTTCATAATTGGAAAAAAATGTCTAATCAGGACACTCGCTACTTGCTAATTCTTGATGATTCAGATATGCTCAGAATTTCAGGCTGTTCTCACGGCAGTGATTCTAATGACCGGAACCACCCTGGTTAAACACCTGAATATTTATCTAGATGTTTGTGATGGTCTGAAAGCATATTACGGTAACAGTATACTTGTAAGATGGCAAGTGAACCTTTGTCCTAAACAGAGATTATTCTCAATTCTATTGTATTATAAATCACTGGTACATATTATAAAATGTCAATGTTGAACTCATTTTCTTTGAAACGGTCTGAAGAATTTTGTTTTCTGTAAATAAAATCCTATAGTATACTCAAATAGTTTTCGGATTTCATATTTCACATGTTTGGGAATAATACACTATCTTAACATAACCAAACTTCATCATACTTAACGAAACTTAACCTGACCTCTTTTTCCAACCCATCCTCCTGAATTGAAAGTACTTACAGTAACAATATGATCGATCATACAAATATAGACCTATAAAAAGTAGGCTTTTGAATTGCTGAATTTGGACAAACAGGAAAACTTCTTCTATTTATGTTGCTAATGATACAATCTCACAATCGACTTGAGAATGGTCCAGGACGGACCGAAACGTCGTCGTCCCTTCACCTTCTAGTGTGTGGTCTGGTCAACATACTTCAGCCACGTTGTGACTCCTCGTCTACGAATAGTACCAAATTCAACATTTGATTTAACCATCACGTCGATATTTGTGCGACTGCCCACGTAGTTAGAAGAAGGCTGGGTTAGTTTTCCGTATGGGTTCGTATCATATCCGGGGAGGATTGACCGGGTGCCAATTCTTAACTGTAGCCTCTGTTCACCCAGCAGTAAATGGGTACCTGGTTATTAAACGATTTGGCGGGTCGTATTCCGGGGAACAATTAGGATGAAGAACCTGACCGAAACGCTATAAGTGCTAGTGGCGTTACAAGAATGTAAGAACTAGTTTTCTTAGACACATAGAAATCAGTAGCTCAGTCGATTAAGGCAGCGTCTGGGATTCTCTCAGACGCAGATTCGAATCCTCGTCACGGCCCTTAGAGATTTGTTCATTACTTTATATAAATTTTTTTTAAACATCCCAGGTAATCCTCCATAGAAAACGTGAGCCCGGCTACAAGAACAGCAGACGACCAGCTGACGCCAAAAACGTTACGAAACGTTTTCTTGCAGGATGTCTCTGTAGCCCGTAGCTCTGTAGCACGATGTTTCTTGCACGATGTCTTGGGGAGTAGAACAACTCCCAGAACCCCATCAATCAGGTATCAACCTCAGTCGGCGCCCAGAGCGGAAAGTCTCAACTCCTCACACACGCTACACGTTCCATCCAGGAAAAGAAGCCTAATACGTCTAGTTCCTAGTCATCAGCCTTGCTTCAACAAGCAACAACATTAACAGTTAAGCCTTGCCCGGGTCATAAACATGGACGCAGGTACTGTTTACTTATTTTTATATACAAGGTATTGTATTCAGGTACTGTGTTTACTTATTTATTTATATGCAAGATGGTGCATTGGAATTGTGAGAGTACATAACATTGGTGTTCTTACTAAGCCACTAACACGTGCGGAGGCGGTCGCCTAGCGGTTATTAGCGGCTGACCGCATGTTAAACAAGGTGGTTACACTTACAAGAGCTCACTTTGTGCTGTAGTCTTCTGGGAGGGTAGCTGAAGCGAGTCTAAGCTTCTCCGGGATGTCTTGGAGGTAGAATGGAGGATGGCGAATTCTCGGTGTGAACCAGAAAATGGGCATCCCAGATGCCAGTGGGAGGAGTCTCAAGTACGTACTTATCCTAGTGAGGTTGACGTCCGTCTGCCTCCAGGTGTGCGCAGGGGACCGCTGCGCACGCCTGGACTCCACCAATCAGGGCCCAGTTATACCTAAGGTATGAAATACGCCCTGTGGCGGGCACTTTGAATGTGGTTCCCGCCACAATAGTTTCGGGCAGAACATAACAAGCCTAAGCTACTCTATCCCTTTGAGATGTATTTCTTTCTTATCTCAATAAACATACTTGAACTTGGACTTGAACAAGTGTCTAAACTATTTATGTACAGTTGCTAAAACTACATATTATTTAAGGAAGTAGTCTGTGCCTGTCATCATTAATCATCCTGTGAGATAGGAATATTAGATGAACTTATAGCTTTGATCTTCACTGTGTAATCTTTCATATAGAATAGGGAAGCAGCACATTGCTGTGTATGTAATTATACATACTATGTATAATTATATGTAGCTTGTTAATACAAAAAAATGTATCACCATTATATTGTGTGTCATATGTTATATTTCTTGAACATCTCTTATGTTAGATTACTTCTCACTTAAAATGAGGTGTTTACCCATTATGCTGTATCTATAAATAATTTTAATCTGAATTATTCAAAGTTTTGGCCGAAACATTTTTATGTAGTACTGGTAGTGGCTTTATTTAATGTGTAGACTCTGTACCTTCAGCTATATCTGTCTTGAGTTCTTTGTATGTATATTTGTATAAAGTACTATTACTGAGAGAAGGAATACTGGCATTGCCCGGGTCTGTCTCCCATCCATCTATCTACTTATCTATCCATCTACTGTATCTGCTTATCTAACCATCTACTGTATCTGCTTATCTAACCATCTATCCATTGATCCATCCATCCAATTATTTCTCCATCTTTCCATCCCTCTGTCTCTTCACCTATCCATCCATATATCCATTTATCTCTTCACCTATCTATCTGTCCATTCATATTGGTACTGGTACATCTCTTGCCCCACATTCCAGATGGCCACTTTGTCCCAGGTCTGCCTCATGTTAGAGGCAGATTCCTGGATGATCTTCTTGGACCTCCAGTACACATTGACATGTTCCTATACATCCGAGGTTCGGGGATGGCCTAGGTTTTGTGGTGAGGCATCAAGTTTGCCACTTTTGGGTTCTCCCTCTTTGGGCCTGATCTGGCATCAGAGCTTACTCAGACACTGACATTTCGTTATAATCAATACTGATTTTTTGTTAGGAAATTTAAATTTTTTTATTGGGTGTTTTGAATTTGTTCTGATAGGCATTTTGGATTTTTTACTTTACCAAAAGTTATATAAATCCTCATATAATTACATTAATGGGGGAGGGGGAGGGGATTTTCAGTAATTACTAATATTTCTTAAATCAGTTAACTTGGGCCTATTCTGTCCAGCCTATGTCCATTGTGTACCCCAGATCATTCTCCCAACAAATTTGGGTAAGACTACCCCAAGCATCTGGCCTCCACCTTTGGACAAACATCCTCTTTTATAGGTATAGATAACTCATGATTTTAAGCAATTTGACCTAGGTATAATTAAAACATGTTTAAAATGGCACAAGATTTACTCCATAGTTGCTGTACATGAACTGTGTTGACACCTCTTGATTCCTACCGAGGTCACACCAAGTGCTTGAGTTTGACCCTGTGATGGCAACAAGTTGAAATCACTTGAATTAAACACGCACGCAGAATTCTTGATTTTGTATATTTAATTTAGTTTATTGTATTTTATCTAACACATAAAATTCAGCACTGGAATGAAGCCATTTTTAGATCTTAGGTTCATATTTTCTCCTGCATCTTGATTCATTAATGAGATTTTCTCGCAACTCGGTGGAAAATATTTTTGTTTCATTTAAATACTGGGTGACCTTAACATTTCATACTCTTTCAATAATCTGTAAGTCACAATAGTATTAATGATATTATATTACTGTTTTAGTATTAATAAAACTCTCTCATACAATGGAGATCTTAATTGTAATGGTACAAATGTTAGAGTAACATGAACATTTAATTATTTTTGGTATCTAAAAAATTCCACCTCCAGAACTTTGCATTTGTAGAATGTATAAATTTATTTTGCTTTCATTAAAATATGTAAATGAACCTTCTGCTTACCTAATTACTTATCATATTTTTAAATTAGTTTTATTATAGTCATATGCTGGCATAATAATTAAAATGGCTTTGCATATTAGTAAAATAAACTTCACATATTGAGAACTTACAGTTTACAATGACTGTTTCAATGATTACAACATTACCACCACATAGGATCAAGTTACTAGAATATAGGCTGTGACATTTTTGTTTTTGTTTTTCTTGCACGATATCCAAAATAGAAAGGGTATGATAATCCATCTGCCCTGGTATTTGGTATTTCACTGATACCTATATTATCCAAACAGTTAACCACAATCTTGATTATGTGGTACAAACCTAAGTTTTATATTAACCAAGGAACATATTTCATGATTCAAATCTGCAGGAGCTATTAAGTAACAAAGTATAATAAATGAAACAGGTTCTAAAATATTCAGTTCTGTGGGTAAGGGTCCTAAATGATCAAAGTAATGGTGAATCTGTTAATCTATATTGTATTATGTACATTTGGGAGTATATACTCCTAATAATTTTTGTTTGGTCATTAGTGGGATGTCAAGGTTCTGATATTATAGCATATGTACCATCGGTTCTGGAGTGTCTAAACTACATTATGTATCAGTAACATGGGCTCATCATATTTGTAAAAGGATGGAGTTAGAAATTTATGCCATACTGATGGAGGACTACTGGATACTGGAAATTATATTTACACAGGTACCATTACATTTACTTCTTGAATGAATATGAATTTGAAAAACTATCTAGTATATTAGGACCATAACTTAGCAACATTCTATACACATCCACTGGAATATTATTATTGGTACTGATACAAAGTACTGTACACTAATTGAATATTTTAGCTCCCCCTGGGATCATAATGCTAGTATCATACCCTCTCCCATTTTTTGTGGTGTGTAAGCTCTTGACTGGTTGACATCAACATACACTGACTAGATGATACTAAGAATGTTCATTCTGAGAATGACTTAAGTAACACAAATATGTAGGCACTATCTTCTTGATTAACTTACTATTATTACATTACAAAATGATATGTAGAACACGCCTATAGGATCATATTAGTGTGTACCAACTGCAAATTTCTTTTAGGTTTTGAAGTAAAGCTTAAGTAGTTATGAAATGTAGCAACTTTTATAACCATATAATAATAGTACACACAATTTTATCAAATAAAAGGCAAACTTTTTCCCTTAATTCTAATGATAAAACCATAGTCTTGTATTCACACACAGGGTCAAAGTACACATCTTCCAAATCATGCATCATTTGAATTCAAACACCAAATATATATATTTCTCCAATTTAAAGAATTTCATGAGAGTGTTTGGAGCATCAAGTTTAATTTGGGGCGTTATTGCTCCTTTTAATTACACATCAAGTGCACGTCTGATGCTGTGTTTTATATATTACTGTATTTAATGATAATGATTACAGCTGTTACCAGAGAGGAATAAGAGAGGACCTTTGACAAGTTGCTGGCTTCCTGTCCCTGTTGAAGCCACTAAAGATGATAGATTTCATGTAAAGAATTACATGATATTTCTAGATATAAAATTTAAATAAATAATTTAGTTTTTTTATGTGAAACTGTTGAGCTTTGTTTAAAATTGTATAATATTAAATATACTGTATCATTTTCATATATCTTAGCTAACATAACCGCAATAGAACTTAAAATGATCTCTCAAGGATTTGAACCTAGGCTACCAGCCTATCAGCCCTGTACTATACCCACTTAACCAATGATAGCCTGGGTTTAGTACTGGACTGCTACCCTAGTGGCCTAGGTTTGAATCATTAAGGGATCATTTGTAGTCTTGTTGAAAATATATACAGTGTGTGTGTGTGTGTGTGTAATTGCGCAATTACCTAAGTGTAGTTACAGGATGAGTGCTATGCTCGTGGTGTCCCGTCTTCCCAGTGTACTCACCTAGTTGTGCTTGCGGGGGTTGAGCTATGGCTCTTTGGTCCCACCTCTTAACTGTCAATCAACTGGTAAGCGTGTGCACGCACACAACAAAAACCACACGTGAAAAGATAATCTAAGCACTTTTTACTTGGCGTTGTGCTAATCCTACGAGAATGAGGATGAGAATTGAATAAAAACAGAACCATTAGGAAAGGTCAAACTTTCATGGTACAGAGGATTGTGTGACCAGAAAAGTTAGCCATAAATTATGTACTCTTAGCAAACAAATCCTAACAATGTTTGAGGGCAAATGGTATAAAAAAAAAGGTTCCATTAATTAAATAGTAATCTAGTAAAACAAAAAAGGACAACCAAAGCAAAATATTTAACACTTTCACGCTTTGAGTGAGCGAGCATTTCTCCTGGTTCTGTCACCCTAGTGGTTTTGGACATTCTGCGGGAGCGTGCGGTAATACTGAAAAGTGTATACTCTTTTCAACTTTGTCACCTTAATTCTCATCCTACGTTTTTCAATTTTGTATCAATATGTTCCCAATAGAATGCTCTAAAGGACTAAAAGCATATAAACTCAAAAAGCCCGGCTTACCACCCACAGCAAACATAGAAAGTGAGAGAAAGTTACCCGGGAGCGCGCAAGAGCGATAAAATGTGTACACTCTTTTTCAGTTTGGTCACCTCAATTTTAGTCCTAGGTCTTTCATTTTGGTATCAATGTGTTTGCAATAAAATTCCCAACAGGAGTATATGCATTTAATGTCAAAAACCGTGGCACGCTCCACCCGCCGACGTGATGAAAGCAGGTGATCAGAGCAGGGAGGAGTGCTGGGCCGTCCATTAGAATGCATGGTAATACTGAAAAGTGTATACTCTTTTCAACTTTGTCATCTCAATTCTCATACTAGGTTTTCCAATTTGACATCAATGTGTGCGCAATAGAATTCTCTACACGATTAAATGCATATGAAGTCCAAAAGCCCGGCGTACCACCCACACAAAACAGAGAAAGTGAGAGAAAGTTACCCGGGAGCGCTAAACAGCAATGAATTGTTACACTTTTCACTTTGGTCACCTCAATTCTCGTCCTAGGTCTTTTATTTTTGTGTCATTGTGTTCGCAATAGAATTCCCTACAGATGCATATGCAAATATAAAGTCCAAAAGCCCAGCGTACCACCCACAGCAACCAGAGAAAGTGACGGAGCGTTACCCCAGTAAGCGCTAATAAAGAGCAATAAAATGGGTATATTCTTTTCAACTTCGTTACCTCAATTCTGATCCTAGGTCTTTTATTTTGGTATCAATGTATTCGCAATGAAATTCCCTATAGGAGTATATGCATATAATGACCAAAACTGCAGCACGTCCCTCCGGAAGCCAATTACTGCAGAGGACTCAATGCTGAGTTCTTACCGAGCGAAAGTGATAATTATTAATTTATTAAATAAAGTGTTTAAGTAATAAATTGAATCACTTGTCCTTTCTGGTTTACTAGATTACTATATAATTAATGGAATCATTTTTATACCGTTTGCTTTCAAGCTTTTTTTTATTAGAATTTATTTACTAAAGTACATGATTTCTAGCCACCTCTTCTAGTCACCTAATCCTCTGTACCATGTGTTGGACCTTGTCTACTGGGTCTCTTCTCATTCAGTCTCACTCTGTGTGTGTGTGTATGTGTAATTATCTAAGTGTAGTTACAGGATGAGAGCTACGCTCGTGGTGTCCCGTCTACCCAACACTCTTTGTCATATAACGCTTTGAAACTACTGACGGTTTTGGCCTCCACCACCTTCTCACTTATTAAACCGTCTACCACTCTGCAAAAAAAATTTCTAATATTTTTTCAGTACCTTTGTTTCCTTAGCTTGAATCTGTGTGGGTGTGTATATAAATCTGACAAATTCTATGATACAATATATGACCAAAAGAAAGATGATAATTTTGTAATATACAAAATTAATGAAACTGGTATCCAGACATGAGATTTGGAGGTAGCAATTATGCATGATTTGGAGGAGGTTACTAAAATGCCATCACTATAGCACAAAATGCCATCATGGCAGCACAAAATGAGAACAGTAATAACTGGTCACCTGATATACAATAGTATCCTGGCAAAACTATATTATCACTCAGAGGAACACAAACTTGTTGACATACAAAAATGAACACTTACATTAAGCCAATATGAAAGGTGCTAAAAATTTTATATTTACACAAATAAAAATATTTTGTTTACAAGTTCACATGAATATTGCTTAAAATAATATATTAAGAGAAAATGGCTTTCCTTAGAACATATCATTTTTACAACAATGGCATGCAATATCTCTCTCTTTCAACTTGTCCAAGATGCGCATGCTCAGAGCCATATTCAAATTACGGTTTTTATACTTACAAACAATTAATGGATATTCAAATTCAAATTTCTCCAATGCAAATAAACACCTTAGAATTCATCACAAGAGTGAAAAATGTTACCTAAATGCCCAAATTAAATGATTTGGATATAAGATTTATATATATTATTATATGCATACATACATTTATACATGTATATGTAGCCTCACACACTATCCATTTGAACTGTTATTGTGTGTTGTTACATATGAAATAAGCTTATATGAATGTGGCATTCATAATGGACACTCGGTTACATTTTTTAGAATTTATTTTATATAATAGTGATTCTACACGAAAACCAAAGAAAACATAATGTTGACATGTGCAGTACATACAGATATGGACATTCTTCAAGCACTCGCACTCACACACTCAGAGAGGAATGAATCATTTCTAAGATGCTTCAACTTAGGGCATTATTTAATCTTCCCAGCAAATCTGTACAACAGATTGTTTCGTCAACTGAATGGGATGAGTGATTATGAACCTTAGGTGGGATAAGGAATAAAGGTGATATTTTGCATTCACTCTATATGACGATTTGGTTCTACTGAGGTGATGGTTAAGCTTCATTACCACTGATACATCTCATTCAATCAAAATATGAAACCACTGTAAACAACTATATTTGTAGCCATGAGCATAAATTAACACTAGAGGCTAGTGACATATTTCTATCACAATTACTTTTACATTATTTAACAGAGATTTAAATATTGTTGTTGCAGTTTACAGTGATTTTGTAGCCCAATATAACCTGTTTCCTATGATACATTGAGCTAGTCATAACCTTGCCATTAGTTGATATAATAGACAATTACCTTATCACCTGTGTCAATAACATCTCAAAACCAAAATCATTCCTATTCTATATACTCAATTTTAGCCCTTTGACATTTGAAATAAAGGAAAATGTTTCATTGTTAAAATTTTGTTAATTTCTTACTTTATCATAAAATCATTTCTGCAAATAATCAGCTTTGTCTTTCTTCTTCTAGCATTCGTCCCTTCCATCCTACCCTCTGTCCGGTCAGCAGTAGTCAATGTTCTGGCCTGCTGTTGCCTGAGTTATGAGGTCAACATGGTAATCTGTTGCCAAGGTCAGGTCAGCCACACAACCAGTTAGTCCAGGTGCCGTATATCCATTGTGGACTCCACGGAAGGTCTCACGCCCACCTGTGGTAGAAAAGTTAAACAAATGCTGCATTACCTATGATAAAAGATCTAAATACGGTACTGTACTGCACTACATTAGTGTTCCTTGTTGTCATGGTAGTTTTTAATTACGAGATATGAATTTAATGGGTTGTGCACTTATAATCAGTTTATTTGAATACATCACCGCCTTTGGTAAAAAATATAATTACTATATAATAATTATCTTGCAAATTGATAAAAAGTCATATGATAAGATTGGACTGAAAAAAATTTGCTTGTTATGATCCTCCAACATGCTTATGGTACTGCTGTGAATCATTCTTATACTGTACTATAATTCTGTTGAGTCAAACTTACCAATATATAGAGAGGAGTCTACATTGAGCTGCACCAAGTCACCGGGGGACACTATGACACCTTCCTCTTCATCGTCCACAGACAAGCGGCCTTCCCTCTCATACCTACCCCATGATAATACACAATTACACTGTAATTTTTTTTTTAAGATTTGCATTACTGTACTTTATTAGCAACTGTTTTCACTTTCTAATACTGTACTCATCTCACATCAAATATAAGCATGTACTGTAGTCAACTGTATGAAACCAATCAATTGAGAAAATTTTCATATTACAAATCAGATTTAATTAGATATGGTTTGAGAGCATTAGAATGATCAAGACAGGTATCCCCCAGGCCAGTATGCTGACATGTCTCACATTGCAAGCACGATGGTTAAACAAGTACAAATGACATAATAACAACAGAGAAAGCAATGAGTAAAGGAGGTGCAAGGCAGAGGAGGGTAGAGGAAGAGTTCTTTTTACATCATGCAAAAGATGAGAGTTTCAAGTTGATACACAATTACATTCACTATGTATTATGCAAAAAAAAAAAAAAAAATATTGGATTAAAATCATGGAAAATCCCTGCCTTGAATACCTAATGTGTAAATTTATTTTATTCAAGGATAAGTTTTGCATGCAAGGTCCTTATCAAATAAGTACAGTGGTACCTCGGAATGCGATTGTCCCTGTATGCGAGGTTTTCGGAAGGCGAGGTGTATTTACTCCAAAAATTTGTCTCAGAAGGCGAGGGTTACTTCGGGAGGCGAGTTTGGACGCGAGTTTGTTGATACGCGTACAGCCGACCTAGCGCGTTCGTCGCCCCTCCGCCCCGCCGCCCCTCAGTTTATTATTGTCTCGCGCTCAGTGACTACCCCCACATCAATTCTTCTCGCGGATTTTCAGTGTTTTGTTGGATTTTTGGTGATTTGTCTATACAATTTGTTATTATATATCTCACCATGGGTCCCAAGAAAGCCAGTGGTAAGGATAAAGGCCAGAAAGCTCATGTGAGGATGACAATAGAGGAGAAACAAGAGATCATTCGGAAGCATGAGAACGGTACACGTGTTGTTGAACTTTGTAGGCAGTACAACAAAGCCACATCAACAATATGCACTATACTTAAGAAGAAAAATAAGATTATGGGTGCTAAAGTGGCAAAAGGAGTAAGAACATTAACGGCACAAAGACCACAAATACTTGAAGAAGTGGAAAAGTTGTTATTAATTTGGATACACGACAAGGAGTTGAGGGGTGATAGTGTTTCGGAGGCCATTATTTGTGAGAAAGCCAGGGTGTTGCACGAAGACCTTCTAAAGAATACCCCTGCAACGAGTGATGCAGATAAGAAAGAGTTTAAGGCAAGCAGGGGCTGGTTTGAAAAATTTAGAAAGAGAAGTGGTATCCATAGTGTTACAAGGCATGGGGTTATGTGATGTGATTATGGAAGGGGACTCCCCTTCCAAACAGTAACTCCTCTCCTCCTCCCCCCTCCTCACCATCTTCCATACGCCTACAGCACTCGACAGCAAGGTAAGTAATAACTGGAACACAGTTTTGTAGGTTTATTTAGATGAATTAGGTAAATTAGGTATAAAAATTTAGTTTGATGTGGGGTTTTTGGGGTAGTCAGGAACGGATTAATTCATTTCCCTTTATTTCTTATGGGGAAATTAACTTCGGAATGCGAGTTTTCGGAAGGCGAGGCGTCTCCAGGAACGGATTAAACTCTTATTCTGAGGTATGCCTGTAGTGACACTGACAACCTCAGCACACTGGTCATATAAGGCATTGAATGACTTTCTGAATCCGGTGCTTTAGTAACTTGTGACACTGACAACCTCAGCACACTGGTCATATAAGGCATTGAATGACTTTCTGAATCCGGTGCTTTAGTAACTTGTGACACTGACAACCTCAGCACACGGGTCATATAAGGCATTGAATGACTTACACTCAACAGGGACTAGGCCCTTTATAAAAATCTATATTACTCCCAACAACTGATGATTGGACACTAATCAAAATGAAGCTCAATGCCCACTATAATTCATATATGCATTTAAATCACTCCAGCTCTCTCGATATATTGATGCACCCAGTTATCACAAGGTGTTGGGTGGATATTGATTTTCTTTCATGATAAGGAACTTAGCTATCCTCAAGGCATTCTCAGTTATGCATAGGGGTTGCATGCTTATGTTCGTTGCAAATGACTATAATCATTCAAGGTATGGAATACAAATTTCAAACAGTTCTTAAAGCACTGAACATGCTTAAGTTAAATATCAATGGGCTATAAGTTTCCTGTCCTCAATAGTACCAACCGAGAAACCATCGGGTAAATTTAGGCAACTTCTGTTTTTATTTCACAAAATTCTGAATATTCCCTTTTCTGTCTACTTACAGCTGATTCCTAACCTACATATCTCCCAAAACTCACTCATACTAACATCTCTCTTCTCTCTCCTAATTTTACCATGCTACCCTACCAACTTTTATCTTTCATTGTCCCCACCCTCTGGGGAGCCGGTCGGCCGAGCGGACAGCACGCTGGACTGTGATCCTGTGGTCCCGGGTTCGATCCCGGGCGCCGGCGAGAAACAATGGGCAGAGTTTCTTTCACCCTATGCCCCTGTTACCTAGCAGTAAATAGGTACCTGGGTGTTAGTCAGCTGTCACGGGCTGCTTCCTGGGGGTGGAGGCCTGGTCGAGGACCGGGCCGCGGGGACACTAAAAAGCCCCGAAATCATCTCAAGATAACCCTCTCTATATATTATACATTTCATATTCCAATACAGTAGTGAATTACAGATGATTTTACAAGCAACTTAACAACTTCAGTTTTGTCCTCTTCCTACTGATACAAATCTCCCTTTATTACACCCCACACTTAAAATTACAACTCCTTCACAGGTACACATTAGACCACCAAATCACACTTACCTCATAAATGTTTTTAAATGATAAAACTAAACTAACCTATAGATTCGAACAGTATGCCATTGGCCATCATCTAAGCGACCACTACTGTTGTACATAAGCTGGGCATATCCCGAGCCCAAATTGTAACGGAATACAAGACGTCCATCTTGTAATTCAAGACTAAGCGAGTCTCCCAGAGGTGGTCCTATTACATCTCTGTTGTCTCCATCATCATCTTCCTCTCCAGCCCACACTAGGAGGCCATCAGGGGTCAAAGATCGGAACCTCAACCAGAGATGCAATTTATCACCAGAGACTCTGAAATTAAGAATAAGTGTTCTATACTGTGTTTGTATTGCTGCATTATAAATTTTATAAAAGTAGATTCTATTATTTTCTTTTGAAACCACATTGTTGGAGATAAATTATACAAGAATTATCCCATATAATTTTATGATCGGTCTTGCATGTTTATACTGTATAATGCCGAACTTTGCTGGCCACATCTAACAGACCTCTTGTGTTCAGTAACATGGATTTTTAGATCCCTGCCAGTTTGGCCATAATACACTTTACTTCAATCATTACAAGGAATCTTATAGACTCTGGCACCCTCAGCTTATCTATTTTCTGATGTTTACTTATTTCTTACCAACTTTATTTGGGTAACTGAAAATGAATTTAGTTTTATCCATTTTGCTCAAGTTGTTAACAGTATGTAGTATGTTAGAACTATAGGGACTACGCAGAGAGTAATCACACTAACATGATGTATGAATGAATGAGAAAATCACTGATTACTATATTGATTACTATATATAATCATTGATACTATAGGAAATGATGAAGCTAACATACAGCATCCTGCTAAGAACTTGAGCAAAATGGGTAAAACAAAATTTGTTTTCATTTACCCAAAGAAAGCCAGTAAGAAATTAGTAAGTGTCTATCAGCAAAAAGATAAAGCTGTGGGTGCCAGAGTCTACAAGATTTCTTGTAATGATTGTACTAAAGTTAATTATGGCCAAACTGGCAGGGATCTACAACACCATACTAGCAAATTCAAGAGGTATGTCGAATATGGCCAGCAAAGCTCAGTACAGTATTATATAAATTGGAGATCAATCACAAAATTATATGGGATAATTCTTGTTTAATTTATCCCTAACAATGTGGTTTCAAAAAAAATTAATATAAGCTACTTTTATAAATAATCCAAATTTTAATATCTCTTCAGGGCAGTGGTTACCAGATTTGGTGAGCAATTATGCAAGAAGTTAAGCAATTAAGTATTAGGTAATAAGGAGGTTATTACCTAATGCTTATCCCTGTTCCCAGGACATCTAACTTGATGCCATAAAAGCAGCTACAGCTGTCATGCTTGCTCACTGCTGAAAAGGGTCTCAGTTCGAGACTGAAATATTCAGACTACGTTTCCTGGCATTTCCAAAATACTGGGTTATTGGTTTCATGGCTTAGTGTGCTATTACACTTTATTCTCATATTATACTGTATTTTGACATTATTATATGGTTTAACATAAATACTAACCGTTTCATTATCTCTGTATCTGCATATTTTAAGAATGACCGTCCACTGAAGCTTGGTGTTGCTGCTTGTGTCACCACTCGACTCCTGCAATGGTCATCTTGGAAGCCAAGAGGGCAACGACACGTGTATGATGGTCCGTGAGGTTCACAGATACCACCATTGTCACAAGGACGCTGAGAACAAGGATGATTGCAAGAATCTACATTGCTTCCTGAGACAGCGCCCGAGACGAGGTGAATTGGCCGACCATTGAGTGCTAGCTGTTAATGGCAAGACAGTCTTCATGAAATATTTTACTATAATATATAATATAATATGTCTTTTCATTTTCCATTTGCTAGAGGAAAGGGTGAAAATCGTGTAAAAAAAATATTGGAGTGACATTTAACCTTTGTAAAATCTTGCACTCTATTGTATCACAAGAAACTAACATGACTACAATAACGGAATCTTAATTTCTTTGAAAAAATTAGTATGTCTATATTGAAACTATGATGTCATTTATGATACAGATGTAAAGACTTGGACTAATGAGATTTTGAAAGCCGAGACATAACCTTCTGTATGCAGCCAGTAAATGCTTGAGATGCTGGGAGTATGGGCTGCGAGACGGATGTGGGTGGAATTCCTCCTAGGTACAGTGGATGGGAAAGAGACAGCATAGTGAAACCTCCAGGAGTCAAGCCACTCACTACAGGTTGGTCATCCACATACAGCCATGCCCAACGCCCTGTTCGTGAAACTCGTGCAGAGTGCCAGATGCCGGGACGAATTGGGTATACCGATCTTAAATACAAAAGTGATTAATGACATATTAAACTGGTACTATTCATATAAAATGTCAGAATTACTAAACAGAAACAGATTTAACATTTGCTAAACTTCTTAAACAAGTCATATATATTAGCCTTAAGGTAAATTCTCCTTTAATGTAATGTATTATCCCATTAAAATTAAATTAGATTATTATAGGGGTAATAGTAGATAGGAGGAGGTGGTGGAAGTGGTGAATGGCTGCAGTGGATGATTTTGGAAGAACATATTTCTGTCTATATAGGGGTATGTTTCATGGTTACTTTCTTAGTCGTTCTAAGAATAGCTTAGGACTTTCTAAGGATAGTCAAGTTTTAAAATATATATAATAATAATCACCGAAAAATACATATTTGGTGATCTTAGAAAGTAAAACAATGTAATTTTATTTCATGGTGCATGGTACAATATATAAATACATATTAAATAATAAGCACTAAAATTGTTTACTAGATGTATTTCAAGATGGTTTTGATAAACATAACTGATTTAATTATAACCTGGTCTTTGTACTTGCCTTTGAGCCTAAATGCTACCATACCTATCCTAAGCCAGACTGCACTGAACGATCACCTGATCCCAATGCTTCCCCTTATACCTTATATATTCCCACTCTCTCCCTAAGCCAGCACATATTATGCAGCAAAAAACATTCTCTGCTAGTTGCAAGCTTATAATGAAAGCAATATAATTTATATTGTAATTTTGTTAGAACATACCTGAGAGTCAAGATTCCAGAGCCTAAATCAATTGTAAAGAGGACATGAGCCTGTGACAGTGTCAGGGCAATGAAGTCTCCTGTACCATCTGAACGATGACTCTCGTACAGGAGGACTCCATCAATGGATGCCGCACGAAACACCAGCTCCAGCTCTAGCCACGACAGCACAGAACCTCCAAGGGCAGGAAACATAAGGTGTGATGACCCATTGAATGAAGGAACCTGTTGGTAAAATAAAACAAAATAGATTTTATTTTAAAGAAACAAGGCTTGAGAAATATGTTAAAACATGGCTTTCCTTTAAAACTTTGTCAGCATTTACAGTGAAAACAAGCATGTCTGAGATAATTTGAAATACTTTATCTTCATACTTCAGTAGTTTTTGACTATTCTTTAATTCAATATCTGAAGAGAAAAAAATTCTTTACTTTTTGTTTTGGTTACGTACAAATTTCTTTATTAAAATACAACCTAGCATATTATGATTTCACTATTTTATCAATTGTATATTAATCCAACATAACTAAGGGGCAAAAGTGAAAATAATGTGTGTTAATGGTAGTCAATCAAGAGAGGCATCCACAGGCTGGCATATCTCAGGATACAGAGTGTAATAATTAAATTATTTCAGGTTAAGATCATAGCATTGTCTAAGCTCGATAATCTGAATCATATGGGGGGCCACCCTCATAAGGATTACCTAGACATCTGACTTAGTCAAATTTCATACCAGGAATGTCAAAAAAGTAATGACCATTTTCATAAATTTTATTGTTAAACAATGTTCTGAATATTGTTTAACAGCACCTTGATAAAGGTTGTAGGTTTCACCCAAAATTTATGTTCAAGTTATACACTTACACATGTATTGGGTCTTTCCTTCACCTTCATTACTATTACTACTACTAGTATTATTATTATGAAGAAGAAAGATGACAAACAATTAGTGATTAATTTAAAAACTGGAGTTTGCATATTATATAAAATCAGTAAACTATAAACAGTATCTTGCTGAATAAGGATAACACAAAACTAATACGACTAGTGATTATGTCTTGCCTCAAGATTGAGTTGCTTCTCGCAGAAATCTCCTGAATACCCTAAGGGACAGAGACAAACTGGTGCCGGTGGTGGTGGAGCAAAGAACGGAGGTGGAGTTGGTGTTGTCAACGATGAAAGATTCCTGTTATCTTGGGAGGGAGAGGAGGAGGAGGAGGAGGCCACACATTTACCACCATGCTGGCACTCGACTTCACTACAAGCATCACCAATGCACTCAGCTGGAGAAGATAATTTAATTTTGTATTGCCTATTATATATTAAATAATAAAAAGTAATTGGATAAACTTGGAGTAACAATCACATTCCTTTGTGAGTACTTATTTGTATAAGTACACTCAAAAGGATGAGTTGCTTCGAGTTGAGTCCAATAAACTTACTTAATTTTCAATCCCTAAATCTATTTTTAAAACACTGATATTATGACTTTTATTACCTAAATCACTTTTGTATGGTTAAACTGGGTTTTCACCAATACATTCCCTACTTAGTTCTTTGTCAGCTCAAAACTGAATGCAATCAGTGCACATGATAAAAGAAAGCCAAAGCAATAAAAGCAAGATTAAAGTAACCTAGCCAGGTAAACAAGAGCCACTAACACCAAGGATGGGCTAGTTTGTTATACAGTATATCATATCCTGATCTTGAGCATAAAAGAGCAATCCTAATATTAGCATCAAAGATAAAGCACTGAAGAATATTACGTCCAGTGCGTAGCTATAGATCTCGTGTCTAAAATAATAAAGGTGTGTCTCGATGCAAGATATGGGAGCTTGAGTGACGAAGGTATGGTAGTAGAAAAGGAACAATATAGAGGTGAACAAATCCACAAGGGCCGTGATGAGGGTTCGAACCTACACACGGGATGTTCCCAGATGCGTCTTAGTCAACTGTACCATGAATACTGTGTAGAATACTGTGTGTAATATAGAGGTGTTCCTAATAACCCATTATTCAATAGAAAGGGACAATGTGCCTGTAAATAATGTCTAACTTAAATGCTGTTGTTAACCCACAAGTTAATCTAATTTTCCTATCTTGCTCTTGAGACATACAATACTACATACCCAGGAAATTTAAAGACCCTAAATGAAAGAGATCATAAGATCATAAAGATCATAATTTTTTTTTTTAAATTAATTTGAACCGATTGAATCACTTAAATCTTACAATAACTGTCTTAAACATACTGTATATAAGCTAAGCATATCATACAGTAGATCTACTGTATGATATCTAATGTTGATTCTCAATCTGTGTGGATTTGAAGTACAGTACACAAATTTGCTGTTAATTCCATAATCCAAATGTGGTGATGGGTTAAGCTGTGAGAGCAGATTCAAAGGTACTTTTGGATTACAATCCTCCATTATGCTAACCTCCAAGAATCCAGAACCTTCTTTAAAGTACTGTATGTACAGTAACTTAGTATATATATGTTTAGTATGTCTCTGTAATCTAACTATTTTTCTTACATTACGTTAAATTTGCTCTGCACATTGTTTCACACAGATCAAAGATCAACTGTATAAAATTATATTCTGTACGATATGCTGTAATACAGAACTGTACAGTATGTCTTTCCTAATTATCTTTGCTATTTATGAGTGACATTATTCATAAATTATTGTAGAATATTGCACTGCACACACGTTCTTACAACTTACTTATGCCCCAGCCATCTAATGCTGCATAGTCTGATGAGAGGTTCGGCTCTCTAAGTGGATCACTTTTCCGAAAACGATAAACGTGATCATTGACTTGAAGTCGTCGAACACAACCCTGGAGGCCAGTAGTTACACCAAGGCGTGGAGCAAGCGATGTCAGGTTGTTAGATCCTCCCACATACAATGGTTCACGGAATGTAATTCGGGAGAACAAACCCTGAAAATATTTGACATTAAACTTAACACATAGTTCTGTAGTTACAATGATTAAGAGATATTCACAAAAGCTCTACCATTGGAAAAGTGAAAGTGGTCTGCCCCCATTGTCACGCTAAACTGTCCTTTAAATAAATGCTGTCGTTTTCATATCTACCCATCAATTTTTTTTCTTGTATCTGTGTTTTGTTTAAGAAAACCTCATTCCAGCCATATTCTTATTTCTAACTCCAATCAAGTTTCAAGTGCTTCCCTTTTATGCTTGTCACATCCACATACAACTCTCTTACAAATGTTTCAGGCTTGGCCATGAGTATAAAAATTCTAAAGATATCTGGAATAACGGGAGAACTGTACATGTAGCTAATGGGATCATTTACTTTTAATAAATATTCATAATGCCTCCATTAATTTGACTCAATTTGCCTTCTCTAAAAGCTGAGTAGAACCTTAAACTTATATATAATGAAGGAGTACAAATAATTTATAATTTTAGTATCAAGGGCTGGGATGCATAGCAACAGGATATACAGTACTGTACACAGTGGTTTATGGTCACACTCACTATTGTATATGTGGAATATCCACCACTTGCCTACCTCACAATGTGGAAAGATAGAATGACTTCAAACACACACACACATGAAAAGATGGAAAGGTATAAAGAAAATGCAAGAATTCAACAACACTTATGACAGATAAGAATAATAATACTAAAAAAAAGTTATCAAAAGGCCAATGTCAAGGATGATAAACTTATGCAGACCACTGAATAAGTGCAGTCAGAAGAGAAACATATTCAGAAATACAAGATAGAGTTCTATTTTACTTACCCTATGAAATGGTAGCAAAGAAAGCTGGAAGTGGAGTCATATCACTCATAAAGTACATGGATTCCAATTATGCTAGGTTAGGAATGAGCAAGCAGAATTTGGAAGCACTTCATTAACTACAAGATAAGGATTTAATGTGAAGGCACACATCATCTGTTAAGCATAAGCAGCTGAACAGAAATACACGACTACCGAGATTGAGCATAGGATTCCAAAACAGAGGAACTGACATGTGTATATTATCAATGTGAGAAGACTGGGTTCTTTAAAAGTTGTTGAAAATGGTGACAAAATTTTATCACAAAAGATGATCATGTCTTAAACTGTGGTAGGTTAGGACAAGGCACTTTAGTACGACAGTTTCTTGACTTTGGGAATGCTCGTCAGAAAGGACTGAATTATTGACAGAGATAGGAATCAGATTTCCCCCCCCTTTTTTTTTAAACACAAATAAATAATAAATTATCCCTCAGAGCTCTTATTGTCCATCAGCCCTGCATACAGTATATCAAAACAACTGAAATACTGTATGCAATATCTCCAAGTACTGTATAGTATGCACATGCAATTCTTAAATCATTCATCATAATATACATATATGATGGTGACATACTCAAACATTCTTGTCCTTTCACTCATTCACTAAAATTATACCATGTGTTTAACATTTTGAATAACACATATTTAAGACACTAATTTTAATACTGTAGTAACCACCTGTTACCTACACCAACTTGACACAGAAACATCACGAACTGGTATCTGAATTATCTGTTCTAACACCAAATCATCTAAAATTTTGAACATTACTTAAGGAAAGGTTAAAGGTTAAGGCAATCTGAAAAATTATAAGTATTCTGACCTCTGAGCGTCCCTGAATATGGTGCCCATCATTCAACTGCAGCCATACATCCCAACGGTGGCGATACACGGTTAGTCGGTTCCACTCTCCCATGTGAACTTCTTCAGGGGATCGTACTGATCCTGCTCCTGAACCACAGTCCCATCTGAGAAGCAAAATTAGGATAGAAGTAAACTATCAGTATATGTGAGAATACTTACAGTATACAATTGTACTTTCTAATACACATTATAGTATAAATATACTCCTATCATTATGTACATTTAACTGTGTAGATTTACTGTTCACAATAAATAGATAAATACTGTAACTACATTTACTAATGAAAATTATAACAAAAAAGAAAAATACGATACATTAATATAAATACTTTCAATTTAAACACAGGTGGGTACAGGAAAAGATGAATTCTGACTCCTATTAGGAAGCTTACAGCTGTCCCTTCCCATAGTTCATGATAAGCTTCACCTACTAATTTTTTTCCTGGAACACGACTTGCCAATCAGTTAACAACCAATACCCAATTACTGCTGGGTGAACAGAGGCAAACTGTTAAGGATTGATGCCTCGTCAATCCTCCCTGGCCACGACTCAAACCCAGACCAAATCTTCAAAATTTTAATTACAGTACTGTTCTGTATTCCCATTAAATGCACCATAGACTCAGTTTTGCCCATTTTCTTAGTATATAACAATGTATTGTTTCCTGTTAAGTATTGAGCATTATAAAATGCCCTGTTCTGTATGGTGCCTTGGTAGCTCCATTAGTCTTTGTCTAACTTTTCTCAGGATACTATATGGTCATATTAGGCATTGGATGACTTCCTTTTCCACTGGAGACAAGACCTCAATGGAGCAGGAAGTTTGTGGGAATCAGAGATCAATCAGAAAACTGAGGTAAACTGCTAGCTGAAGCACACAAATAGCACTAAACACTCCCACCAAAAGATATTTAGCAACAATGTGTAATTAAACAACGTTCTGTAAAAAGTAAAGCACTGCCACTTGCTTACTTAGCTGCCAGCACTATACAGAGAGTTAGTTTGGCAGATCAGGATAACCTTTCTACTAGAGTTTGCACCTACATCTTCAAATGATCAGGCACTTATTTTCCTGTTGAGACTTAAAGCATTTTCTGGGTTGCCTGAACATCGCCTGCATGTAGTGCAGTGCATACCTGAGCGACCTAAAGGTTCTGCTTTGCCATCGATTCTCAGGCTTCTTGGGGTTCTGTTCAGTAGAAACTTTCAACCTTTGGGTTCTGTTCAGTAGAAACCTTCAACCTTGTCAATTGAGCTTTTAACAAAATCTTTGCGCATGGGATAAGGACTGATGAGATGGCCGCAAAAGCCATCGCCTAACGTATAGCTTAATGTATTAAGAACAATTACAAATTGGTGGATTAATTCATCTCCCAGCAATATAAAGCAAAAGAAAAGAACTCACAAAGGGAGTAAGTGTCATAGCCTCTACCCCATCAAAAAGTCTAAAGAAACCAAACATAGTAGCCTAAGTAAATCAGGCAGACAAGATGAAGCAAAGCCAGCCCAGGACACCCCTTCCAACAAAGAGAAATAAGGAAACTTCAGCCAAAACCTGTTGTAATGGCAAAAACTATAAACTTTCACCCCAAATAACCATTAACCTACCACCTCAGAAAGGAGTAGTACAAAAAAGAGTGTGTATCTAAGCAGACTTCTGAAATGAGCCCAATACTACACACAACCAGAGTACTGTAGTGGCTTCTTCATGGTAAAATATATAAACCTGTATAGACAGATACAAAAATATGCAAAAAACATAGGCATGTCTCTAGTGTAGTGCTTCTAATGTATATAACTCAATTATTGTTTATAGTCAAGTCTAATAGCATTTAAGACTTCTCACAAAGCATATAACATCCAAGAGTTCATCTTCTAACACAAGAATCTAAAGGGATGCCTTACTTAATTTTCAGTGCCAGCCAGCACAACTGATATTTTACCTGAACTCCACAAAGCTTCCAACAAGCACTGCAGCCATGAAGTCTCCTGAGAGGTCATCGTTCTCACCCGACACTAGCAGCACACCATCAGGAGTTTCTGGCTTGAACTCAAGGGTCAGCTGCACATCCCTGTAGGCCTCCCTGAGTGGTGCAAACCCGACCCATGATGACCCATGGAATCTTGCCGTCTCAATTTGAGCACCTGCAATGAGGAACACGAGTGTTAGTTTCGAATGTTCAGTACATTAACACACGGGTGTGAGGCAGGCAAAGACTGGGTTATTATAGTCTGGGTTAATTGTAGTATGATTTTTTTTATTAGTATAAGGTAGAGATAGTTTGGGTTAGAGTAGTGGGAAGCAGCAATAGTCCAATTTATACTAGTATGATGCACAAGAAGCCTTTGGTTATGAGGAACTTTGACGTAGGTCCAGGGAAGTGGATGGTAGCTCTGATGAGTACAAGACATTGAGGGTGAAACAACAAATTAGATAATATAAAATGTGGAAAGAGGACAAATGTAGCTAATAATTAATTTTAATAATAATAATTAATTTTATTGAGGGTAGGTCTGTGTGTGTGTATAGATTAACTACTGACCGTCTCCAGGATAAAAACCCCACAACAATTACTGTTGGGTGAACAAAGGCATAAGGTGAAAGGAAACATGCTTAATCACTTCTGTCCCACCCGGAAATCTGTGGAAAGAGGCCCCCAGTTTCAGGGTTTAATATAGTTGGGTAGTCTGTTGTAAGTCTATTATGGCAGTGGGAGAAAATTCTGGTGCAAATTTCCATATATTGCACGTGGGATCCGATAATCTAAATTCTTCCAGCGTATGCCTTATTTATATTGTAGAAGCAATCACTAATGTCTCGACTTTGCCACTCAAGGTCCACAGAGTGAAGACGATAATGGAAAATGTTGTGTTTATATTGTACATGCTCGGTTGTAGTTTGTAGGCCGGTCGGTTGTTCCTCCTCAGCTACTATGCCGTTTTCTCTAATCTCCACCGTGTTGTGGGGGGTCGAAAATACTATAATTATTTATTTTATTTATTTATATATATATATATATATATATATATATATATATATATATATATATATATATATATATATATATATATATATATATATATAAATAAGAAGGTACATTAAGAGTTAAGAGAGAACATAGAAATGATGTTGATTTTCCATTATGTCATGGGTTCGTATCCTGGCCGGGGAGGATTTACTGGGCGCAATTCCTTAACTGTAGCCTCTGTTTAACGCAACAGTAAAATGTGTACTTGGATGAAAAAACGATTCTTCGCGACAGGGGATCGTATTCCAGGGACTTGCCCGAAACGCTACGCGTACTAGTGGCTGTACAAGAATGTAACAACTCTTGTATATATCTCAAAAAAAAAAAAAAAAAAAATATTGTAAAGCCACTAGCACGCATAGCATTTCGGGCAAGTCTTTAAACTAACAGATAATTAGATTAAACTAACAGATAACCAACAGACATCATCATCATAATATAATAATTATTGCAGTAAGCTTCTCAATAATAATAATCATGATAAAATCCGTTTACAATTCATGGTTTAAAAAGCCAAGAGCAACAACAAATACATCACTCACAGCACCGCTCCTGTACCAGGTAAGTCCACTACGGGCTCACCATAGCCCGTGCTACTTGGAACTTGTTCCAAGTAGCTGAATCTATAACAACAACAACAAATACATTTCAGACTACACCATGTACAGCAAGGCAAAAGATGCCTGCTGTGTTTTGCCGCGTCGACCTGAAGGTGACAAATCAGAACTGTCAGTGAGAGTGGCAATATCATTTTCAACAGACAGGAAGTAAGGACAGGGGACGAGAGGGTTTAGGACGGGCGGGTGAACCAAACAAATGACCTGCTACAGTTATTGGCCTGTATCCACCTATTTGTGCCTGTACACTTTGTTAGTTTTTTTTTTTTTTTTTGAGATATATACAAGAGTTGTTACATTCTTGTACAGGCACTAGTACGCGTAGCGTTTCGGGCAGGTCCCTGGAATACGATCCCCGCCGCGAAGAATCGTTGTTACAACCAAGTACACATTTTACTGTTGCGTTAAACAGAGGCTACAGTTAAGGAATTGCGCCCAGTAAATCCTCCCCGGCCAGGATACGAACCCATGACATAGCGCTCGCGGAACGCCAGGCGAGTGTCTTACCACTACACCACGGAGACTGTCTAACAGTTCTTGGACCCCCTGTGTTTCCGTTGGTTGTCTAATATATTGGCGCGCGAACTATTGTTTGTACGACATATTTCTCTTAATATATATATATATATATATATGGTGTAGCAACATTATGCTATACCAACGTCCCGGCAACAACTGATCATATTGTGCTCTCTTTTAAACGATATCATTACATATGCAAATCCCAATTAAATTTTGACGTGCGAATGCATTTTTAGATAACGGCATCTCGACCAATTTAACTCCCATTTTAGCAATATTTTTTAATTGAAAGTCAATGTTTGCTTTTGTATATATTCATTGTTAAAATCTCAGTCATAAAAAATCACGCACTGGTAACTTGTGTATCATTATTTATTTATTTTATTTATTTATTTATTTTATTTATTTATTTATATACAAGAAGGAATATCGACGACAGGAAGCTTGTTAGGGTGATCGAAGTCTCAGCAAACCACCGAAAGATCTTCTCTAGGATGCAGCTTCCAATCACTCGCAAAACTCCCACGTACCTATTTCCTGCTAGGTGAAAATAAGCATCTGGTGTAAGGAAACGTGTCCAAACGTCTTGAATCCTCTACCTGAGAATCGAACTCGGAGTCCCGTAGGTTTCGAGACAACTGCGGTAACTAGTGTGCGAAGCGAGATCAGAATGACCTAGGTCTGCAAGGTCCAAGATTTGGTACACCGCATCGGTCTGACGTCACACACAATCCTAGCCAATGGTATCACACAATATATTGCCATTGCACAATGACGTCACACAAACAGAATGTCCAATGGCGTCACACCACATAAAGGCGTCACACACACCAAAATTACCAATAGCACCACACCGCCGCCTTCACCACGTCACACATCAAACGACACCGCGTAACGAAACCGCTGTCACCCTCAATTGATTAACGGGATGGCTATTAAGATCTCCATTTACGATACAACGCGGAGAGGCAGGAGATTGGCTTCCACGTCACACACGGCCGGAAACAAGAGAATGGGCGAGCCCTGAAGCCACCTCAATATACTTTCCATTAGCGAGCCCTCGCTATATAAGCCCCGCAACTCCCGCGCCACAGCGAGACTGTGTGGGATGTCGTACACACACGGCTTCGCTCAGCATACCTCAGCCCAGGATGAGGTATGCTGAGGTATTACCCTATTTCAAGAGCACTGACCTGGATGGCAGAACCTCCCAGCACGACCCAGGGGACACAGGCACCGTGGCACTCCTGCCTGAGCGTCCAGTTGGCACCTTCCCGGACCACATTCCAGCTGGCACTGTAACAAAGCAGGGTTGTATTATTAATTAATAAGCAATTGCATGGTTACCAGGTCACTGTATGGTAACCACTGCAATGGTTTAAAAATTGGAAGCAAATTAATCCAGCAAAAATCCAGCAAATTGGAAGACATTAATCCAGAACCACTAATGTTTTTTAAATTGAATAATGAATTTTAAAACACAATTATTTAGATTGTGGCTAACATCGAACCAATACACCTAACACCTCGAGGGGCAAGTTTAATTTCAAGAAAATATACTCAAACATAAAGGCTGGCAAGAGATAATTTATTCTGCGTGGATTTCTTGAAAGAATTAGAAGAAGCATATAAACTACTAAACTATATATATATAAACTACTTGTTTCCATGCAAGTGAATCGAACCCCCCTAAAAAGATGTAGTTTATATTGCCATGGAATTATGAACCTGTAGGTTTGAGACAGAGTACAGGAGGAGGCCTGAATGAAGTAAATGCCTTCCCTGAGAACACATCATCCAATACCTTAAAACGTACGTCTCACAGACCTTGAGAAACACGTTGCATTATACAGACTCAAGACAACATTGCAGACATTATAAGACAATTAGTTGTAGACATTATATATTATAAGCAATTAGCAGATTGTGCTTTTATCTTTAAAAAACTTTTTTTTAAGTCTCCTGGTTTTATTATAATAAAATCATGGTCTAAATCTACCGTTTAGCTGTTTACATATGTACTTATTTACAAAATGTTACAATTACAGTTTTGGGAAAATCTTATTTAACAAGAAAGAAAATGACGAGGAGAAAACGCATGGAAGCAATATGAGGAGAGGATAGCAGCTGCTATATGAGGAGAGGATAGCAGCTGCTATATGAGGAGAGGATAGCAGCTGCGATATGAGGAGAGGATAGCAGCTGCTATATGAGGAGAGGATAGCAGCTGCTATATTAGGAGAGGATAGCAGCTGCTATATGAGGAGAGGATAGGAGCTGCTATATGCGGACGGGATAGCAAATAAGACAGGGGAACGGAGTGAAAAAACAAAGCCCAACCACTTGGACCATTAGGGATCAAACACCTAGTCTGCAAGAGACGAGGACGTCGCTCTACCGACCAGTCCACGCTGAGGCGCACATTTACGCTTCGTAAGACACAATAACAGAGGACAAAGACCTTAAGACGTGAGCCATGCGGACGTACCAGAGAGGTGAGGCTCTCCGTTGCCTGCAGGTTAGGCACCTCGGACGGCACCTTCTGCTCCAGGTTGGGTCCAGGGGAGGTGTGCGGGTGGAAGGTGTCCTGGAGGTCCAGCTCCAAGTAGGTCTCCGGGCCCGTCTCCTCTTCGCCTCCGAAGCTCTCCAAGGCCGTCTCGTGCTCCGTCTTGTACCTGGGCCACCAATACGGACAAAGGGGTAAGAAAACTGTTGTAATTGAGTGACATCTCTATATTGTGAAGGCATTTGTTGCCCCCTGCACAATCTTTTTAGACTGTTTCTGCGTTTGATGGGTTAGGGAAGGGGGATAGTGAAGGGTCAAGTGATTTGATCATTGGTCTAGTGGCTGGAACTTGGGGTCGAGTGGCTTTTAAGCGCTACTCGATCCTATCTCTTATCAAGCGTTTCATTTTCCTTATCTCTTATTTCCTTCAGTGTAGTAAGGTTCAGTTCTCTCAGTCTTTTCTCATAGTTCAATCTCTTCAGCTCTAGAACGAGTCTCGTTGCATATCTTAGGACCTTGTCTAGTTTCTCCTTGTCCCTTTTCCGGTAAGGGTTACATGCTGGGGGATGCATATTGAAGAGTGGGTCTCACCCTCGCTGTATTAATGGCCCGGGAATGCTCCCTTGCCCAAGTATGTGAAGGATACACTGACGTTGGCCAGTATGTTATATGCAGCTGTTGTTATTCTGCTAATGTGGACTTGTGGCATTAGATTTTGGGTTACGCCCACTCCTCTGGTATTTCCCCATTTCTGAATCTGTCTTCCCTTTATCCAATATTGGTGTATACTGGCCTTTCACCTCCTGTTCCCATCCGGTATGTGTGTGTGTGTGAATATACAAAGAGCCTTAAAATTACATTACATTTTCTATACTTATAACAAACATAAAATACAAATTAGCCTACTCGTTACAATTCAGAAATGTGGTGCTTACAGTGATATCTTGTGAATGACAACCACATTTAGTCACGTCGTTAAACAGTGACAAGCTCAAGCGAATTACCAAGTTGTGGATGACAAAGGCTTGCATTTACACAACCACTAACGAAACCTATACATCCTTCCTTAATCATGGTGACTTTCTTTACATCTATTTAACAGTTTTCAAGTTTCGATACTTAACAACTCAAGGTTTTTATTGTTGACAAGAACCTTGTAGCCCTTTGGAGCTAATCAACTATTTAATAAGAGTAAACAAAGCTGCCATCATTGAGGAAAGATGTACGGGTTTCGTAAGAGGTTGACGAAAAGGCTTGACGAATCCTGGCAACTCACTTGTCGTAGTTGAGAATGTCGGCCCTGTCGATGAGCTGATTGTAGTCAATGTTGTCGTCGAGGCGACGCAGGCTGGAGCGGTACCTGGCGGCATGCGGTCCCGCCAGGCGGTCGTCTAGGCCAGGGTACAACGACCCAGAATCCGATTGGTAGTCGTTATCGTCCAGGACGGCCACAAACGACGCCTCCTTCTCGTAGAGTATCGACCCGTCCAGCTTGGTGTAGTTCAGTCCTGCCGGCAGTCATTCTACGTTAGCATTATGTTTAACTAATAAAGGCATACCTTACCTCACCTCAAGTTCAAGTACGTTTATTGAGATAAGCAATAAATACATCTCAAAGGGATAGAGTAGCTTAGGCTATTTCTACCCTTACCTCACCTTGCGGTTACTTTGCGATGATTTCGGGGCTAAACGTCCCCGCGGCCCGGTCCTCGACCAGGCCTCCTGGTTGCTGGACTGGTCAACCAGGCTGTTGGACGCGGCTGCTCGCAGCCTGACGTATGAATCACAGCCTGGTTGATCAGGTACAACATGCATACATATAATATATAACCTGTCACCCAAAATTGAAAGTACTAACTTCAACTACTGGTCAAACGTACAAAAATAGACTGTTGAAAACAAAATAAAAATTCTAGAGCAGGAGAAGAGAAAGAAGGCAACACACATGTACTAAATTTGGCCCAAGTGGAGATGACTAGGCCTACGAATGCTTATATAGGCCAAAGACACATTAATTTCCATAATTACTTCTCCAATTGTTAGTTCGTCATTTGGAACAATCCAGTAGTTAAAATGTAAATATTTTTAGTACAACAGTTCATTTTTTGTACGTTGGACCAATAGTACCTGTAAGTAAATTGTTTAGAGGACGAGTTGCAACATGCAATCTTTAGTCAACTGGGCTAAACTGCCTGAGGCCAAGACACATCATTGTTTAGAGGACGGGTTGCAACATGCAATCTTTAGTCAACTGGGCTAAACTGCCTGAGGCCAAGACACATCATTGTTTAGAGGACGGGTTGCAACATGCAATCTTTAGTCAACTGGGCTAAACTGCCTGAGGCCAAGACACATCATTGTTTAGAGGACGGGTTGCAACATGCAATCTTTAGTCAATTGGGCTAAACTGCCTGAGGCCAAGACACATCATTGTTTAGAGGACGGGTTGCAACATGCAATCTTTAGTCAACTGGGCTAAACTGCCTGAGGCCAAGACACATCATTGTTTAGAGGACGGGTTGCAACATGCAATCTTTAGTCAATTGGGCTAAACTGCCTGAGGCCAAGACACATCATTGTTTAGAGGACGGGTTGCAACATGCAATCTTTAGTCAACTGGGCTAAACTGCCTGAGGCCATGACACATCATTAGTGGTACTGTCTTGTGCGAGAGCGGGTTACAGCGTGTTACAAGCTCATGACTCGGTCTCAAATCACTGACGTAAAACTGAACTTTTTTCCATTGAATAACAATTTTCACCTACACTAAAACTGTTTTTTTTTGTGCCAGGGGGAAATTCCTATGCTATATATCGTGGCACTGTTTATACATTTCCCGCACCATGTGCTCGCCCTAATTAATCACAATTTATTATTCACATTAAAATGATTAAATTATTTGAAGAATGGTTTAACTAGCTTCAAAAATAGTTAATAACATCCGGCTTCGTCAATTTAAGCAATGCATAAATTTTCATATTTTTTTTGTACGTGTCTAATTAATAAGAAGCAGGAGCCATCTGACGTTGTCATCAAAGTCAGATAAAATCCTCTCTTCTCTATATTCCTCACCACCCTTAGACTTCCCCCGCTCCTGTGCCAGGTAAGCGACGGGCTCACCATAGCCCGTGCTACTTGGAACTTATTCCGAGTAACTGAACCTATAACAACAACAAACTCCCCCCTAAATGCTTCACCCCTCACATCCCTCACTGCCACACCACCCCCTGCTCCCCTCTACCCCTTAAATCTCCCCCTCGGGACTCCCCTTATCTTCCCCCAGGGGAAAACGGAAGAGGGGAAGCGAACGCTCGCCGTTAGTCTTTTGCAGGTTGGTAAACAATCAAGTGGAAAGCGGAACTTTGGGTCTTTCCCGCCACCACTTTGCGGTCTCCCCTACACACACACATACACACACACACACACACACACACACACACACACACACACACACCACACACACACACACCCACACACACACACACACACACACATACACACACACACACACACACACACACACACACACACACACACACACACACACACACACACACACACACACACACACACACACAACACACACACACACACACACACACACACACACACACACACACACACACACACACACACACACACACACACACACCACACACACACACACACACACACACACACACACACACACACACACACACACACACACACACACACACACACACATACACACACACCACCACACACACACACACACACACACACATACACACACACACACACACACACACACACACACACACGCGCGCGCGCGCGCGAGTACAAGGGGACACAGGTGGAAACTGAGTGCCCACATGAGCCACAGGGACGTTAGAAAGAACGTTTTCAGTGTCAGAGTAGTTAACAGATGGAGTGCATTAGGCAGTGATGTGGTGGAGGCTGACTCCATACACAGTTTCAAGTGTAGATATGATAGAGCCCAATAGGCTTAGGAACCTGTACAGCAGGTAATCACGGGGGAACTTAACATAAACAGGAAGACTATCCTCACTCAGACAGCTCATACAAGCCACATAAACAATGCAACAATATGTATACATCACAAACAAGAAATACAATAGCGCAAGAACAGCATACACAGCCACAAAATATACAGCATACAATGAACCTGCGAACAGTTCTGGCTCCACGCGAGTCTCCAGAAAGGGATGAATTTGTTTTATATACCCTAACAAGGACAAACATGCGACAATCGTGAAGAATAACGTGAACAAGGAAAAACAAATACCTTTTCTGAGGTTAACAGGAAGGAGGGATATGTTGACCAGATCACATACTAGAAAGTGAAGGGACTTTTTTTTTTTATTAAGATATGAGGTACATCTGCATTAGTGCAGCTACCCTAGACTATATGAAGTGGAGTACAGTGTGTCAAAAAAGCTAACTAGGTGATGCTAAGAAATCCCCATCACACAGGATGGTTAGTCATACAGAGGCATGAGATGGGCAGTCTGAGTGAAGGGACGACGACGTTTCGGTCCGTCCTGGACCATTCTCAAGTCGATTGTGAAGGAGGAATATATTAAGGATGAGAGAAGGGGCCCCTCCTCGGTTGATACAGAGATCGTGGATGATTAAGAGAAGGAGCAGAAGGAGGAGGAACACAGGATGACGATCAGGAAGACGAAGAACAACAGAGCATCGATCAGGAAAAGAATAAGAACAAGGAGCAAGTTAGTTTCAGGAGGCAGTGAGGCGAGACAGGAGGAACACACTACCATTGTGTTCAGGGTATTCACACTTTATCTCCAGGCTCCATTGTTAGGGGTCCCGGCACCCCCCCGATCCCCCCTTTTTTGGGAAGGGGGGGGTTAGTAAAGAGGATGGAGAAACACAGGTGAAGGGAGAGTTTTGAAATGGGAAATATGTGAGTTATGATAAGAGGCGGGCTGTCCGCCTTGCTGACACGAGGTGTGTGTGTTGGCAGCTAACACCGCATAGGTTCGAATCCTTATTACAGCTCCTGTGGATTTTCTCATTGATATATCCCGGTAATGTGATTCCTCTGTGTATTGTTCCAGCTAGTTCCTTCAAGTGTATTTTCTGGGTTCTGGAAGTTTTACTCCTCTCTACTATACTACCACCAATATCACCCATCCTCTCTACCACCACCACCAGCAGCACCCCCACCCGTCCCCACCACAGCACCAATAGCACCATCCACTCCCCCACCGAGTCGCGCAAGTCATCTTGACACACAGCCTCCACAGCTCCAGCAAAGTCTGGGATTTTTCTGAAAAAGCTGTGATCCCAGCCTAAACTTCCATTAACGAGATAAAACCATGAGAGAGAGAGAGAGAGAGAGAGAGAGAGAGAGAGAGAGAGAGAGAGAGAGAGAGAGAGAGAGAGAGAGAGAGAGAGAGAGAGAGAGAGAGAGAGAGAGAGAGAGAGATTACATCAGTAATAGTAGCATTGGAGGCTGGAGGTTGAAGGGAGAGGGGGAGGAAGGGAGAGGGGATAGGAGGGAGAGAGGGAGAGGGGGGGGGGAAGGAGGGAGTGGGAAAGAGAGGGATGGGGAGAGGATAGAAGGGACAGCTACTACTGATCGATCACCCACCCAGATGAACTAAAGCCTCGAGTATTGCTGACCCCTGACCCCCCCTGGACCCCCCTGGACCCCCCCCCCGGACCCCCTGGACCCCTGGACCCCCCTGACCCCCTGGCCCCCCCCCCTGGACCCCCCTGGACCCCCCCCCCTGACCCCCCGTGCCCGCGCCATTTGTCACACTGGCAGCAGCTGGAAAAGGAAGAGGAAGTAGAGAAGAATATGAAAGAGGCCTATAAAAAGAGGCAGGAAAAGAGGGAAGAGGGAAAGAATCCGAAAGAAGAGGATCAGGACAATGAATATAAAAGGGAGAAAGAACAAGAGAGAAAAGAGAAGAACAGGAGGCATGGAAGGGGAGGAGATATGAACCATGAACCAAAGGAACAGAAACGCAGAGGAAGATAAAAAAAAAAGAATAAAAGCAGGAAATAAAGAAAGGGTTTACATCAGGAACATTAAAAAAAACAAGAAATTAAATAGAAAACAGAGAAGGAGCAGAAAGATGAATGTGAATGAAAGGAGAAAAGGAGCTAAAGACTGAAAGAGACATAGAACGATACGAATGAGAAGGAGGGAGAAACGGAGAATATAAATTACCGATGAGAATGGGAATAAGAACACTGATAAATGTATAATATATAAGAACAAAGAAAACCTCCACAGCCAAAGCCGCCACCAAAGACAGAAAGACACAGAACAGCAACAGACAATAAAAATGACGAATAAAGGGAAGGAATTATCGAAGTAAACGGAGATAGAAACAGAAGAGAAAAGAAATAAAATAAAAACTTTGGAACAGGAAGATATATGAAGATACAGCAAAAATGTCGTTAAAAGGAAGAGAGAGAGAGAGAGAGAGAGAGAGAGAGAGAGAGAGAGAGAGAGAGAGATAGAGAGAGAGAG